TCTTCAACTGAAAATGCCAGTTTTAAAATAATTTGATTGTTAGACAGGCTGTGTTTATTGACTTATTTTAACATCAAGTTTTGCTTGGGTATAAACTTTATTACAAACATTTTATTCCATGTCCCCATAATATCAGTTAGCAAATCAAAATGACAATTTGCTCATTAGATTGCTGTCATGTCAAGTAGCAATGAGTGCCTATGTAGACATAGTACAATCTTTCTCTTATTAATTCTTGCTCGTCACATGGCTCCCTGGACACTTAAAAGATAATATGAATATCTTTGATCTACAAAGTTATCAAAGAATGTTCAAACCTGAAACATGAAGCTATGACCTTGGCAGAGAAAGTAATTACACCACCAGTCAAGTGTAATGAGAGCTGTAGAATATAAAATAGCAATGAATCAGTCAGCAATTCTGTGCTACATTAAATAGGAATGTACAAATGGAAATATTCATTATAGAATAAAGTGGATTGGGCTTTCATGTAATAACTTTGTAGTCTGAGAGTGGTGTACCACTTCATTAATGATTTATATACATTAAACCCATACCATTGCCTATTGATGGGACATTTATACCAAAAACCATTTGAGATTGCATTTCACACCAGGTTGACTCCCTTATCTTGCAGTGTTTGGTATATTACGTGGCACTAAAGGCTCAATTTTCCCTTCTGGCTACAATTTTTAATGTTTTCATGTTTAAAGGCCCTATATAAAGTTTAAACCATTTTGGCTTATATTGAAGTCGTATCCAATGTTATCAAAATGTAATATGTGAAACATCTTTTTTAAATTTCAAAAAGTAGTTTTTAAAGGACATATCTTTAATTAACCAGTAAATCAGAACAATGCATAATATTCATCCTCATGTGTCTTTTGTCGAAAAAATTAAGAAAATTGGTTGATAAATAAGCAAGAAATTAACTCATCCATGCATGGAAGTAGTTCAGAGAAATGCATTTCAAAATTTTAAAAGCAAAATATTTTTTTCTTTTCAACTTAGTTAGACAATCAACATTTGATTATTTAAAAAGATTAACATTTAAAGGAAAGTGTGACATAGAAAAAAAATTGCATTTTATTCAAAACAATTTTGCACCCTAAATGACATCACAATGATGTCACTTTAGGTGCAACGTTTTTGCTAAACCATTTAAATGGCACATTCAATATGACATTTAAGGACAATATTTGAAAGATCAAAAGGATTGGTAACCAAATGATGAACCGAATTCAACATTGTTTTCTCTTAAAGTCTGATCTTTATGTAAAACGCAATATTTGGATGTATTTTTATTTTTATAAATTGAACAACTGACAAGATTATGAATACCTATATATTAAAATGACATCGTTAATAACAGTATTTCCAGTGCAGAATAAAAGCACAACAAAAAATAAAAGATCATTTCGGATAAGACGGGAGTCAAACCATGGTATGACCGCGCAGGAAATGAGCATTTTTTCCCTAGACCACATGGGCCCAATATACAGAGAGAGGCCAATCAATTGGGATGAGAAAGGTTAACAGGCAATGGGGATTTTGATGGAAATTCAGCCATGTATTGTTTTATGGTATGAAGAAAATGCTATTGTTTAAGGCTCAGTTTGAAAGCTGTGACCTAAAACTAAAATGGGAGGCTCATCCTGTCTGGTGAACATGTGATATGGTGACATAAGGAAGCTAAGAATATCTGCTGTCTATAGCTTCTGTAATTGTTATATCATGATTCATCAGTGTTTGGTAAGGGAACATGTGGTACAGCTTCACATGAACCACTTTCAATTAGATATAATGCGTTAGAAATATACAAAAGGTCCTGCAGGGAAACAAAGATCCTCTCTAATTAATAATCTATGACAACTATGTATGGAATTGTCGGTAATTACAAATGTCTTGTATACCTGATATTCAGTATTGATGATATACCTCAGGGCAAATATGTGAAAAGGTCTTTGGATCATGTTGTTATTGTCAATATGTATGTTTAGAGGCATTGTTGTATTATGATATGCAGAAACATAAGGGACCAATCATAACTTAAGTCTCCATATTCATTAATTTAATTAATTGTGTTCATATTGTTTAATGATGGATCTGTGAATTGACTAAGAGGTGGGGGGGGGGGGGGTCTGAAAGGGCCCACCTATTGAGAAGTAAAAAATATGACATATTTATCAAATGTAAATATGAGGTATTGTTAAAAATGAAACTGGGAATAAAATTCTGAAATCACGACTCTATTCCTTCTATGCCCACTTTTGCTTCATTTTGGCTCACACGGTCTCAGAAAACTGCCAATCATTTGATTGATTGATACCATATCTTTTTTATGAGGGTCCATACTGGTAAACATTAGTCATTACTTCTACTTTTACCTCATTTTTGATTGATTGATGCCATATCTTTTTTATGAGGGTCCGTACTGGTAAACATTAGTCATTACTTCTACCTTTACCTCATTTTTGATTGATTGATGCCATATCTTTTTTATGAGGGTCCGTACTGGTAAACATTAGTCATTACTTCTACTTTTACCTCATTTTTGATTGATCGATGCCATATCTTTTTTATGAGGGTCCGTACTGGTAAACATTAGTCATTACTTCTACTTTTACCTCATTTTTGATTGATTGATGCCATATCTTTTTTATGAGGGTCCATACTGGTAAACATTAGTCATTACTTCTACTTTTACCTCATTTTTGATTGATTGATGCCATACCTTTTTTATGAGGGTCCATACTGGTAAACATTAGTCATTACTTCTACCTCATTTTTGATTGATTAATACCATATCTTTTTTTATGAGGGTCCATACTGGTAAACATTAGTCATTACTTCTACTTTTACCTCATTTTTGTGATCAGCTTTTTGTTGTTGTTTTTAATAAAATAAAACATTAATTTGTTGTTGTTTTTAATAACATAAAACATTAATAGTGATTCCAAATCAGATATTTTAGTAATTGAGTGGGCTTTTCAGCCTTCCGGGTTTCACAGTTTTATTTTGGGTCTCCACAAATTTTGCAAGAACTTGATTTTAGCCAAAACTTTGCAATGTGACACACACAATGATTTCACAAAGTATTTTTCATATTGATTTAACCTATTGATTGTATCAGATTGGTTATACTTATCCATGATATATTTGCAATTTGACTTATTTTTGAAAATGACCCCCATGATACAGCAAAAGTAATTTGTCACATAGAAATACAAAGATGTACAGTTACATATCCATCAGTCGTGTGGGCACACCAAGTATGTAACAATACTTGGGCTGGGTTCAACTCCCAGGTGACTGGGTATTAATTGTACAGTAATCATATATAGTATGGCTTTTGTAATTATTTCAACTGCTATAAATTAAGATTAATCACCACAATCAATGAAATTCAAGCATGGGACAGTGTATCTATATTGCAAGATATCTATGTTCAAAAGTTCATCTATCCCTGTCTCAGGGCAATGACTGAAGTAGTTATCAGATTTAGCTCAAATTTTATAAGCTGATGTGAAATAGCTTCTTGGACATTTTAATTATATTCGTCTGTCAACAAATGATTTATTTGTCACCTTGTTTTAAAAAGCAGCCATTTTTGTAAAAAATCACATTTTTGGTCCATTCGCTTAAAATTCTACAGGAAGATAGATTTATCGATGTAGTATTGTCTCAAAGTTTTGGCAAACTATCTAACGTACATGTACCATATGTCAATATAGATTGGTATTCTTACAGACATTGTAACATAACCATTGGGGTACATAAAACACTACTACTGTGTAAGATCTGTAGAGAGACAGAGAGTTCTGCATCTTATTTTTTATCAGTTTATTATTGTTCAACATGATTAGTGAATACTACGATAACATCATAATTATACATTAACTATCAATCCCTGTTGATTAGATATCAGTCAAGAAATGGTACTGGCATATATCATTATTTATCCCATGAGACTTCTCATCCCTGGTGAATAACACTGAGGAGTATTTGTAATATTGAAATGTTGATACATAAATTTTAACCAAGCGAAAAAATGTTTAAAAAAATGTTTAAAAAAGATTTAGAAAAAGGATTTTGAAAACAAAATTTGAAGGAAAAAATCTAAAACATTTTTTTAAGAAAATCTTGAAAAAAAATTTGAGAAAAAATTATTGAAAAAATCTAAACCATCGAATATCACTTTTGAAACCATCGAATATCACTTTTTGAGAAGTGATATTCGATGGTTTGAGAAGTGTTATTCGATGGTTTGAGAAGTGATATTCGATGGTTTGTGGATTTTTTGCTAAAATATGATATCTTGATCCACATATCAAATATATCTTCACCTGATATTCAAACTATATCCTTGTAACCATGGGATAAGTACTGGGAGGTTTTGGATAGAGGGTTTTTCCAAAGGAAGATATGTGTATCTCTATAGGGACCATATATAGCCAACTGTACACAGCATATGTGTTCCATACCTATAAAGTTCCATAAAGTTCCTAAATTCAAAAAGATATGCAATTTCTTCATCTTAAAAAGTAGTTTTTTTTATTTGTGAGATTTTGACACTCATATATTGCAGGAGCAGATCAATGAATTGATATCAAAATTTAAAATATGCAGCACATATAATATATTAGAGAACTTTTTGTATGCGTAAGAAAAACAAACATAATAAATTGAGTTTGCTTTTCAGGAGCAGGATCGGGATGATGGAAACAGCCTGAATCCATCCCAGTCCCGAACCTTGGCATAGATACACTATATATTCCTGCTCGTAAATAACTAGAACCTCAGTAGGTATGGAATATACAATATATCTGGGGGAATATTCAATATAGCTATGTCATAATGTAAATCCTCAGGAGTTGTTCTAAACCTATTACATGTATTAAATGTAGGCAGTTGCAGTGATTCCATCATCCTGCTCTATGACAAACAGGTTAAAGCAATAAGCTTAATATTATAAAAATAACAGAACACTCTATACTATATGCTGTTGCAGTTTTACTGTGTATTGTTGAATTTAGGTGTTAAAATTGTACAATATTGTTATTTTCAAATATGCTAAAAAGTTTGTTGAGAAAAGTTTGGTTTTGTAATTGACGAAACAGTGATGCATTTCAAGGGATAATAAAAAGATTATTTGATATCCATTGGGATGAAATATGCATTTTATTTCTCTAGACCAATATCATATTTACTGAGACGCTAAAAGGAAGAGTCGCGCATCCCTCGAATCAGATCTCATATTCAATCCCTTCTGGTAAATAACCTCTGAAAAGTTCATACTTCTTGACTGACAAAACAACCACTGAAAAGGTCTATTCGATGTGGTAATCTGTAATACACAATAAAGAGCCTGTATTCTCTCTAAAGTGTTCTCTCAACACTCAAGTGGTCACAATTGGTTGACTTAAAAAATGGCCGTGTTACACCAGGAAAGCACTAGCACTGAGAAAATTTCGGCAAAAGTGTATTGACTTAACATAGGAGTACAACTGACTTAACAGCTGCATATCATCATGTATGTCATCATGGGGATACATACAAAATCCTCATTATCTCAAGTTTATCGAGTCTCAACATTATGTTCTACATATAGGATTCAAAACACCTGAATTGTGTATTGCATGCCTCATTTCACAAAAATGTGTACTATGTACATTGTAGATAGACCAGGCCTAACATCTTGAGTACTTTGCACATAGGGGATGGCCTGTTCCCGATATATTTTTGCAATATTTTATGTACATAAGAGATGGTCCAAAGATCTTGAGTATAATGTGCATAGGGGATGGGTCAGTCCTAAGATCTCTCAAAGTACTATGCACAGGGGCGAGCCAGTCTTAAAATCTTAGGTACCATGTACCATGACCCAGTCCTAAGATCTTGAGTACTATGTTACATTGTGGACAAGCCAGTTCTAAGATCTTGAGTATGGATGTGAACTTGATGCAGCCTTAATGTTTGTTTTAATTGCACTTGGGGCTTTATTTACATTGATGGTCGGTGCAGGAGCTGAAAAATAAGAAAATAAGTCCAATTTCACTGGTTTTTGAATAAAAAATCAAACACGACTACCATTTAAAATAAAATTCAATGAGGAAAAAGGTTTTAAAACTTGGAAGAGAATGTAAATTCTAACTACATTAATACACGATGATCAATTCCAACATAGAGTGACCAATATATGTTATAATAGGTGCATTGGGAGAATATTACAGTGACTATCCCATTAAATAAATAAATACCTGGGGGAGGTTGCTGCGACTGTTGCTGGGGTGGACCTTGGGGTCCTCCTGTCATGCGTCGTCTTTCCATCTGCTTTAAGCCTTTACCAAAATTAGTGGCCCCAATGAGACTATGCGTATCATCTTGGGATGTTGTTTGAGGTAGCTGGGATTTTGTGTCTAAAATTACATCATGTCATAACAATATTATTCATGCCACTAAAATTTGGCAAAATCATCACTTTATTTCCTACTTCCAGTTTAACATTCAGCACTGAACGAAACACTTGGAACAGACCAAGTATTATATGTATGAATAAATACTGGGTTTATAGAAGGCGTGAATACAGTTATGTTCGAATTACAAATACATTTCAGCAATTAGCACACTTTGCTGGTTGGGCATGAAATATCTTTATTTATACTGTACATACTTCAGAGAAATATTAAAGTTATCTGTCTAATGTCTAATATGTCTGTCTCTGTATCTGTGATAATTATAGGATATCCTATGATTTTGAAGAATATCATTTTTATCTACGAGGTGATATTGATACCTGCACGAGAGAGCAAAGCGAACGAGTGCATATATTAATATCACCGAGTAGATTAAAATGATATTCTGAAAAAAATCATAGGATGTTCTTATTATCCTACATTTACAAGGAGTGTTCTAAATGTATAATATCATTGCAAAATGAATTTCTTGCCAAATAGAGTCAATTTGGCGGGAAATCAACAAGCGGAGTATATCGTCACAATATCCTCCGCATATTGGGGTTTCCGGAGTATATCATCACGAGATCCTCCGCCCGGAGTATATCATCACGATATCCTCCGGTTATTCATTTTGCCAATAAATATCAAATTTATTTTTTGATGTTATTATACATTTAGTGCACTAAGTGTAGGATAATAGATGATCTCAATCTCAGAAAAGTAATTACATGTTCTGTAAATTATGCATGCCTTCCTTAACGCTTGCTACCATTCATGGGTCGTTCTAACCTCAACCTGTCTTGATATTCAATCCATAATCAACCTAATCATAACTTAGTTCCATTCTTTCAATGAAACCCTTATTTTCAGGGGTTTTTGGAACAATTCATACAAGATGCCCACTAAACATAAGTTTCTATGCTAAAAAATCAGTATTGTCACAATTTTATTCTTAACATGAGATCAGAAAAGATTGTCTTGGCTATAAATAACAATGATATTTTGGCAAGATAAGAGTAAAATGATGGAAAAATAAGGGGAAATAAAGAATTGTATAACTAAAAGTATAGAAATTATGAAAGGTTCTGCAATTTTTAAACCTGTTTTTCAAGATTATGCGTCACATTCGTGCTTAAAGAAAAAATATAGAAAAAAGGAATTGTTTGATTTGAAATTTATCTTACATGAACCAAAATGTTCAAACTTTATACTCCCCAATTTTTTATGACACTTGGTTCATATCTGTTCTTTTAAATAGAATGTATGTGTCTCATTTTTACCCACCACATATTTTTAGTTATTCCATAGTTAGCGTGATATTTATAGGATAACATGTGAAAATAAAAAATGGTATTTTTGTAATCAGTGGTAAAATATGATATTTTTGACAAATTTTCACTTAACCATAGCATACGGTTTTTTAGCCATGACATACGGCGCCGTATGCGATGGTTTATGGATTTTTGCTACTTCAGATCAGATCAGATCAGATCAGATCGTTTGGGAAATTCGAATTAAATCACTTAATTTCCGACGATTCTGATGATGACTTTAAATATGGAATAAAAAGAAAATCCTATGATTTACTTGTGATATGATTTTAATCCACTCATGGATATTGATATCTGCACTCTCTCGCTACGCTCGCTCGTGCATATATCATATCACTCATAAATCATAGGATATCCTCTATATATTTGGATTGTTAATTTTAATTTGGTAAATATTGAAATGATTTAGTGAAACAAGACATTATAGATGCATGAGAATCTCTTGCATCATGCTATCTCTATTTTGAGTTTAACTTGTCAGTAAGCTATTAAATCTCAATTTCCTTATTACCGTAATCTGCTCAAAATGCCGGATATTAGAATATAGATCTCATTTAGAAGAGCTTTTAATTATAGGGTTATTTCTTTAAAATCTCCATAATCCATGCTGTAGAAAAATGAAATTCGTTATTTTGATTGAATCTTTTTAAGAACTTTAAAGCTAATTTGCATTCAAATTAATGTTTAATTTAATTAATTGTGAAATTGTTAACGGGAGTCACGCCTCTGAACTATAGAAGCAACTGTCCTTTATGTGGAATGGCAAATTATTAGAATGTCCAGAATTGTCCGAAGAAAGAGCTTCAAATAAAGATGTCATGTTCAGAAACATAGTATTTCATGATCATTGTGTGCAAGAGAAGGTAGAAATATTACTTGGTAAGGCAGATCTCCTAAATTATTGTGTGTACATTCAAATAATGTTTTGCATATGCAATATGCTAAATTCGAGAGCTAATGCTTTGGGATGCAGTCCCAGTGTTCATTCATAGTATTATCCAGATATCCTACCCTATGTAGTTGCTCATGTTTTTGGCGTTGTGCATACGCATTTTATAACGATGTCATGGGCCTATTTTATATTCTCATATTTATTTTCTCGTTCTGTATACACAAGTTGTAATTTTTAAAATTTTAACTAATTTATGTACTCATCTTTAAGGTGAAAATAAAGAAACATAAACATAAGTACAACTTATATATAACAATAATGTACAGGACAAGCTTATTTATCAATTTTACAACAGGGATGAGTTGTCTTAGGGATGAATTGGTTTGGAATGAATTATCCTAGGAATGAGTTGTCGTAGAATGCGATGTTTTATGGAAGAGTTGTCTCCAGATGAATTGTCCTGGGATGGATTGTCTAGAAAATACTGCGAAAGTGAGTATACATTATTAATTAAGAATTTGGCTCCTACATGTAGACTACATACTACACACACCTTGCACTTGAGTTTCAACTAAGAAATTTTAGATTTTAGATAAAACATATTCATTAGTTGACAGAGTTCAATGTTGCAAGTCAAACACGATAAATGAAGAAATAACAGAGGTGGCACCATCTTTATAAGAATTATGAAATAAAATATATCTTAACACTGAGACTATAGACTAGCTAAAAGAGCTCTATTATCAGAGGTGTTGATATAATCAATGATTATCTCATTTCAACTTATTCTGTTATTGTAACTTTGAGAAAATTTCCCTGAATAAGAATTTATTTTTAAAGTAAGCATATCTATTTACGCAACATTCAAAAGTAAATCCCCAATGTGAGGAGGGTCTGTAATTTGACATGAAACGTCGTCCCCGGGGGAAGGATTTTGTCATAAAACTTTGTTCCTTGAGTAGAGACTTATGAAATACTGTACATATTCTCAGTAATAGACATTTTGACTATATTTGACCAGTTATAGTTATTCCCTGGGTGGTTAAACTGACTCACTAGGTTTTTCCAAGGGTAGGGAATTTGACAATCCAGTTTTGTCAAAATCCTCATCCCTGATGAAAGCGCTTAAATCGATGGAAACATGATCCAAAATCCAAAAGCGTAAGAAACATCAACTTGCAATAAGCTAGACAAAATGAGAGAGAAAACCCTAAGGATCCTTTTCCAACTTCAATCTCATTTTTCTGAAAACTCAAATAAGAACATAACTCTCAGCAAAAAATATTCATATCATATAGGTTCTGCAGCACCCATTTACTCAGGGCATCATGTGCAAATACATTGCCAGTATGTCATCTTATAAAATAGACTATGATTAACTAAAAGTTTTCAATATATCCAACCCCCTATTTTTCAGTCTTTGATGTATTAAATGTTCAGTATTCAGTAATGATAATTATTCCTTACTCTGTTCACTCTCCCACTCTTCCCTGCTGGATGTGATCAACTCAACCAAGTTGGAGGAAATCTTGTTCAAATTGGCCACTTGCTTCTGCAACAGAAATCACATAAATAACAGATGAAGAAGTCCAAAGGTAATCTAATTAGCTATACTTGGATCAGTTTGCTAGGTTGGGATGATTTCAAATTACGAACTACACAATGAGTTTTATCATAATTTCATCAAATTTTGGGCTGTGCTAAGGAACACACAGTCTCTTGTCTTGTTTTTAGTTGCCACTTTAAATGATAATTGCCTAATTAAACATGCCCATTTATAAGCTTCAATAAATATGTACCCTGATTGTTCAATCGACATTATCAAAGCAACCCAAAAATCGTGCACTAAAATAGATTTCAAAGTTTCATGATTTTCACTAATTGTTTAAATTAAAAAGCAACCAAATTAAAACTGGGACTCTTACTTGAATTATATCTTGAGGGGGCATGCCAGTCTTTGTGCTGATCTGAAGCTGCTTCTCATCTGCCCCTGGGAGAGGTTTAGTCCTCAGGTAGTCTGGTACAACTTCATGGTTGAATGCCATAACACGACCCTCCGTTATTTTCTAAAATCAAAATCAAATTTCATGTTTATTTTCAACCTGAAACTGAAGATTTTTTATTTTATTTACAATTCAAGTTAGATTGATTTTTCTATTCATAATGTTAAATACATAGAGACATACATTTTTGTGTGTATTGTGCAATACCCCTCTCTCTTTTAGCCCCCTACAATTTACAATTGAGTACAATTACATATTGCTGCACTGTCTGCAGAAACCATTAAACTTACTTCTACTTCTGGGTCTCTTTCAGGCACCAGGGCTAGAGGAAGTACTATCTGGTTTCGTAGATTTGGCATCTTATCACTCTTCAAGAGTTTCTGGAGAGAGTTCATCTGGCCTGACAACAAGGCATAGCTGTCAAGCATGCTGGGCCTGGAACACAATAGTATAAAACAACTGCTCTACAGAGTAACAAATCCAAACATTTGGGCAATTTCCATAGACTCCTCATTCTGAATATTTCATGCTAGAAATAGCACAAATGCGAGAAACTGCTATATTCTACAGGCAAATAAAAAAGTATTTGATAGGATGTATCATACTTGTATGTTCAGCTTAAATAAGAAATTGCAGTATTAAATTTTTGTTGAGAAAGTTTAGTTTATTAGTATAAGGAAAATAGTACATACACTGTAGGTCCCTAGGAGGTCACAATACACATAGTACATGTTCACTTACAAGGTCTCTTAAAAATCATATATAGCTTTACCTTCATTATATTTACAGTTACAAGTTACTATAAAAGGCTATAGATGGTGCAATTCACAGATCATTATGAATTAAAAAAATAAATAGTGTGGGGTGATTTCGGATAAGAAATACAGACTGGGATTGTCCCTTTAAGAAAGTAATCCTATCTAGTAATGAGTTCCAGGCCTACCAGTTAAGTGTCTGATGTTCATGTTCTAGCTTGAGGAGGAATGCCACAATTCCCGACTTCACCTCCTGCACTCTCTGTAGAATAGCCTCCACTGAAGACTCAAGCACCTTCTCTTCCTTTGTCTGGGTCTACAAGGCAATGTTTTAACTACATATACTATTGCAATGTGGTTCTTTGATTAGGGGTCACCCCATTCGTCAGATGAGAAATACCAATGGTCTGAATTGCAATGGTCCAAATCCCAATCATCCAAATCCCATTCGTCTGAATCCCTATGGTCCAAATTTCAATCGTCCGAATATATCCCAATCATCCGAATCCCATTGGTCGGAATCCCATTAATTGCTTATTGTTTACAATTTGAGCCATAAATAATTAGTCATGGATTTGATGAAGAGAGGGTTCCCATGTTAAAAATAAGAGATTTTCAAAAGCCCATACATCAGTGGATGAGAGTACAGTTTAGATCACAAATAAATGAGCAGTCAATTATTCTATCATTAGTGTATCATTATTTTCAAATCATGGTGGTTTGAAAGCCCATTTTTGATCTAGATACATACACTGTATCCCCTAAAATTTGTGTACATGTATTTTACATTTTGTATACTCTCACTGGTCAGTATTAAGAGAAGGTAATAGCCGTAACCTTCACATCTTAGATGGCGTATGGTAATTGTCGATTTCAATATTTTTAGTTTTCATCGAATTAAACTACTTTATAGTTAATGTTATGCTTTGGTATTTGAACCAAACCAGGCTTATATGACAAGGGAACTATGGAGTATGATAATTTGTTCATATATCGTGCATGGGCGCCACAGTTCAACAATATCTCCCACTGCTTTAAATTTATGATACAGTAACGGTCATGTTAGTTTTAAATACATGGTAACTGGACATCTTAGCTCTCCATTATAAACTCTCATAACTTACCGCATCACCACTTATTTTATCATCTGTGAAACCATGGGCTCTACCAATCTCAGTTACCCTCCCTTAAGCGGTAGAAGATATTGTTGAACTGTGGTGCCTACGCACGATATATGAACAAATGATCATACTCCAGAGTTGTGATGTGTCATATAAGCCTGATATACTAAGTAGTTCAAATATCAAAGCATTACCTCAACTATAAAGTGGTTTAATTCAATGGAAACAAAAAATATCGAAATAGACACTTACATGTACTGTCTGCCATCTTAGATGTGAAGGTTACAGCTGTTACCTCCCCTTGATACTGACCAGTGCCCCTCTCATCCACTGATGAATGGCCTCTTGAAAATTCTCTTATTTCAAGCATGGGAAATCCTCATTTCAGCAAATCCAAAACTAATTTATGTATTGTCCAAACTGTTGATTCAAAGTTGTCAATGGATTCAAAGTTGTGAGGACACACCATTGGTCCGAATCCCAATGGTCTGAATCTCAATCATCTGATTCCCAATGGTCCAAATCACATTTGTCCAAATCCCAATCATCTGAATCCTATTCATCCGAATACCAATCATCCGAATCCCAATGGTCTGAGTCTAATTAGTTCGAATCTGATTTGTCTGGAACCTAATGATACCTAATGAAAACCTTATCATAGTATGGACATGACCTTGTGGGTAGTTATCCTACCGGGCGATGCTCAAGTTAGGATATAGAGAAACTATTTGTTCATATGACATATTTAAAGTTAAAATGTGTTAGGCCTACAACCTTTTACAAGTATCAAGACCTCCAAAAATCATCTCAATAATATAGAAAAATTCGAACAATGGTATTTTGACGAATGGTATTTGGATCATTGGGATTCAGACTAATGAGGCAACTGGTAACCCCCAAAGTTTTGTCAATGGAATTATGAATCTGACTATAATTGTATTATCGAGTCTGTACATTTGTGGAAAAGTCCCGTCTTTTCCTGCAATATCATATTTCACGGAGACCACCAAAAGCAAAGGTTGACATTGGTTTGTGCATGATACTATGAATTTTATTCATAGTGAACACCATACATTGATCTCTATAGGAAGAAGATACTTCTAGTAAGAGAGATCAATAGATGGTGTTCACTGTGGTTATTGACATAAAAAGAAATTTAAAATTATTATTACTCTATTATCGCCCACTTCTATATTATTTCCAAATTTTGATACATTTAAGCAATATTTACCCGTTCAACGATAGTCTTTCACAATAACCAAATGTTTATGCATTATATAGTATATGACTCGGTAGATATAATACACGATGAAGCATTGAAAACAGCGTTAGTATAAAATATTTACCTGCATTTTTTCAATCGTCGAGCATTTCGTTCGGGGCTTTTCGTCTTTAGTTGCAAAATTACCGGGGAAAATTTACCAGGGTAAATATATATGGATTAAAATGCAATCTTCTTCTAACTCAACCATATGAATCAGGGCTCCCATTTTTATCTTTAATGACTAATTGCGAATCACCAAACCAGTCCACAAACGTGCAACCTCCAGAAATCATAATGTTCTCTGACTTTGGACAGCATAAACATACCTGGATCACACAGTACTATCCTTCTTTCCAGAATAATGGTATAGATGTATAGATGACTTCAATTTCAGTTTTGTCAATCGTTGTTTACTTTCATGTTAATTGAATTTAGTAGCTTACTAGCCTATAGCTTTAATAGCAATGACAGGGAACTATGAAAATTGAATAATTAATTTTAAATATTCCGAACAACACCTTTTCCTCAAACCTCTAAATTGATACTATTTCATGTTAATACTGTAACATCTCTGATCGGTTTATTAACTTTTCGACAAGGTGCAAAGATGCTTAGTTTAGGACCTCACTATCTCATTTATTCAAATCTGGAAATACATGTCCATATTTCCAGATCTTCTTGATTTCATATTTCCAACTTGTTGCAATATCAACACTCATTTGGAATGCTCTCTCGTTCTAATATAAAAATCAAGGGATATCATGTATTTATTCCATAACATGTTTTCCCTGAGAAATAAACAGGAAATAGAATTGATATTCAAAAAATCCTGTATCGGATCCCATGTCAGCCAAAATCCCATATCAGATCCTGTATTGGATCCTGTATCAGAACTATTTTCAGGGAATTCTCTCAATTTTTTTTCATGTTTGAACTGGTTCTGAATTTGAAAAAAAGAAAAAAACAAAAATAAGGTATTACTATTAGTTATTACATGGCAAAACTGTAACATAAATATATTTCAGAAAAATATCATGGCTAGATCATCCTTGGTCAATGTGGTATTTCTAACATGGCTCGTTTCATTCATATTTTCACTCAGAATAAAATTCATATTTCATAACTCTCATTTAATAACCTCTATTTATTGTGAGATGCACTGAACATCATTTCATATAATATCTGATTCCAATTACTCAGATGCGAGTAGGTAGTTACCAGTTTCGCCACCAGGTGGCTGATTCGGGGGAAATAACATGGCAGGGTATTACAAAATTCCCTTAAACTTGAATATTCATCAGTTTTAGTGGTTCACTTTTCATGTTACTCTTATGTATCTGATAGTTATACAAATTAAAATATGTCCATTCAAGGAAAATGTTATCTGCCCAACACAAGAAAAGATATTTCACTTTTTGTGATTTTACAACATGGGGTCTATGGGGAATCTCCCCGACTGAGAAGTCACATTTTTAAAGAAAATTAAATTTTCAAAGTTGATAAACTCTTTTCAAAACCACATTTCTAGATGTAATTTTACATGTAGATTTGAAATATGACATCAGTTTGACTGAATTTTTAATGATGTAAATCAAGAACATTTCTACTCACACCTAGTCTATTGAATTGTGTTTTCACTTGTAAATCAACAAAAAATGAACATTTAATCTAACATCAATATATTTTATTTCAATAATTAATGAATAAATAATATTATTTACAGTTAATGGAAGTAATACAATCATTTATTTGTAAGTGTAAAATTTTAATGTAAAAATAATTACTACACCAATCATATTGTTTTTCAATATCCAAGTATATATAAAGCAAAACACAGCACAGTGAGTAAAATATCACATCATGCAAATTACATTTGTAATGAATAGAATGATATTGAAAAACAACAACAATGAAAACATATGCTGAATAATGCTCCATTGGATTCAAAATACTAAAAACAAACCATGACAGTGAACATTGTAAAATACAGATACAGCTTATATCTAATTCCTTATAATTGTAAAAATATAGAAATAGGCCTACTTAAGCCTTCATAAAAAATGAAGAAATAAAGAATTCATAAAAATGCATCATTTAGTTTAATTCAAATTAAACCAAGGTTTATGCCCAAATAATATACAGGTCTGAATTTGATTGTATGGCTCTTGAGAGAGATCATGTAAACAATCACCATGGATTCCAATTGTTTACAAAAATAAATGTTTTTAAAATGGACGGATATTTCACTGGCAAATGCTACTTTATGAGTAAAGTATAAAATATATACATATTCATTTTACAAACATGATGGATTTATGTGTTTTTACATACATATACACTATGAAGGCTATCTATAAAGTATTTGAATTCCAAGTCTTATCAACTTTGACAATAAAATCAAAAACAGGGTTGCAGAAACATGTATTGCATGTCTAATTATGTCTAATGTCTAATTATTTAGCGGCTCCAAATGTATTCTTTTAGATCAGAGAGTGAGAGGTCATGGAAAGATAACGTTTTAATTTCTCAACAAACATCCCTTGGTATATAAAGTACATGTATGTGCTAAAACATGGGTAATTGAATGTATTTGAAATTGACAGATTGCTAACACATAGGGAATTAAAATGTGTTCCCTATTAACACATTGATCTCAGTAATGTTTTAATTGGAAGATACATTCAGTAATCTATGATTGGAAGATACATGCACATAAATATTCTCAAAATAGAATCCACTTTGACAATGAATTCACCTTTTCTAAAATCCTTTTCAATGATATTGTTCGGTGAAAAGGAATTTCCTAGTGGTATTAAAGCAAAGCTAGTCTGGCTCAGCAATCTGCAGATGGAATGATAATAGGACTTTAATAGGACTGTCCCATTGCACAATGTAATGCCGAGGCCCCGGGGTCAAGGCCTTGCATAACCTTTCCTTCTTGTTCTTTCACCTCCATACCTGAAATCATTATATTCTTATGAGTATATCATGGTTCCATATGAATGAAAAAATATACGAAATAAACAGTCTAAGAATTTATTTGATATTAGAGGATGATTTCAAATAATGCTATAGTAACACAACCCAATATCAAAGAGCTTTGGTAACTTTATGAGATGTAAACAGAAATGAAAATGGAGCCACAAATGTAATACAATGTTTTATAAAGGAGATACTTCTGATGCATAGATCTAATCAACCTTAGGTACATGTTCTTTAACAATCTCATTGAAAGTCAAGACTCAGTGGGATTCAGTCAGGGAATTCCACATGAACACTTCAACCTTGAAAGTACCAACAATTCAATGTTATTCTACACACTGAGGAATGGTGTCCAATTATGATGTCATGGCAAAACGAAGTTAATTTCATTACGGTTTGACCCCCCTACCATCATCTAATGGAATCTTAAAATGGGTCTTTCACTCAATTATTAAAAGAAATTAACACTATTTGCAAATGAAATCATCATTTCTCTCTAACCCTAATGAAACTAACTTCATTATTCCACGACTGTTGAAAATTTGAAACAAAAAATACAAAATATGTACGGTACCTGGCAAGTTGGGTGTCTATATAGCTCTGTAACTGGTGCACTTGTTCTTCAAGCATTGTGTTCTTACTGATGAGATCTGCTCGCTCTGATTCCAACTCTTGTTGCGTGTTCAATGTAAACTCACGCAGCTGTTTCCGTAAGCTGTTCCATGTATCTTCCTGCCTCCCCTCTGTGGATATTCTGAAAGAGAAATTTGAAATTTCCAGATGACTTCTGAAATTGAAGGTTCAAAGTTCGAAAAAGTTTCTGTCTTATCAAACAAAGAAAGAATCTCAAATTTATGCTGGTCTAGTTCAACATATTCATCCAAATGGATGTGTTTATCAGAGTTTTTTTTGTTGTTTAATCACCGAATTTGGAGGCAAATCACTTTTAACTACTGACAAGTGTCATTGTTATCCCTACTATTGACATCACTCATTGTGCAAACATTGGCCACTGTCATATTTTGAATTAAGCAACATTTGCACCACTCAAAAAATGACAAGAATTAACTGGACTATTCACTTTTGATGAAATTGGTGGAACTGAAGTAGAACTATGATAAAAAATATGTTACACAACAAATTATGGAGTAGGCTTTGGATATGAATAAGTTTCAAAATAAATTATTCAGTTTCAATAACAAAAGTACATCATATTTCTCATACTGAATTGTAGAACTTCTTACTATGTACAATGCTGTCATCGCGATAGCCACGATAGCCACGCCCCCTTTGTCTTTATCCTTCCAAAGCAAACGGCAGATAAGAGGGGCTCTGGCATACCAGAATGCAATGTTGTACATGTTTGGAAAATCTTGACAATAGCTTTCAATGAAGCCAATCACTGACAAATACTGTGACAAAGCGACTCTTGGAAGTGTGGTCAAATACAGTTTTGTATACTTACGAGGAATCTGAAGCATTCTTTAAATTCAAGGCAGGGTTGTCCTTTCCATGGAATCCAACATTCAACTGTAATTCATAAGAATTTAATAAATATTGATATATGGATACAGCTGTATGGAATTAACTTTTGGGGATTTTATGGAAACCAGAGATTTCTCCTGATTGACTGTATTGTGAATTATTGTTTTTTGGAAAATGGCTTCAGTTTTGCAAATGGATATCAACCCTTTGCTACTCTAATTGACTCTAAGACTGAAATGTGTATGTCCACTAAAGATGCTATTATTGCTTTATAAAAAAATATATCACTATTGTTTATCATTGTTGTCTTAATAAAGATGTCACTTATGAAAAGAGCGACACAACATATAAACAGTCTTGATTTGTTTTGTCATATGTGCATAACAAAACACAAATACATTTCTAAAGGTTTATAAATTTTATGAGACAGACAGCATAAATGCATGATTATAAATGCCTAATTCATCTTGATCAATATCATAATATTCTCACTCTAAGTTTTGTTGCTTCATAACTGCTTTTGATTTTTTCTAGCTCATCCTTGAGACGGAATATTTCTTGTTCTTGCCGAGATTGGAGCTCTTTGTCCTTCATTTGCAAATCACTTTCATCTGGTCCCAGTTCTATGTCGTGTATACCCAGTGAATCAACCTGTTGCCGAAGATCTCTGAAAAATGTAATATTTTAGAAGATTTGTGCAAATTCTACATTCATGTCTTTAACCAATATAATAATAATAGGTTTTATCTCCTCTAAAGTTTTTCTAATTCTTTCAATCACAGTTTCAGATGATAAAAGTGAAAAAATGGCCAATGAATTCAAAAATGGCATATCAATCATATTGCTAGTTAATTTTGTGTAACCATAAAATAAAACAATGTATAAGGTCACAACTAATCTAGGATGAATACAAAAATCGACTTCAAATACCTGTATGCAATAAGTAATCCCTCGTGCCTTTTAATGACCTGGTGGAGCTGTTTGTTCATGGTTTGGACAGCCTGGCTTAGCTGCTCTTCACGATGTTTATGAGCTGTCCTCAGATCTTTTATCATCCTATGAACATATTTCGTAAGTTTTTCTTTAGCTGCACCTTCATCTTCCCCAAACTTCTGTCCCCTTCCAGGCTTATCAATGTATTCCTGAAAAGGATTTGATATTATTAATTTGTGTATTGAAGACAATGTTTGGAGCGGGGTGAGCCAAAAAGGGTAACCCAAATAAATCTTAATAACTCAGTCATCCAGACGAGTATGGGTTTTAGTCATATTTGGCACAATTGAATTTTTGTCCAATGTTCTTTCAATCCACCAAGTTTTATTGGTCTTCTTCAAATGGTCACGATTTTATGACTATTTTACAATACAAGATGCCAATTTTAATCTGAATATGGAATACTAAAAAATAATTTGTTCATGTCTGACCTCATCTTACAAGATGAAAAGTACAGAGTGAATTCTGATTTCTGTTCACTTACTGCAATGTCTCTGACATACTGGTTCAGTCTGCTCTTGTATTCCTCATTGATGTCCTTCAGTTTGTGCTGCAACCTGTTCCTCTCTGACTCCAGTTGGTCTCTGCTGCTCCTTGCTGTGATTAGTTGCTACGGAAGAGGACACATTAAAATGAGTTAAAACATGTTTGAGCATCATGCTTTCTTTATAGTAAGAAAATAATGTACAGGATAGCAAAAAACAAATGCATCCCCTCTAGGCCTCTACAGCAAAACATCTCAATGAAACATTGAGTGAAATACCATGCTATCTGAAAATTTAATTTTGGTGTAACCAATGAAGGTCTAGCATGGTATGATAAAAATGACATATAATCTTTTTACAAACTCTTTTACTTGGTGATACTTAGGTAACTCCACAATTAAATTCCCTTTAAGATGATATGATCACATTATGTAATATGTATCAAGAAGGTTTCGCTGTTAAGGAGGGTGAGGGGCATAATGTGATTGATATTGCAGATAACATATTCAAGATCACAGATGAGGGAGCGAGAAATAAACATGGAATTTGATGAGAGGAATAGAGAATATACAGTGAAACCAAAGTTTAAGTCACAAATATCTAAACATAAATGTATAATGAAGCATGTCTTATCCTTCCTTCTGAAGCCTGAAGTCATCTTGAAGACAAAAAGATGTAGGAGTATATTGGGATGAAGACTGCAATAAATAAGGAACAAGTTCAGGACAACAATTTTTGGAGAATCTAGATGTGTAAAATAACTCACTGCATTTAGTTGTGATATTGTGGTCTGCCTTTCTCTTGCTAGGTTCCTTGCATCATTCAGGTGTTTCTTCGTTGTTGCTCTAAAAATGCATTGAAAGTACATTTATTACCTTCACTGTATGTCGTTTGTCATTAACTGTCATTCAGTGAGTCTTTGAGCACCATAGTTTTTAAAAATGTACAATAAACATGATTTGATGACAGGAAAAACAAAAAGCACTTTGATAAACTTTTGTCTATTTTTTTAATCTTTTTTCTTTTTTCTGAATATCACTATGATCATGGAAACACAGTGGACATCCCCAAGATGAAATGAATATATTGGGCACATTTCTCAGGTCAAATTCAATATAAGCAGTTAATATGATAAATGACTGTGCTGTAACAATGGACTTCTCATAGTCCAATGGCAGTCTGGCCTTAAAGACTACTCTCAACTCAAACTTTACTTTTTTGGAACTCCATTGGAAGAGGATGTGGAAAGTGTGAAATCTAACTATCAATTATTTACTTTTAAACTTACACTTTGTTTTCAAGAGTTTTCTGCTGTTTGTCATATTGGTTATGGATTTTGTCCATCTTGCCTTTAAACCTCTTCTCATCTCCAAATACCTACAATATACACACAATATACACATCAGAAACACAATTAGAATTCACAGCACTATCTAGACTCAACTGTGTTATTAATTTGCTTGTGGTGACATTGCCTTTTGCGAGGGGCTAGACATGATGTGAGTGAGGCCCATCATTAACTAATTGCTGACCAACCCCGAGATATCTTGTGTATGAGGTCATAATCGTATCTGACCAACCTGAGATATCTTGGGATGCTGTACAATAATTATCACTGTTGGGTGCAATTGAAATATATTGACGTCGGCTTCACAATGGCGTAAAAGATAGCACAGAGGGTGTTGAGACAGTCCATTTGATGCTAATATGAAAACATGCCATTTTGATCATTTTTTCATCAAAATTGCCAGTCACTAGCAGAAAACCTTCAATATAGCTTTGGCCAGCAATGAGTTAAGCATGAGCAAAGTTATGGGAGGATGAGGTCTCGATAACACCAATGAAATTATGCAATTTATTGAGTTCAATATTATTTTACAAGGGGAAAGTGACAGAATGTAACAATATTTCTCTTAATAAGGATTGAGAGACTATTTTCTTCCTATTAGCAGTCCAAACTTTTAGTTAATGGTATTTGATAAGTATAATCAAGAGTAAGTACAGAAAACAGATCTCCAAGAAATATGAATTCATATGTTACTTACACTCATCTGTACTGACTGGCGGTCCCGCTCACTGACTAGTTCATCTTTCTAAAATTTACAATATAACACATATTTCAAGATCACCAAGTTGTAACCATGAGCATATGCAATAATTCTTTTAAATGGTTTTCTGAGGCTGATTCTGACAAAAATGGCCATATTATAATTCTAGATTACCCCCTATTCAATCTAACAGCTGTCAAATCTGAATTGAATCCAAACAAGCTTTTTCTTGACAAGAAATATCAACAATAAGACACAGGATGAAAATATCGCCCCCTTTAATAGAATATCAAGAGGGGTTTATATTCTAAAAATTGGCAAAATTATGGCTATTATGTATAGTTTTTTGTTAGAAGGGATTCAAACATGACCATTCTCTAACTGAGTTTCTCAACCAATCAGAATGCAGCATAGCCATTCTCTAATCCTCCATACATGCACTACTGTGCACTTATTCTATCTGCTTCTGGAAATATGTATTGTGATGTAATGTCATACAAAGCACAAACAGAAGGTGAGTGCATTTGTACGGACATTCTGTTCAACAGGTGCTTCATTAAAGCAATCAACAAGACTTTACCGACAAGATTTAAGGTTGGAATCTCAAAATAGCTGCCTTGAAATTTACCCAGCTTGCCATAAATCTAATCAGAGGCAATAACACGTCATCATATTCCCCATTTGTAACAATGACAAAAACAAAATTATTGTCTAATAATCATGTCACTATCATATTAATGAAATGCTCATTAAAGGCCCAATTTCAACCTAAATGAATAATGGTGATGTAATTGAAAAAACAAGTAAATTAGATCAATCTAACTGTTGATTGACAGTTATTAATGAGGAGATCGAAAATTAACTTTTATAAAACATTGGAATATCTTTGGCAATAATTTATGAGCCTGAAAGTATTTCCTAATATGATTGTCAGAGGGAAATGAAAAATTACTAACAAAGCTGGTAATTCACTTGTATATACCATCAGCTTTAAATAAGACAATAACAGGGACTAAAACGGATCACGAAAGAAAAAATCTCCATACATAGATCACTTATTGTGCTGTTGAATAATTGTTAATCCTCAGGATTAGCATGATGCACACAACATTTATACTAATTGGCTTGTTTGCTGCATGTGCAGTGGCACCAGATCCATTGAATGGTTCAAGCTCGACCCCTCCAAAATGCTGTCCACCACAGCTCTATCAGGTTTGTAAATGCTTTATTGTTTGGCACTTTATTCTATTATAATTTTTTTTGACTCAGTGTTAAAAATCAGTTTTGTAAACTAAACTAAATCACACTTCTAAAAAAGTATTTTTGCTCATGGTTTACAGGTAGAATTTTGGGATAAGTGTACACAGCCGGAACTAAGGAATTGTTCTAATAAATGCACGAAGGCTTTTTCATTTTAGTCATTTCTTCAATCATACCATCATAAAATGTATAAGAGTATGAGAATTTTTTTTTATTCACAAATATAAAACATGTACAAAAACAATACAATAAATTGCATATAAGCAGGATTCACAAAAGAGTATGAGAATTGGTCACATATTTTGCTTTAAATCTATTGATTGGTGCCAGATATTGCAAATTACAAAAGTGTAACAATTTGTCACAGCCTCCAAACACTGATGCTGACTGTTAAGGCTGATCAAAAAATGTGGCTTTTACAATACAGGGTGTACAGGGTGTGCCAAAAACATTCATGTTTTTTTTTCTTAAAATAACCATTTCAATAATGCATGGATTTCAAAACTATTTTCACAGGAGGTACAACAGTCAATTACACAAATGATATTAAAATGGCATAAGCATGACTTTTATAGTATTTAAATAAATGAGTTTAATGTAAAAAGGGTGAATGCAAGTTAATCAAGTTTTTTTCAAATTATTCAACCTCCGCATATATATAAATCAGACTGACATCTTAATCACTGTATAAAGAAGGCAATAAGGAGGACTGTTTCAACATCAAGAATTTTTTTTCATTTTTTGGGGGATGCCAGAGGGGTTGTGGACGCACCCAATGTACCTCCCCCCATCTGAAACTGCTAACATTACATTTTTTGTTGGAAATAGCTTGAGGACATTCTACTCAAAAGTGTTCCTCTGACAAAAAATATAAGATTGACAATCTGGTATTTTCATTTTAAGCATGACTATTAATTTTGGCCCACCCTGTATATATTTATAATTTTGTACTTTCTTTTTATCCTGCAGGCGGATATTCGAATGACTCAAGGCCTCACTATCAGTGGACAAAGTATGGCCAATTTTTTAGATGGCCATTGGTGGTTTGATCGTTGGAATAAAACAAATGCATATGAAGGGATTTTCACTATGAATGGACACAAGTCAGAAATAAAGTTCATACAAGATAATGTGGCAAAGAAGCAATACAATATAAATAAAGCAGGCAGAACCTGTGATGTAATCGATCAGGCCTTTCCTCACTTTGATGGATGCATCCCAGAGAGTGCAAGCTTTATGGGACAAGAAAATCTGGGGAAAGATTTCATGGTTAGTATTGTAGCAGTGATAGCAGTTACATTAAAGCGGCTCCTCAATCTATACAAATGTAAGAATTTGAAAAAGATCAACTCCCCAGAGTGGCAGTCCCACCGAACAAAACATCAACTCACTCCTAATTTTGAAAATTACATGAAAAAATAACCAGCCGGTAGTACAGTAGTATTGTCTCCTTTCAGCAAAAACTGCACCCATTATTCTACTTGATACAAGATAATGAATTCTTTCTCAAGGAGAGGTCCTATATGACCTTTAACCATAAGGCATTAACGTATAAACTTAAACCAAATCTATGTATCAAAGTTTCAGTGTCTTAAAATGCTACTCTGTCCACAAGACTGAGGTATTTCTAACTGTTGCTGGACTAAACTTAGCTTGTATTCTCGAATGCAACTAACGCCTGTTGTCTACCGGATTTAACCTACTATTCTATGGGTAACTCATTTTAAATATGAATAGAACCTGCCACTATTCCATTCATATTTAAATGAGTTGGCCATAAAACAGTAGGTTAATCCGGTAGCTGACAGGCGTTAGTTACATTCGCGAATACAAGGTTAGATTTTACTTTTAAAAGCTACAAAAATCTTGTCTGATAGAGAGAAAACATGAAACAGTTATTACATGAATACTGCACTTTGTTAAAATAAAAATATTAAATGAACAGGCGCCTTTCTCTTTCAAGCTCAGTTTGCTATATATATAGAAGTATGCTACAGTAAATGTTAATGTTTTTTCTTTTATTGTAGGTGAATACATGGAGTGCAAAGCTACAGAGTGACGCATACGATATTGCCTTTGAGATGACAGTAACACCTGATGATTGCATCCCTATAACAGTGACAACTATAAGTGAAGCAACTGCTGAATATGGTGTAACATCAACAACCCGGTTTTCCAGCTTTCAAGAGGGCATTCAAGATATGAGTGTATTTGACATTCCTGACTATTGTCAAAAATAACTGATTTACAAATTGACATGACAATATGAATTGTCACAATGGTCATACTTTGTTGAGAAAGCACAAGTTTGGGATTGAAACATGTAAAGAATAGGGTTGCATTGAAGGAAACTTTCAAACACTATATAAACCTAATGTATATCAAAAACTTAAAGAGAGAATCAGATATAGCGAGCAGGCTAAACAAAAAATTGTCTCAATTTTAGAATATTTTTGGCTCATGTCATTCCTTGTCATGTCTATTTTCTAAAAATCACAAAAGTGCATAATTTATTCCAGGAAAACTAAAGATTTTTACAATAATGTATTATTTTTTTATAAGAATGGTTACCATTCTTATTATTTGGGAGAATTTAAACATTTTTCACTCATTTTGCACTTTGAATCATTAATAACTTCACCAGTTTATAACATATTAAGAATCTTTTGGGAGATCTTGTATTTGATATTGTAAAGAATAGATTGGCAGGTCAATTATACATGTTGCTTGTAATTTTGTCACCCCCTATAGATCAGATTCTGCCTTTAAGATATTGACCAGAAATATGCACTGTGGATTCAATTTGAAAAAAATCTATTGTCTGCTTTTATCAAAAAATATTATGATATTTGCACCTCAAACTAAGTGCAATGAATAATAAGAATGACATTGACAGTTTCATATTGAGATAATATAAGTATGATTATTCATTATCTAATCAGGATCAGTAATTTGGTTAATATCCAAACAACATCTTTTAATATTCTTTCTTTACTTTTCTCAAAATTGATAATTAAATGTATATATCATCATTATCATGCCAGTAGCTGTGTCAACAACTGAAAAATTTTAATGTTGAGGAATTTGCCATCCCCCAACAAGAACCCTCAACTTCCATTGTACTATACATAAATCATTGAAGATGACACATCAAATTAATGAAATGACACATCAAAATATCTGACATGTATGAAACACTAACGCCCAAGTTAAGACAGCACAGCTTTATTTGCCCATGTGCGCTTATAACGATTGTTTCCCAGAATCAAGACTTTTTTAAAAAGACATCAGGTGTTGATGTCTCACTTTTCTTGTTCAAACAAACCACTGGAAAATTGATTTGAAATTCAGGAATGTTTCTAAGTATGAAAATCTAGATATGATTAGTTTTTGGACATGGAAGGCATATCTTAAGGTGGTCATTTTAGATATTTAAATACTACAGTAAAACCTGTCTAATCCGAACACCCATGGGACCAGCCATAAGCGTTGTATATTGTTCACCCTGTGTCTTACTTTACTGCATTTGTCTTTAATTTGGCAAAGGAGAACCCCCGATAAGGAGAGCTTTTTAGAAGGACACAACTATTTTATTCTGGAAGTGATCATCATGAAATTTTAGCATACTTTTAAAAATGAGGTGAATTTATACATCCTGAAATATTTTTATCGAATTATTAAAACATGCGTTTGTAGAATGGTTTTTGTGAAGCGATAAAATTCAATTTTCCATATTTAACCATTACATTTTGCTTAAAATCAATAACTTTCCCATTACTGTACGAGCAAAATAGAAAGTGACTAAGTAACATAATGAAGCAAAGTCTTAGTTTTCATAAAGAAATCAATGGGCGCTCTACCAAAAATATATTTTGAGAATTTTTACAAATTGGTTTCATTATTCTGTCATTCTCATGAGTGGAAAAGGTCTCAAAAACATATTTCTAGGGATACGCCCATAGATTTTCTAACAGTTCAGATAAATAGGTATCTTACAACTGTGATACGTTGATCCTATCCCATCAGGCCATACACAGATTTGAACCACAAATAAAGAGTCTAACCTTAAATAAAGGACCCACGGTCCTGTGCTCACACAGTTTGTAACCTTCAGAGGAATGTATATCCTGACTTTCAAACAAAAATATTGATTTGGATTTGTAGTCTCGAACTTTGAGAAATTTAGATAGCACAGTTGTGTGACCTAGTTTGATGACCTTTCACCTTGAAAATTTTACTTATTCAAAGCTCAGTAAGGTCTTTTGTGATTAAGCTGACCAAAATATACATCCAAAAATCAATTTGAAAAATCAACTTTTTTGACCTTTTGAAGGTCACTGAAGGTCAAGTAAAGGTCAAATCCTAAACCTAATGTCAGATTTGAACTCTTGAACTTGTAGATGATTTTCAAAAAAAATTTGGTCAAATTGAAGCAAGTTGAAAAATAACTTATTTTTACTGTTTTTTGACGTCAAATATCTCAAAATCGGTAAAAATTTGATGCTGACATATATTGAGCAATATGTAGGGAATGCTTAAATCTAGTAATGTTGTAATTCATTGCAAGAAATGATCAAGTATAAGGCAAACTTCTTGTCAATCACAAAACCTCCCATTGACTTTACACATGAGAAAGTTTCCTGAAAATGACTTTTATAGAGTTATTTGAAAGTTGTACTTCAACAAATTTAACTTCAAGTATTTACAGAAAATTTGACTTTTTGACGTCAAAATCAGCAATTTCTCTGAAACCTGGCAAACTTGGGAAATGGCGATGATAGGTCAAATAGGCATTATGGATATGCATAAAATGAATGTGGATATGACTCAATCCGAATAGCAGTTTTAATTTGTGCGGCCAATGTTGACGGACAGACGGACCAACGGACGGACGCATGGTCGATCCCATAGGCTCACTGTGTGAGCCAAAAACGAGTTCATTGCCTTGCAAAAAATGTTCTTAAAAAAGCAATTTTTATATCACACATGTTGTTTTTGGGAATATCTAAGATCACCTAATATCTAAGATCATTTCTGATGTAGTGTTAAACTTCCATGATGATCACATCCAGAATTAAAAGCAATGTCCTTCTAAAAAGCTCTCCTTATCAGGGGTTCTCCTTTTGGCGAATTGAAAAAATCGCCAAATTAAAAAGTCGGCAAAATCCCCGGGGATTTGACATGATTTTCATTCAGTGCATTTCTTACCAAGATACCAAGATAGCTGGGCCATTTAAATTTATAGAAACAACAAGGTCAAGAAATATTGAAGTTTATATAAACAACGAGAAATATTGAAGAAATTGTTCATCAACAATAATGACAATCAGTATCTTGAAGCGGGACACACAGGAGCATGTTGGGGACACTTGAAAGCCGTCAAATTAAATAGATGCCAGTAGGCCCAAAACATCAAATTAGTAGCGCCAAATTAAAGACAAACACAGTAAGTCAGTGGTTTCCCGAGCATTGAAACAAGAGTGTGTTACACCTAACTGATGAAATTTAAGAGAAATGATATGTCTTTGAATATATTGAGTATTAATTTGAATGTCTACAAAATATCAACATATACTTACCCCAGGTCTCTTTGATAGTCTGGTGACTACTGCTCGGACCCTGGCAATTTCTTCCGCAGGGTCCTCATGTTCTATTCCATGGAGTCTTTCCATGTTTTCCATCTGTCGCAGAAGTGTTGCCTTGGCATTGACTAGGTTCAGTAGTTCCATGCTCAACTCTTCAAGTTTGGCACTCTATATTGTATATAAGGTAAAATGAGTTAATTTTTTCATTTTAGCAATTTTTCATTTTAGGGCCCCTTTACATAATGATAACAACCAGAACAACGGCAACGCCAAAGCGTAGCGAATCCCATCGAACAGAAATGGCTGGCATTTTTACAAACGAATAGCAAATATCATAAAACAACACACCAGAAAGGCCACCATTTTCAAAATGGTTGCTCACTAGCCAAGTTGTCATCAGAAGAAATAATATGCTTTTCAGTAGCCACCTCTAAATTTTTTGAAAAATCGCACACGTACTTGTAAAATAACACACATAAAAATGGTGGCCATTTTTCAAAATGGCCGACTACTCCCCAAAGTTTTATTAGACAATGTGCCATGCTTAAAGTATTCACATATCAAATATGAACAGAATTGCTCCACTACTTTTCGAGTTATAGTAAAATACGTTAAAATGGTGGCCATTTTTCAAAAAAATTTTCAAAATGGCCGCCTTCTACCAAAAGTGTCATAGGACAGTGTGCCATGCTTATAGTATTCACATACCAAATATGAATAAAATCGCTCCACTATTTTTTGAGTTATAGCAAAAATCGTAAAATGACGAGTTAAGGCCGCCATTTTTCAAGATGGCTGCCATGTGCTTCTTTAATATCTACATTTGTAGCATTATTAATGTCCTTTATAATTTTTTTACATTTAAAACATATTGATATAACAGTTTTACATATTGCACCTAAATTACTGTAAAATCGGCACTAAAATGGCCGCCATATTGAAATGAGCGGCCATTTTGAAAATCGGCTTTCGAGCAGAACTTTTACCCCCATAAGGTATATGTGTACAAAATATGAACAAAATCGGGCCAACGGTATTTGAGTTATTGCCCGGACGGACAGACGGACAGACGGACGGACGTACGTATGGACGGACGGATGGAGGCGTTCCCTATATCCCTCCGAACTTCGTTCGATGGGATAATAACAAAATACAAAAAAACAAAAGTTCCACCTTTCAGTGTTTAGGAAAACCATTGACATTGTACATTGTACATTGTGTATAAATCTAAAAAAAATCATAAAATCTTCTTACCTGTTGTTCATGGTCTTTATTAATGGCTATATAATTTGTCTTCAATGTAACGTATTCATCAGCAAGATCTTTGCGATCTTTTTCCATTTCTGCAAGCCTCTCTTTGGCATTATGTGACTCACTTTTATATTTGTTTCGCTCAAGTTCAACCTCCAAAAGATCATTCTCCAAGGCAAGGATCTTAAACACAAAAAATGTAAAATATGTTTTCTATTCAGATAGAAGTAAAGTTATTACATCTTTTAGGAAGATCCTTAAAAATACTATTAAAGGGCCTTGACATCAAAATAAATTTTGAAAAGACATTCAGTACATGCATACAATCATGATTAAAAATCTAGGATATTGAATCTCAAATGCCTTGTAAATGGTTAGACAACATAAATGATACAAATCATTAACATGGCAAAATGTCACTACCTGCTGGTTGAAATTGTAAAAGTGTAACAATTCTTACAGATGCCAAATGCTGGTCATGAAAATGGTGCCTATAACAATATGGGTAACACAATCCATGAACATCCAAAAATATCACTACCTGCCACTTGTTACAGACAACAACTGTTACAGACACCAAATACCAACCACCAAACATCATCCACAAGAAAGTTGGAGAATTCTGGTGGTGACATCATAAAAATGACAATGAATTCTCCCCAGAATCAAAGCAAGTAGGTGATGCACCAGCCTGAGAATATTGAAAATAGGCATTCATCCTGAAAACCCATTTGAGTATATTTGAAACATAGAAACATCACAGAAATTGGCATGATTTGACCAACTTTGACCAGAATTTTTCGCCAAAAGGAATAAATCCTGAATAACACTAATTTGTAGTAAAATTCAATTGCTACCTTATTTGTCAACTCAAACTTGTCCTTCTCATGTTCTTCCTTCAGTTTATTGTTCTCAATTTGTAGATCAACGAGAGTCTTAGATACCTAAAATTCAACGAATAAATATAAAAATTCAAAGATTTGTCACAGTACACGTATTTATCATATTAAACAAATCGAACTAGAATAATTTGGAAACAATATTTTCTTGTATGTAATGTAAACCTCATGGTAAATTGTTTGAAAATTTACACCCGTTTTAGATGGTCTTGTCAGAAATAAACGCTTTGGTAAAGATAAGGCTGGTGATTCATGAAAGCACTGGTACTGGTCATACCTTTAATTTTTCCTCTTCTGAGAGCAATAGTTGGGATGACAGGTCGGTTTTAGTGGTAGCCAGGTTGCCAAATCTTCCTTGTACCTGCTCCAATCTTTCATGTAATCTCTCATTCCTGTCACGGAGCTCCAACTTTATAAGCAACAAAAATATGAAATTAGATGAAGTATGTGGTATGATAAAGACATTAGGCATTAACAAATGTCATTACCAATGTAAGTTGTAAATTTTTACAGATGCCAAACGCAAATTGTTACAGATGCTGAACTCCAAATGCTAAACACCATCCACAATAAAGCTACAGACTATAACAATATGTCACCTCTTCTGAACCTCTTCTTCAGAACTTAATAACTTTTAAAATTCCATGTGTATTTGTTCCTATATCTAGTATAGAATACATATGTACAATTCAGGTTGGATGATAGGAATGATGAAAACCTGACTTACAACCTGCTGACATTTCTATTGAAGTAAGGCTGATAGGTTTCTAATATTAACATGGGTCATGGTCCCTTCTCCCCATTCATAAGACGACGTGGAAATAGAGTGGGGAGGGTAGGAGCAATTAATCACTAAATTAGTCCCATCTTACATTTTCTGTTTGTATTCTCCTGAGCTCATCCTGGACATCTCCGAGCTGGTAAGTGTTTGGTAGGCCAGCCCCCAGACCTATACCTCCCTTCAGAGTCAGGATCTTTGCTCTAAACTGAGTCACTAGTTGCTGTAATGGAAATATGTTATGCTTTAAATAGAACCTTGCTATTCCAACTTTTTGCAGTGAACATTTAGCATTGGAAAAGCATATTACGAGCTGAGATTAAACATTTCAGTCCATTTTATCGGAATGGGCATGTCTGAATTCATAATAATGCAAAGTTTCAGCATTTTTTTAGTTAGAATCCTATTATTTTAATGGTAGGCCTACAATCAGTATAAAACATTAGCTGTTATAAGTTATGCTAGAGGCTTATAGCTATCACAAAATGTGCACTATTTAAAATGGCAAGAAATAATGGAAAGAAAAAGCAAACTATACAATCATTCAAATGATTTTTCCAATTGTGGTCATAGATTATTAAGATTACCTACCTGAGTGAAACTGTCATTCAATACAGGGAAGTTAACAACTTGGGATAACTGAGAACAAAATCTTAGTATCCCAGTCAGAATGTTTGGATCTGAGTCCGGCTTCAAGCAAACAATAGCCCTCGTCTTGCAGTTACCTCCAATCTCATCTTTTAGAATATTCGGCAACTTTGCATCACTAGAAAAGTCAAATCAACAAATTGTACTTAATAGTTGATATTCAAGGTTTAGATGCTCTAACAAGAATTGTTTTCTGAAAGTATGTCCCAGAAATTGTTCCTTAATCTTTCATTTTCACAAGCATTTGAAAAAATCTGAAAAATATCATATTTTTATGTAACGGAGAATATAATTTATTGGTTGGATGATAAAAACCTGACTTACAAGCTGCTGACATTTCTATCGGGGTAAGGCTGATTGGCCAAGGCAGCGACATACTGACTCAATCCTACGACAGACTTGTTTAATGTTGGTCCCTCTCTCATACGTAATTGAATTGATTCATCTGACAACTTCTCAGAACCTGCAAGCTTCACTATGGTCAACCTTGACCTGTGTGGAAGGGGGCTGTCACCAGTGCGCTAAAACAAAAGAACTTACAATGTAATTGTTGATGAACTTTGAGAGTCTTAAAAATGTCTACTTATCTTAAATGGAGTGTTATTGAACGTATAAATTGTTCAAAAAAGATTTTAGAATTGAATTATATTTGAAATTAGATAATAAAAAGTATAGATTGGCGATAAGTAGATTTCGAATGAGTTTTCATCGATTGGCGATTGAGACTGGAAGACATCACGGGGTACCATCGAATAATTTTGGCAACGTACCGGAGAACGACATTTTACTAAGAAATGGCAATAATTTAGCACAATATATTTTTTAACTAGAGTTTTATTTTGATTTTGACAAAAGTAAGTATTCCATGCAATAACTATTTCATTCATGAGTTTGTAGGAATTCTGTTGGAACCCAGTACGAAGTTATTGAAATCGGCGCAGACGGACTTTACTCCGAAATATGGTTTTTCGATTATAACTTTTCACAACATTTAAGTATAGACTTTTGAAAAAAGTACAGAATAGTCCTTATACTTTTGAATAATTCTGTTATTTCTGATTCACACGACTCTGATTTGTTTAATTAAAAAAAAAGTTTTAAAAATATTACTTAGGAACCTAACCGGAGCTGGGAACGTAACCGGAGCAGATCAGTTGAATTATTTAATCAGAAAAATTAAAATATATGATTTAAAGCACATATACTAATTTAAAAACATACGGGATTGTTCGAATGCGTATTTATTAATATATATCTGTATATGCTTTAAATCATATATTTTATTTTTTTAAATTATATAATTCAACTGATCTGCTCCGGTTACGTTCCCAGCTCCGGTTACGTTCCTAAGTAATATTTTTTAAACTTTTTTTTTAATTAAACAAATCAGAGTCGTGTGAATCAGAAATAACAGAATTATTCAATAGTATAAGGACTATTCTGTACTTTTTTCAAAAGTCTATACTTAAATGTTGTAAAAAGTTATAATCGAAAAACCATCTTTCGGAGTAAAGTCTGACTGCGCCGATTTCAATAACTTCGTACTTGATCAGAACTGGGTTCCAACAGAATTCCTACAAACTCATGAATGAAATAGCCATTGCATGGAATACTTACTTTTGTCAAAATCAAAGTAGAACTCTAGTTAAAACAATATATTGTGCTAAATTATTGCCATTTCTTAGTAAAATGTCATTCTCCGGTACGTTGCCAAAATTATTCGATGGTACCCCGTGGACATGCAAAGCCAAAACCAAAACCTAGAGAGGAAAGATTATGCAATACCTGTAAACATATAGAGGATGAATGTCATTCCCTTTTAACTTGTACAAAGAATGATGAGCATAGACAATTACTGTACACTAAGGCTCGTGAAATTCTAAGTAACTTTGACCTCTATAGTGAAAATTTATTTGTCAATCTCATTTCAAGTAAAAACTTAACATTACAAAGACACATTGGAAAATTCATTTATCATTCATTTAAGAATTTGTAGTCAGAATGCAGGGTATGTGCACCACACTTTAAATGTAACCTTGTAACCTTGTCCTTTCATCATGATGTATACTACCTTTATTTTGGGTTTTTGTATATCTCGTATATATTTTTGTACTTTTGCCTTAGTTAGTATTTGTAGTTTAGATATTTAGTTTTTTCATAGTTATGACTAATAACTAATGGCTAGTAGAATGGAGGTCTGAAAATTGTGATTAATATACACGAAGGGGAAAAGGACAAATGAGGTATCGTTGTAAAGCTAAGGACTTCAGCATTTCAAATCCACTTGTACCTAAGTTTGAATTTGGGGCAAAAATTGCAAAAACACCCGTTTCCATAGCAACCATTTAAAATATAATCAATAAATCAGAAATCACCTTTCGGATCATAGAACGCCTGTTATCTGTCCAATTCTAATGATACATATATCAAAATGAAGCTATTGACGCCCCCTTGTTTATAAACAAGAAAATATGCAAATTAGCTAATTTGCATATCTATTATGACGTCATAAGTAGATTCTTGAGCCGATTTGAGGTATTTTGGTGATATATTTGATATTATAATGAGACATTAGTTGTAATTGAAAATGTATTGGTAGACATAACTAAGTTTCATCATTTGAGTTCGAAATAAATTGGTTGCAAGGTTTGAAAAAAGCTAAAAACAGCCGTTTCCATGGCAACTTTAAAATTTAATCATTTAATCAGAAATCATATTTTTGAACATAGTACATATGTTCTTGGTCCGATTTTAATGATATATATACCAAAATGAAGCTATTGAGGCCCCCTGTTCATAATTAACAAGATATGTCTATTTGCTCATTTGCATATTTATTGTGATGTCATAATTATATTTTTTCAACCAATGTTTAGGTAATTTTGAGATGTTTTTGATATTAATGATAACATATTAGTTATAATTATAAATAAACTGGTAGAATTACTACTATTTAAATATCATTATTGATGCTAGAAATAATTTGAGTATTAGCTTTTAAATGTGTTTGAGTCTACTTATAAATGGGTATGAAAAGTATCCTTCTTGGTGACTTGTCCAGAAAAAGCATTTGTAGGTTAAAGGGATTGAGGGCAGAATGCACTAAAACCAAATGTATTCATTTACTGTGTGAAGTTAATATTTTTTAAATAATATCATATTGGTACTAGAACTATTAATTTTATTCAAAATCCATTTTAGGATAAATCATATGTTTATAAAGAATAAACAAATTGTATTTTAAATGTATACATACAATATTAATGTATTTCCATATTTCTGCTATATTAGCATTATTTACATAAGACATATAAGACATGTATGTTAATATGCACAATAGTGATCTGCATATTAGTCCTGCAATATATATTGCCATATTTTCAAGAATGATGGAACTTTTGGATGCATGCTATATTTGTAACTTTTCTGTATATTTAGGGTGTCCTAAATTCAAATCTGCCAGATGCAATTTGAGAACTTTGCGGCATTAATCTGTACAGCCATTTCAATATGATTTAGATTTGATTTTTCCCTTGTTTTCATCATATTTTGGCCAGTTTCTGGCGTCCGGTATAAAACTGCGCATTGTTTAAATATAGCAATAGGTGCACTTGTAATGGTTGAATTATAACTAAAACTTCAAAATATCATTAATGGAATATGAACAGCAGATTAATACCACAGGTATCATATTTGGTCTATACGAAATGACACTATTCCATATTATAGATGTAGTATGGTAAAATAGTGATTTTCAAGAAAAATACACATAATAATGATAGATAATACCTTTTATCATATTGGTTGGTGTTTATAGTGCTCACATGTAATATTTTTTATTGTGTAATGATCAATTAGCATCCATAGTTATCATGATTTGTCTAAATATAATTACATTTGGTCAAATTTATGCGGTACCTGCCCTATTGTTGAAGTAAAATAACTATACAAATAAGATTCAAGATTCTCTTTTCCAAGGACTAAATGTATTTATAGTGACTGGATTATTACTAAAACTTCCAAGTATAATAAATGAAGTGCAAACAGCAGATAAATACCATAGGTTTATGTAGTCTCTCCAAAATGATATTACTTCATAATACAGATAAAGTATGGTATCCCTACCCCATTTTTATAAAATATTGATTTTCAAGAAAAATACAAATATATAACACCCTTGTTTCCCAATTCATTCTCTAGAAGCCCCTAGTAGACCCTTAGTTATCCAATTTGTTCTCTTGTTCCCCCTAATAGCACCCTAACTACCCCAATTGGTTCTCTAGTTGCCCCCGGTATTTCTCTAGTTAACCCCAATTGGTTCTCAAGTAGCCCCTAGTAGACCCCTAGTTATCAAATTGGTTCTCTTGTTGCCCCTTATAGCACCCTAACTACCCCAACTGGTTCTCTAGTTGCCCCCGGTATTGTTCTAGTTACCCCAATTGGTTTTCTAGTAGCCCCTAGTAGACCCTTAGTTATCAAATTGGTTCTCTTGTTGCCCCTTATAGCACCCTAACTACCCCAACTGGTTCTCTAGTTGCCCCCGGTATTGTTCTAGTTAACCCAATTGGTTTTCCAGTAGCCCCTATTGGCACCCTAGTTACCCCAATTGGTTCTCTAATAGTCCAAGTAGCACCCTAGGTGCCCCAATTGGTTCTCTAGTAGCCTCTAGTAGCACCCTAGTTACACCAGTTGGTTCTCTAGTAGCCTCTAATAGCACCCTAGTTACCCCCAATTGGTTCTCTAGTAGGCCGCAATAGCACCCTAGTTACCCCAATTGGTTCTCTAGTAGCACCATAGTTACTTCAATTGGTTCTCTAGTAGCACCCTAACTACCTCAATTTGTTGTCTAGTAGCCTCTAGTAGCACCCTAGTTACCCCAATTCGTTCTCTAGTAGGCCCCAATAGCACCCTAATTACCCAAATTGGTTCTCTAGAAGCACCCTAATTGCCCCAATTGGTTCTCTAGTAGCCTCTATTATCACCCTAGTTACCCTAATTGGTTCTCTAGTAGCACCCTAGTTGCCCCCATTGGTTCTCTAGTAACACCCTTGTTCCCAATTCGTTCTCCAGTTGTCCCTAGTCGACCCCTAGTTATCCAATTGGTTCTCTTGTTCCCCCTAATAGCACCCTAACTACCCCAATTGGTTCTCTAGTTCCCCCCTGGTATTTCTCTAGTTAACCCCAATTGGTTCTCAAGTAGCCCCTAATAGACCCCTAGTTATCAAATTGGTTCTTTTGTTGCCTCTTATAGCACCCTAACTACCCCAACTGGTTCTCTAGTTGCCCCCGGTATTGTTCTAGTTACCCCAGCTGGTTTTCTAGTAGCCCCTATTGGCACCCTAGTTACCCCAATTGGTTCTCTAATAGCCCAAGGAGCACCCAAGGTGCCTCAATTGGTTCTCTGGTAGCCCCTAGTAGCACCCTAGTTACTTCAATTGGTTCTCTAGTAGCACCCTAACTACCTCAATTTGTTAGTAGCCTCTAGTAGCACCCTAGTTACCCCAATTGGTTCTCTAGTAGCCTCTAGTAGCACCCTAGTTACACCAATTGGTTCTCCAGTAGCCTTCAATAGCACCCTAGTTACCCCAATTGGTTCTCTAGTAGGCAGCAATAGCACCCTGGTTACCCAAATTGGTTCTCTAGTAGCACCCTAGTTACTTCAATTGGTTCTCTAGTAGTACCCTAACTACCTCAATTTGTTCTCTAGTAGCCTCTAGTAGCACCCTAGTTACCCCAATTGGTTCTCTAGTAGGCCCCAATAGCACCCTAGTTACCAAAATTGGTTCTCTATTAGCACCCTAGTTGCCCTAATTGGTTCTCAGCTTCTAGTTGCGCCCTTGTTACCTTAATTGGTTCTCTAGTAGCCCCTAATGGCACCCTGGTTACCCCAATTGTTTCTCTAGTAGCCCCCAGTGGCACCCTTGTTACCCGAATTGGTTCTCTAGTAGGCCCCCATAGAACCCTAGTTACCCCAATTAGTTCTCTAGCACCCTCTAGTGGCACCCTAGTTACCCCAATTAGTATTATGTATCATTAATATGTGTATTTTTCTCCAAACTACATCTATAATATGGAGTAATGTCATTCCGTATAGACCAAATATGTTACCTATGATATTAATCTGCTGTTCCTATTCCATTAATGATATTTGGAATTTTAGTTATAATCAAATCATTACAAGTGCACCTATTGCTATATTTAAACAATGCGCAGTTTTATACTGGAAGCCAAAAACTGGCCAAAACATGAAGAAAACAAGGAAAAAATCAAATACTTTTAATTATTTTAACTGTTTGAACCTGAAATTCCTGGAACAAATTGGAAAATATGTAAAATATCATGTAAAATCACAATTAAATTGATTAGATCTATATATTTCCTTTAAGATTAGCAAATACAAATGCATTGAATTGAAAAAACTGAGAAAAATGGACCCTGGAATGCATATATTGAAATGGCTGTACAGATTAATGCCGCAAAGTACTCAAATTGCATCCGGCAGATTTGAATTCAGGACACTCTAAATATACTGAAAAGTTACAAATCCAGCATGCATCCAAAATTTCCATCATAAGTTGCAGGCCCGAAGACACTTTTCTCCAAGGGGGTGCGGTTTTTAATAAAGAGAAAATAAAATTGTCATTTTTTCCGCGTAAATCAAATCGCGTAAGTCAGAGGGGGGGGGGGGTCAGATACTCTCTATATCAAGGCCACTCAGTCTATTTTGTAGTATTTTATTGTTTTCATATCATGTTTTTAGACTAAATATTGAAAGAGCAATTTGGAGAAACAATGGAAAAGGGAGGGTGTGCTAGAAGGCAATAGAATCAATTTAAAGAAATTCTGATTTTTTAATTATTTTCTTCTTAGAGGAGCGAGTGGGCAGCACAGGAAAATTTTACTAATTCAAGATGCTGTCTGGTTAATTCTGAGCACTTTTAGTATGTTCGAGTAAATGAATGCTTTAGTTTTTGGGATGCGGTGTCAGAATTATTTATGATTTCATTACTGTATAAGTGGTATTTAATCCGAGTGGTTAATTTTCCGAATGGTCAAATTTCATCATTTTCCTATTTTTAATTTTCCTAATGACAAGAAACCTCCCATTGGATAACATTATAAAGACAATATTTCCGACATTTAATTTTGGGAACCTGGCAAATATTAGGAAATAGGCAAATTAAATGATTAGGCAAAATTACCACTTATACAGTATGTCACTTGGTGATTTCTGGGCACTTTTAAAGTGTTTAAAATTAACAAATGCAACTTCCAAACATTCCCAATTGATTTGTGTGGGGGGGGGGGGTGAGGAGTGCCCCCCACCCTTGAAAATGTTACACTTTTGAGATGCTATTTGGTGCTTTCTGGGCATTTTCAAAGTATATGAATCAATAAAAAATGAGTTTCGATTTTTTGGGGGGTGTCAAAGAGGATAAAAGGGTGAGGTGGGGTGGGGATGCCAGAGGGGGGGGCAAAGGGTTTTCCCTCAGAAACATTGACCATTTCAAGGTGCTATTTGATGATGTCTGGGCACTTTAAAAATGAGTCTGAGATAATACATGGAATTCATATTTTTTTTCAATTGTTTTGTGGGGGATGTGATGGGTGACCAACTCTCCTAGAAAATTTTACAATTTTAAGATGATATTTGGTGCTCTCTGGGCACTTTTAAAGTGTATGAGTCAATAAAAAATGAACAACAATCACAATTTTTGTCTCCCATATCTGTCCCCAGAAACATTGACCATATAAAGGTGTTATTTGATGAAGTCTGGGCACCTAAAATGTGTCTGAGACAATACATGAAATAAATTCAGAATTTTTGTCAATTGTTTTGTGGGGGGTGTGAGGGGTGGCCTACTTCCTTAGAAAATTTTACAATTTTACGATGCTATTTGGTGCTTTCTTGGCACTATTAATGTGCATGAGTCAATAAAAAAGATTAAATCATATTTACTTTCTTTTTTTTTTGGGGGGGGGGGTGTCAAACGGAGCCCGAGGAGGAGGTTGGGTGAGGATGCCAGAGGTGGAGCAAGTGTTAGTCCCCAGAAGCATTGACTATATCAAGGAGCTATTTGATGATGTCTGAGCACTTTAAAAGTGTCTGAGACAGTACATAAAATAAATTAAGAACTTTAGAATAGTTTTGTGGGGGGTGTGAGAGGTGGCCCCCTTCCCCTAGAAAATTCTACAATTTTAAGATGCTATTTAGTGCTTTCTGGATACTTTCAAAGTGTATGAGTCCATGCCCGTGTGGGAGGTGGGGTGAGGATGCCAGAGGGGGAGCAAGTGTTAGTCCCCCAGAAATATTGTTAATTGTTTTGGGGGGGATGATACGGGTGGCCTACTTCCTTAGAAAATTTTACAATTTAAATATGCTATTTGGTGCTTTCTGGGCACTATTAAAGTGTATGGGTCAATGGAAAAAAAATTAGAAAAAAAAATTCACAAGAAAATGTGGCGGGGTGTCAGAGGGGGTGCGGTCGCAGCCGTCGCACCCCCCCCCCCATCTGACGGCCATGAGTTGAAATATTGCAGGACTATATAATGCTTACTAAGATAGCATCGGGATAAAGGATAAGCATGAGGATAAAGGTACACTATTTTGTATATTTTCAGACATAGAATTGAGCAATAAAATATTTTCAATATTATTGTGATAAGCAACAGTGATATTGTTGATGTAAGTGTAATATTTATCGGATATCCTATGATTTTGATTTTTAGCACTTTTCAAACCTTGCAGTTAATTTATTTCTAACTCAAATAATGAATTATTAGTAATATCTACCAATAATTTTCAATTACAAATAATCCTTCATTATTATATCAGGTAAATCTCCAAAATATCTCAAATTCGGTTAAAAAATCTACTTATGATGTCATAATAGATATGCAAATTAGCTAATTTGCATATTTTCTTGTTTATAAACAAGGGGGCATCAATAGCTTCATTTTGATATATGTATCATTAGAATTGGACAGATAACAGGCATTCTACGATCCGAAAGGTGATTTCTGATTTATTGATTATATTTTAAATGGTTGCTATGGAAACGGATGTTTTTGCAATTTTTGCCCCAAATTCAAACTTAGGTACAAGTGGATTTGAAAAGCCGAAGTCCTTAGCTTTACAATGGTACCTCATTTGTCCTTTTCCCCATGATGTATTTTAAAAAGTACTTTCCTGGCACATTTGGCCATTGGTTCTACTCGCCTATAATGTAATCATGTTATGATACAAGATGTCAATAAAAGTTATATATTCTAAAAGCATTATCAAAATCCAATTACTCCAAAAAACATTTCTCATACAATACCCAGTAAAATAACATGCAGTTGTATAAGAAATAAAACATGGTGCTACTTAAGGATTTAAGCCCTGGACTCAGTGCATTGTTTGCTGAATCATACCATGAAGGTGTTGTTTCCAAACGTTTGCATGACCACGCAACGGGAATGCAAAGTTTAGGAAACAACGCCTGAGTGGAATGAAGCAGCTTCAATGCATTGAGTCTTGGGCTTAAATTCTTTTCACTCATTGCAAATTTTTTCTATAAAATCATCTAAAAAGGAACAAAATCACTAGGGTGATTGCAAGGGTTAAGTTGGCAAGTCATCAAATCCAATGCGAAAAGTCCATTCATCACCATGACAACTGTGACCTTGCATGTGTTATTGATTATTTCACACACTGTTCTATATGTGAAATACTGTTCGGATTGGCTGGAAATGGACACACCTTGCCTAGCTATGTGTGAATGTAGATTTTATACCACATGTTTCCTGGTAACCTGATTGGATATTACTGAACAGATTTAGGCATTCTACGAATATTTATTTGTTCCTTTGGGTACTAATGAACTATTATAATAGAGACAATTTGGTTTGGTTTTATAGAATGAATCAATCATAAAAGAAGTTGCCTACCATAGTGAGGTCAAGATGCAAAATAATTGTTGCATGGTTGTGTGCAGGGCCAAAATCTGTGTGAGATTGCACCTTCCTAGCCCAGCCTTGTCTGAAGTGAGAAACACCTTCTGGGGCATTTGTCACCTTTACACTACTCCCATGCTGAAAATACATGTACATTTACATTGCACAGTGTAGGTTAATTTATTATTGAAATCAGTTTATCTCGATTTTTGGTATCTCCAACTACATTGTATAATGTAAACCAGCAGATCGGTAACATGTAAAAGACATCTTAAAAGAATCTTGTTTTCCACAAAATATTGTAAAATCGTAGTCATATTGGAAATTCCTTCTTTAGCAGAGGTCCTTTGGCCCTATGACATTAGCCTATAATATTTGCACCAAAAATGCCTCCTGAGCAAAGGTCCTTTGCTCATAACACTTAGCATATAAAATGTGGAATATTCCATAATTTGGTCCATAAATGGTATCTGAGTTAACAAACAGACGGATGGACAAACGGCTTCTCTATATCCCTACAAGCTTTGTTCGGTGGGATAATTAGCTATACTTTGGAACAATATCACAGGGATGGGGTTTCTTGTCTGTAAAATGAGGTGTCTTCGAAAATATCAAATAGTTGAAGAGAGCCTTGGACTTGTAATGGCATTTTGAGTTCTGATTACTGATTATTCCATCACACAAAAATTTAAACTAACCCCTAAAGGTGAAGATTGGGAAATTGTGCTTTGCATAGAAATTCTTTGACAAAATAGTCCATCAAAAACACTGCAAAATCCTTCTTTCAGATAAAAATAAAACTGATTAAAACCTCTTAAATAAACTGATATTACATAGATAAGAATGGTTTGAAAGGTAACATTTTTTATGTTTTGACTGAGAAATATAAGGATAAAATTGATTAATTTCAGTCAAAAATCTGTTTCTAGATTGTCTTCAAGAGTGACCAGATCAGCTTGACCTTGGAGTTTTAACACAGGACATCAATTTCATGTTCCAAATACATGTAAAGAGCTGTCAATCAAAATCTTGAACAGTGTTGTGGAGTAAAGTTATATATTTAAGTTTGGCATGATATCATGATCTTGAAATAGAAAAGAAGTTTTGTAAGAATGATCAAAATTTAATTTGAAAGAATTTATAAAATGATTTCCTGATAAATACATACAGGTCAGAGTGACCTACTTGCGACAGAATATTGAAAATATTATATTTTTAGCACAATGAAACAAATCAATAATCATTTATAAATTGTAGATATGCAAAAAACAAAAACATTAGAATAAGTAAGAAATAATATAAATAAATAAGTAATTAATAAATAATAAATTAGAAAACAGCAACTCCACAGAGAAGCAATTCCACCGAACAAACAATATTTTATAAAATCAATTTAGTTCATTTTAAATATAACATTATTGAAATAAGTTTCAGTAGTTTAGTTGGAGAAAAAATGCTTCCTGTAGTGTACATATTCCAAGGAAAATCTTTTTGTGCTTTTCATCAGGGGGAAGATTTCCCAAAGATGACCTTTCGTATTGGCACTTTCGAAAATTTTATTAACAGGCCTCATTTGCCATTGAAATGGATCTCCAAATGTTCGCAGTAGTTCCAAAGGTTCGCTGAGTATTCTCTACAAGTATGGATCGAGTAACTTCAATAGTATTACCGTAGGTTGGAAATGATGATGTTGATGTCAACGCCATTCCCACGATTTCAAATTTAACTTTGCGCATGCGCAACACTGAGAGAGCATGTGCTCATGATTGTTCACGTGTTCACATCCTGCAATTTGATTGGAGATGATGCGGGAGATGACATAATGGGGAATCCCCGAATACGATAGAATATGAAAGAATAGTCTCAACAAATCCGTTTACAGGTATATGAATTATCAACAATCTCATTATTATACCCAAAATTCATCGAAACAATGATACCATAACTGTGATGTAATTCCATTTATTTAGGCTGGCTGTTCAATATCTGATTCCACTGTGACAGGGTACTTAGTCTGCCTCCCTAGAAATGTAAGGGTTATTCTCTTCACTCTTTATTCAATATATTTTCCTGGATCCCTCTTCTAAACATTCTTTGGGACTTCAAGTGGGAGAAAGACAAGGCTGTAAGTGTAAGCACAATGTACATGTTGATGTTTGGCTTCTGTACTTACCTTAACAAAGACACCTTTCTCCGCTGACTCATCTAACTCCAGATACTGAGGTGTTCCAGTGCCAGAGGGAATCTGGAGCAGATCTCTCACCAATTCATTGAATAGTTCATACATTTGGAACACCACCGAGGCTTTACTCTGAGCCTCATCATACGAGTAATCAGCTGGAATATCAAGATATGTATCATTATTAAAGGTAACAATGTTACTAAGTTTTAATCAGGATTTAAAGGAATGCCATGCCTGAAAATTGTTGGTGCAGCTGTTGAACCTTATGTTAAAGCCTGTTAAACCCTAAACAAAAATAATTGAAAATAATGAAAATTGTAATAAAGGCCATAAATTTAAAACGGTTGCCCAAAAAGGTTATTTTAACATTACGATGTAACATTACATTAAATGTGCCTGCAAGCACGGGAGAAAATCCCACAAGTAAATAAAATTAGAGCAGAGGTGATTACTGAACTTACATGTGGGTAGTTTAGAAAATATAGAGTCAAATATGAGAGGTACAAGGCTAGATCTGCTACCAGTTTCACCAGCAAGTGTGTATGCCTTGCCTGCCCCACTCTCTCCAGCCACCAAGATACATACATTGTAACCAGCAATGAATAGGTCAATAAGAGGCTCGACAGACTCCTTGTAAACCTCATATGTACTGCTGGTTTCCTTGTGTATGTTGTGAAAACTGAAAATAAATTTTGATTTACATGAGTATACGAATGAGTTCATACTTAACATGTAAACTCCTCCTTTGATTAAACCTAAATATTGCCAGATTTGTAGAAATTTATTTGGTTCTTAATGGCAGAATCAGATCTATAGGAGTGACAAAATCACAAGCAACATGTACAATTGACCTACCAATCTATTCCTTACAATTTCAAATACAATATCTCCAAAAAGATTCACGATATGTTATATAAGATTCACGATATGTTATAAATTGATGAAGTTATAACCAGGATTCAAAGTGCAAAAATGGGTGAAAATTTTTTTAATTCTCCCAAATAATTAAAATGGTAATCATTCTTATAGAAAAATAATACATTATTGTAAAAATCTTTAGTTTTCCTCAAAATAAAGTGTGCACTTTGGGGATTTTTAGAAAACAAACATGAAAAAAAAATGTCCTATTAAAGATACAGAATGGATACTTGTATGCTAACACTGTTTGGCAAGGGTAAATCAGACATCCTTATTCAAACTGAATGGAGGTCCAATATTGAAAATTATGTTGAGTCTCGTATATGTAGAACTGTACACAATTAACAACAATAGAATGAGCAGAATACTTTATGCACGAACCTGAAGTATGTTCCTCCTGGTCTACTTGCAACTCTATGGTGACTGTCAATCTCTATGTTTATACCACTAGGTTCCCCACGGATGGGAGGACGAAGTCGTCCAACCACATCTATGTTCATATTTTAGCTCAATTTAACCTGGAAAAATAATATAATGGATAACAAAACAATCGCATTGCAATCATTTGACTATACATACATATGTAATTTTTATGTATACATGTATTTCCTCTAAGTCTAGCCATTTGGGTTTCCCTGTGACTGTCACTGGGTAGTCTAAACTGCTATACAATATGACTGAATTGCCCTTGGTACATGCATATGATTGGACAGTTGAAATGATGAGGGCAGGTTCAAGATACTGAGACGATGGACCTGAAATTGGAGATAACATATTCCAGAGGATAATGATGGCTCCCAATATTGATATGACAGGTAGCGCAAAGGGGTGTAACGTCGACTTGTGGGTAATGTCAACACCAGAAATAGGGTGACTTTGACATTTACTTGTTAAAAATTAGAATTTCCATTGTCAACCAGAGACATATAAAACATTTATTTTATTTGTTTTATATGTCTCTGTGTCAACCATGCATGTCTGATTTCCAAAAACAATAAAAAAATCGTGTGACATCTTGATCCATGCGAGAAGAAAAACATGGCTTCCACCATGATCATGGGCTTTCAATTAGAAGGGTATGCAACTCTGTGTAATAAACATGAGACCTTCAAAATGAGCAATGCCATGCTTCCCTTTTATGGTAATATGTATTTCAAAAAGTATTAGATAAATGTATGTTTTAGTATTATTTTGAATTAAAATCAATTTTCAAATTGATTAAAGCATAAAATATATTCAATCTCATGTACAAGTAAACAAAAAAGACCAATATGAATAAGAGGTACATGTATCAAGATGTTCTCTTCGAGTAGGACAATAGTTAAATGGAACACTCTACCTGGTGGCATCTTAGACTGTGACAGTCTAAGTAGTTTTAAATCATCATACTATGCCTATGTCAATAACTGCAATTAAATAGGTGTGCGTTTTTAATATAGATCTATGTTTTAATGTAAAAGGTCCCCAGTGCACAGCAACAAGCCTGCACTAATGGTAAAGTGGGGAGAAGTCAATGCGGTAGCCTGACAGTCGCCCCAGGGTATTTCAACATAAAATGACTTTCAATTTAAAATAAGTTGTAAACCATAGATCTATTTTTAAATGTTAAGGTTTCAAATTCTATCACAGTTAAATTATATATCTGCTTTATATGGGCTTATTAGCCTTTTGCAGATTATCAACATAGACATAGAGTATTGCATTGTGGGTAATTATTCAAGAACACATTCCAATAAAAAGCATAATTTGTGGGAGAATGTTCACTTTCTGCATTGTCATAATTATGATGAATTCCATTTTTATTAAATTGTCAACATGTATGTTGATAATCATGTTTTTATTTTTGAGCTATTTCTTTAAATCATCCACAAGAAGAACAAAATAAGATTTTCTTGGAATGTATACATTTTCCAATTTTGAAAACCCAAAGGCAATGATTACATGTACAGTATGTATGAAATAGGGGAAGTTGCCTACCCTTCTAGTTGAAAGCATATGGCATGATCTTACTCGAGTCTCTAGCCAATACTTGGCTGGAGGGGATTTCATCTGGAATACTGTGAACTCCATTTGAAAAAAGTTTGCCGCCGTGTCATAAATTTATTGAATATTTTAAAAATCGCCAGATAAATAAATCATTAATTAAAACGGAACCGACTCGGCTCCTTGATGAGATATGACATGATTTCATCAGGATTTCGTCTAAAATTAAAACAAAATGGCTCCAAGAAAAATGGCGATGTTCGAAAACTGGACGAAATGTTGTTAACGTCTGACATTAGTAACTGGCTTTAAATTCTAAGTTAGCGATACAGAAGATGTGAACTAATACACTGATCACTTTATGTGTGTTTTGGAATTTTTGGTGAGGTAATAAGACCAAAACTCGCAATTCAAATTGTGATGTGGAAAAATGGCGGACATATGATTTCAAATTTTATGATTACGACATGACCAGTTGTTCATGCAGGAATATATCTTTACTCACGATACAGTGGCCTTAGAAGAAGGTAACCATGATCAACCACCCCAGCCACCTCAAACCTTGTTCGCTCCGCCCGCTTGTGGTGTACACTCACAAAATACCAACGCTACGCCACTGTATATACCCCCCCCCCCCAATATACCCTAGACTGTATCCTTCGTCTGAATAAATATTCAGACTGTAAGTCACCTATTGTAAAATGTGGTGTTGTATAAATGTTACAAATAAGTTTGTTTAATGATAGAATGATTACCTTATAAAGAACTCACAATATTATTTTTTCGTATATTGTCCTCTTACTGAAGATATTCATAAAATGTACAGACGCTTCTTGTAGCGAAGCCATTGATTAGGTCAAGCCATTTTGGCAATGCCAATTCTCACGATAAACGAGATTTAGCCAGTGACGTCAGTCTATTTGTAAACAAATAACACGTGGAGCGGGAGCAACATTACGGAAGCGTATTGCTAAATTCCATTTGTGCGGGAATTTATTAGATCTAGTCATTTATTATCATTATCCCGATTAATTTTCTTCATTTATAGTAAATAGAACGGAAATATTCATGAAGAAGGCCGAGGTAATCAAGTGGTCATGTGTTGTCAAAGTTCAAAATTTGCATATCTCGTTTGGATCTCGTGAACTCAAACGTCCTTGACATTGATTTCGCGATCTACTTATGAACACATCCTGAAGTTTCGGTGAGTCTGAACATTTCATTATTTTATATCAACTTGTACCTGCCTTATACAAATATTTATGCTTCTAGTTTAAGATGAACATCTCTGCAACATATTCACCAATTTTCAAGCTGAACATTCTTATAATAAACGAGAAATTAATGTGCAAAAATTATCACCGCGATTTCCACAGGAAATATATCAATCATAACAGACCGAATATTATATTCGGTCTGTTGGATACATACTACAATATACCCCCTAGCAGAGGATAGTGATATACTGTATGTCATCCCTGGGACAACGTCAGTTATCAGAGACTGAGATATAAGTCATATGACGGGTTTGGTTAATGTAGGCCTAACTGTAAGATTATTTCTCAGTCGAAGTCTTGATCTCAGAATCATTGAATTTAGGATTTATTTCGATACTATAGATAGATCTAGCTAAAAGGATTCGGTTAAATTCGAAATGTATTGACTAGTTTAAACTTTAACAATGTTTAATTTTACTTACTCGAGTCTCTAGCCACGATATAGTGGCCTTAGAAGGTAAAATTTTACCATCTTTCCAAAAAATGTTTTGGTGACTGGAGATATCTAAAAGTCAAACTCTTTGCAGAAAATGGCAAATATATAAACTCTTCATCACACTATTCAATGAATGTGAAGTGTGTATTTTTATGTTCGATTGAATATACTGAAATAATCTGCTTTATTTGTACACAAGTAATTAAATGATTCCAATGATGCTATGATGTGATTCCGTATTGAGTGTTGCCTTTCGATGTGCTCCTGCAAAAGTTTACGCACGTTTGATCTTTCAAAATATTTTTTTGGGTAGGGCTTTTGATTGTCAAATTTAAACCTTTCGACGATGACAAAAAGGTAAATATGAAATATTATGTGAAAGCTGTAATTTTTTCTTTCTTGGTAGTAATTTAGATGCCAACGTGTCATAAAAGTAGGTATGTATCATAAGATCCAGGCAGGTGTGAAAGAAATGATGGTCCCCCAGGGATTATGGTCCCCTTTCTTAACGGCTCTTACTGGCCCTGATTGTGTATAAGATAATGAGGGAAAGAGTTGTATTTAGGTCACCATATAAATTAATGGAGAGTAGGACCATAATTTGATAGGACCTACTACCCTTTTACACCGGCCGTCTCCAACCACTCGACTGGGCCAGGATTGATTGAATTGCAGTAACCAAAGGAATTCATCGAGTTCAACAAGTTGAACTCAATGTTTATGGCTTTCTTTATTATTCTCTCTTCTACATTGCGTTCAACTTTCACATGCATCCGTGTATGGTATTTTCTTTATTGTTCGAAACCAATTAAAACTACCTTGATAATGTACGACTTGAAATTATTTGAAGACTAGCGTTGTCCCAATTAATCAATACACCTCAATATATACATCGTCAAAGCTGATTCTGGCGATGCAAAGATGTCCGAAACAAAACATTGATGTTTTAAAAAAAATTAAATTTCCTAAAAATCACCCTTCCTTATCTCATTTAGCTTCATTTGGATGCAAATATCTTGCCTTTCTCATGTCTTAGTTCGTTTTCCTATGTTCTCTGATATTATTTCGCGTTAAAATTGTTTTTAGCTAGTTAAAATGAAATATTGATTTAAAAATGTTTACTTTCACTTTACTGTTACCGGAAGTCCCAGCGTGCTATTATTTATTTGTTGCGTTTACTCCTGAAAATTGCAGATGCATCGATGCACGAATATGGCACATCACAATAACACTAGTGGAAACACTATCAAACGAGTCCACGTAACATTTTGCATTAAATATTCATTTATATTATTGATGCATGAATTGTGGGAAGTCCTATAGCCTACTATTAGCTGAGTTTATTCTCCAGGTTATGCAGCTAAATTTACTCTTTCATATCTTCATGGCTACTGCACATACCGTTTGTATGCGTTGCACAATCTGATTGGTCCTTTTAGGAAATAAGGCGCTCCGGATCTAAGAAGCAAGCCACAACTGAATGGAGCAATCAGATCGACTGTGATACACATGGGCAGTTGGCATGAAGAAATGGAATTAGAATTTTACTTTCATTACACTGGTGTATATAATTCAACTATATGTTAATGAACTTACTATTAATGGGCCAGACTTAATTCTGCAAAAGTGACAATTGCAAAATTCTTAAAACATTATGCACTCCTCCTTATTTGGTGAATGGACCAATCAGATCAAGAGAAACATGAAATGGAAATTTTATAAACTCTGGTGCACATAAACAGCTACCTCTCCCCTATCCATGGAACAGTCTGCTAATTCTACTATTGTCCTTGCTGCTGTTGCGATTCATGATTTGGGGAAGGAAGAATAGTGGAGGAGGGGGCAATTAGCGGAAATTAACAAAAGACAATTTTCCTAAATACACAACCATTGATTTTTCAGTTAAATAGTACCCCTGAGGAAGACACCCAACTATGTCCGGCAGATTGCAAATGGCATTATCATCTAACATGGCTGGAGAATCTCGGAACTTGGGAAATGGACATAATACTAATGCAGCATCACCTTTGAAAATTTTCGGACATGCTAAAAGTAAAATTCGACAAGTGTTTAAAAATATTGATGAATATGTTACAGAAAGTGATAGATTCTTATCAGGTAAGTGTCCTGTGTTGATGATATCACTGCATAAATAATGAAATTATTTATGTGTTCTTTGATTATAATTTTCTACATTCTGATACACTCTTGAGGTACACTACTTTTCTTATCCTTGCAAGATGACTTATAAGGACCTTATTTTGCATTTTAAACTAGTGCTGTCTAAGCCATTATAGGCTTGAAAGTTGTAACTTGAAATCATCACTTTTCTTGTATGATCCATCAGATCACTTTTTATTCTCAATCAACACAATATTCAGTGTTCTCCACAGGATTTTCATTTTCAAATTCGTGTTTTCACAATTCAGACCAAAATTGGTTAAAACATGCCTATTTTCATGATTTTTCTCATTTTCAAGTGGATGCAAACGGATCAGGTGGGTACAAGCCTGTTTTTAAAATCTCAGGTGGGTGCCACACCCACTTGCTTTAATGCTTTGGAGATCACTGCTGTTTTATTCCCAACTATCTTTGCCTTAGGTGTTCCTGCTGAAGAGAGAATCGTAGATGCAATGCAGATAGAGAATGTAAAAGCTTATAGAGGAAAAATTAGAGGCATTATAGATGTGCTGAACAGAGACCATATGAAAGTGGCCTTCTTTGGCAGGTAGGATTAATCTTCTATACAAAAGTATAGAATTTTATATCTAATAGAAATATGACAAAAACCTCCACTCAGTTTCATAAAATTTGTATTATTTGCCATGTTTTTGTGGGGAGTGTTTGGGGGTTGGTGTTTGACAGTTGGGGTTCGGTGGCTGGTGTTTGGCATCTGTAACAGAGTTCAGTCGTCGATGTCTATAACATATGGCTGGTAGTAACATTTTGCATGTTAATGCCTTGTTGAGTAAATGAATTGTGCGCGAGGTAATTTTACCAAGTGCTTTAGCTTTAATTTAAGGCAGACCACCACTATTTGCAAAGCTCTCTCTGACCTATGCTGTCAAAACACCAAAACATATTATCAATGCTAAAGCTTGAATATTCTATTGACAGGACCTCCAATGGCAAGAGTACTGTGATCAATGCAATGTTGCGTGACAAGATTCTTCCCTCTGGTATTGGACACACCACCATATGCTTTGTGTGTGTGGAAGGGACAGATGAGCCAGAGGGCTATCTTCTCCAAGAGGGTTCAGATGACAGGAAACAAATCGGGGTAAGGATTAAACATATGATATTCTACATGCTTAGTAAATTTCAAATTGTAATTCCAAAGTAATGACTGACTTATGAACGTCAATTCTTTGATTCTAACAAGTTTGATTACCATGTGAAAAGCATAATGATGAATTCAAAATAAACATAAAAATAATGCTTACAAAAATACTCAAATCAAATCAAACTGCCTTGTAGGATGTACAAAAGCTTGGGAGTGCCTTGAGTTCCACGAAAGCATCAGAGGACTCAATGATCAGAATCAATTGGCCGAAAGACAAGTGCAACTTACTGAAAGATGATGTTATCCTTGTAGATAGGTCAGGGCAATCTCATTTTCTTTTTTGCTGATCGTTTAATGATTGGGAATTCTGTTCAATTTTTTAAAGAAATGCACTTTTGTGAATTGAAAAAAAATATTTCAATTTACACATTCATTTTATTATAATTTCGAAAAATATATGAATAAAATATGTTTTAGTAGCAAAAACACAAATTTTCAACACTTTAATTTCAATAAGAGTGAAATAATTGGATAAAATACATTCAAAATTAAGTTGCATTTGAGTGATAGTGATATGTATTTCTTTTCTTGTAGCCCTGGTATAGATGTCCACCCTAACACAGATGTTTGGATTGATAAGTTCTGTATGGATGCTGATGTGTTTGTACTTGTTTCAAATGCTGAATCAACCCTCATGCAAACTGTAAGTGTAATAATCCAATTCCATACAGCATAAAAAGCATAAAAATTATGACAATATTGAATCAATGTCTCCTTAGGGGCGGGGTCAAAATATCGATGTTCATATGGAGACGAAAGTACTTTCGCGAGGGGGAGGGGGTTTTTGGGCACTTTCGTTGACCAAAAAAACATCGATAATTCGGATCTGATATACAAAAAATAATTGGACTATAATACCCACTTTTTCTGGCGCTATGTTCTGATAAAAAGGCTTGTTTTCAATAGTTCGTGAGCTTTTTTGTGTGATAGGTCCAAAATATCGGTAGATAAAGATGATAATTCGATCATTTTTCAAATAAATTCCGTACTTTTCCCTCCTCCTTTTGAAGAGTTCAATGCAGTTAAATTTGCGAACGTGTGTTAATTCACCGTAATAATAACCCGGCAAATAGGATACGATTATGCCTCTCATTTGACTTTTAAATCAATGTTTTTTTGAAGTGACCTAAGCTTTCGTCTAGAGGGGGGGTGGGGGGGTTGTTGTCCAAACGAAATTACTTTCGTCTCCATATGAACATTGATATTTTGACCCCGCCCCTTACAACTCATTATATTTTTGAATTCTTTTCATAGGATATATGTAATTCATAGAGAAACAAAATGTCTCAAAACTAAATATTCTATATTGCAACTTTCACAATTGTGTGTCAACATTTTGAATTTATAATTAGAAAAATAATTAATACAATGGTGTTACATTTTTACACCCAGGATTTTATCCATAATCAGAAATATTTTCCATCTAAAATTTAACATCTAAAGTAATGTATTACTGTAATTATTTATTTTCAGGAAAAGAATTTCTTTCATAAAGTCAGTGAACGTTTATCAAAGCCTAACATCTTTATCCTGAACAATAGATGGGATGCTAGTGCTTCTGAACCAGAGTATGCAGAACAGGTATGAAGAACAATTCCCCCTCTTCTTAAGGCTCGTAGATATTTAAATGAGGGTCCATAGTTCCAAATTACTTAATGCACTCATGTACTTCTTCATCCATTAATTGCCCAAATATCTGTAGGAGAAATTGTGTTCCTATGTCCCAACAGACCTATGAAACCAAAAATACAATACACTCAGGGTGGATCATATAATGTTTCATGATTTTTTACAGAGTGACTTTTCGATAGGAAAAAAATATTATAAACTCTGTGTTTGTCATACAGGTGAAGCGCCAACATTTGGAGCGAGACATTGATTTCTTGGCCAATGAGCTAAAGGTGTGTTCTAAGACAGAAGCTGAAGATAGAGTGTTCTTTGTATCAGCCAAAGAGGCCCTTATATCACGGTCCCCACACACCAGCACTCCCAGTAAGTGAAAAAATTATGATGGTTATGATTTGAATTGTTAAGTATATAGGCTAATAGAACAAAAGATGGAATCAGCATTTTGAAATCGAAATATTTATTGTATTCAATCTTGTATAAAATGGCTCTTACACGCTCTGATTGGACTGCGGTTTAATAAGTAAATCAACATCTAATACTGACAATTAATTAAATCCCAAAATCATAATATGTTTGCCTTACCAATGCTACGCCTTTGAATGTATTTTTTCAATATGATCTATTCCAGCCAGTGTCTTAGCCGAGGGGTATCAGGCAAGGCTCTTTGAGTTTGCTGATTTTGAAAGAAAATTTGAAGAATGTATATCTAAATCAGCTGTAAAGACAAAATTTGAACAGCATACAGTAAGAGGAAAAAGTATATCTAGTGAACTGATGGCAGTTTTGGACAATGTCTTTGAAAGAGCTATTCATATGAAGTAAGTGCGTATATCGTGGGTTTAGGATATGAAAATATATGGAACAAGAGTTGAGAATGACATCTAGTATTAAAATTAGGTGGTCATTAATAGATATTAAGAATTTTCCAGAAAAAATTCCATTATTCCCCTCGTATGATGTCATTATGTCGATATATCCATTGCTAAAACAATTGATTTTGGAATTCCTTATCTTATGAATTTTCTGTTAATGACCCATAGATTGTGATTTTATTTTATTTGAAAAATTAATTAAATCAATTAATTAAAATTAAATTCCAAAATTCAATGGGAGAAAATACCACATTGAACAATATACGCACATGTAATTAGTAGTTTTTAAAAAGCTCCTGTCTCTTTAATAATGAAGTTCATCACTCACATTTGCAGAGCTGAGAAGTACAGTACACGAAAGGAACATGCAGACAAGCTAGACTATGTAGACAGACAACTAGATATGATGACTAAAGATATTAAAAGCAAAATATATGAGATGACAGAGGAAGTGGAAAGAACAGTAAGATTATTGAGATATTAATTATTTTCTTTCATAACAACAATGATTCCTCTCAAATATGCTGTTACTAAGTGTACTATATACTGATAAGTTATGTTTCCCAGTATATATCCATATCCATTATATTAACACTTACTCTACATTTTGTGAATTACAGGTTATAAAGTGTAAATCTCCTGTTTTCAGTTGTCCAGATGTCAGTAGGAATAATCTTAGTTTTCATGATTAAATATTCAAAATAATAAAATTAATATCATATTTGAAATCTAGGCATGTATTAGCAATGATCTAGTTATGTTGCCTCCAAAATTGGTGACATATTGTTAAGGTCTCCATTTTTTGTGACGATGGTCGGCAGTTGGCGACCGGCGGTGGTGTCTGTAACAAATGGTGGCAACAATTTACATGTTAAAGCCTTGTTGCTATTTGCATGACTCTTTATAAATCTATGGTCTTCTTGTTTGTCTTTTCAGGTTTCAAGTGCACTGAATGAAGAAATTCGACGACTTTCTTTACTAGTGGATGAATTTGATCGACCCTTTCTACCAGATAGAGTCAATATGGACAATTATAAAAAGGTAAACATTAATATTGAATATGATTTGCAGAGAACTGGAGAAAGTGAACAAAATCAAAAAAATACATTGTAAAATTACCGTAGTGATAAATTGTAAAATCATTGAAGTGATACATTAAAAAAAGTACTGAAGTAATGCATTTGTAAAATTAGGGGGATTGTTACTGGATTAATAATACCCAGTAAATGTACTTTCCTATGTCTATGTTACATGATATGAAATGATTTGAAGAAAACTACTTTAATAAATGAACATCAAGTGTTTAATATTGCAGGCTCTCCATATCTTCATGGACAAAAACTTAAGTTTGCAGCTCCATGCAAAATGCTCGCCATTTGTCCATAAGATCCAAGAACTGACAAGTCGTGATGTTATAGGTACACCCTTATATGGTTGTGAGATTTGGGTGTCTGAATATAAGTCCAATATTTATTTCTATGTGTACTCAGTGTGACATGCATCACTGCTCTGACCCTTGATCAAAATATTTTTGGACCTAGAGGGTCAATCTCCTAGCTTTGTTCAGTGCATAATATTCCTCTTTCCTTACTGCTGCATATCTTGATTCAACCTGTAGCTAATTCATGATGCTAACGAGAGAAAGAAGGAATGCACTGAACAAAGTGTTTGGAAATTACTTGAGAGTTTTGGTTGACATAAGTTGATAACTTAATACATATACAGTACTGGCGGATCCAGAAGCTAACAAGGGGAGTCACATTTCAAGTCAGAAAAAAATTTCACGCTTGAAAATTTAGAAAATTTATGGCCGATTTTTTTATGATCAGACCTCCAATTAAAAATAAGGCCCAAAAGGCCAAGTAATGCCCAAAAAGGCCCTTAATCCCCCCCCCCTTGAAATTTTACTGTACATATCTGTAGTCTGATTGGTTCATAGACAGCTTATGTTACACCAATCAGATAACAGATAGTGTTTGTATTAAGTTAACAATTTATATATGACAAAACACTTTATTGTGAAGTCTGCTCTTATATTTTATCAGTATTATTAATTTTGACATATGTACAATATTCAATATAGTGTCAGAGTTTATTGTTAAGCTTTGCTTGTTAAAGGAAAATGTCATCCTCCAAGTTCATGGCTCCAGAACTCATTCACTATGTTCATTCCTTCAGTGCTTGGTGTCTGGAGCTCTGCATTTGGAGATGATGAAATGCATGCATATTAATTTAGCATTTGCTGTTTTTAAAATGAGTTGAAGAAATATCCCCTACTCATTTAATTAAGAAGTAAAATTCAGTTGCATGATTTCATTTCATTCGTTTCAGATTTTTCACCACATCAATGAACCATTTCATTTTAGACCTTAATTTCACCTGCTGAAAAGTGATATTTGATTTATGTGTCGACACACTCGTTACCCACTGTTAACTGTTTTATTGTTTTAACTGTGTCTTGATTAGTTTGCCGTATGCTTTGTACATAGGGTTTGCATGCCTACGTAGAGAAAAGCTTGGGTCGGAATTTACAGTCACGCTGCTCTAAAGCACTCACAATAACAGTGGAAGAGGAGTCCCGGCAAATGACAGGTTTGAATGTTTAATGGAGCTCTCCATTTTCTTTTATGTTACCCACGAAAAGTGGTTATTTATTATTACCTCCCCTTTTTGTGACTGGCAGTCAGGATCTGTTACAAATGTTACATTTTGTAATTTTAAATAACTGAAGTAGTAATGTTCATAACATGTTACAAGACATGTTTCAAGGTTGAACAGATTTTTGGCAATTACCATGGCAACCAATAGTGATTTGGGTGGGTCATGCCTTGTCATAACATGGGGAAAATTGGTGCTCCCCATGTCCATGTGATTAGGGTTTTAGCTTACAATAATGTGGTAATGGATAGTAAAAATTAATTCAATATGATTTAACATGTGATAACTAACATTTACATCTGAATTCTTGCAAGTTAATATTAAGGTACACATTTTTCTGTTCAAACATGTAATAAGGCAAAATACTGGTCAACTTGACTGTAAAACTATTAAGGGCTTCGGTGTCTAACTCTGATCCTAAAATAAAACAAAATTAGAAAAACTAAAAGGCCTGGTTCTACTATTCATTGAATTAACCATCTTTTAAAGGTTTTACCACAACCCATTGATGCTGTAATTTGCAAGCTGCTATGATTTTTTCAACTTTTGATATATGGTGTCGGAGAAAGAAACTAAGTCTATTTAATTGCTCATTCACCGTTTTGCCATCTACGTGTTGTATTGTAGCTTATTATATTTTGGTGTTTATAATTATGATATCGAGCATTCTCCAATTACTTAAATATTTTACTATGTCCAATGTATTCTACAATATATAGACTTTCTTAAACATTTAGTATATCTGAAATAAATACCAGACACTATACCTGATTATAGCCTTGTTCATATATAGTTTTATAGCACCCTAGGGCTATATTGTTTCTCAATTATAAAACTTTTCCTTGTCTATTTGTAAATTCTATGCTTGTTGAAAATTTGAAAATATTTGAAACGATACAAAAAGTTTATTTCACAAATTTGTTTTGTGTTTTTCAGAAAAAATGGTAGCACTCCTTCCAGAAGAACAAAAACAAAATACACTGAACTTCTTGCCACGAAGAGACTTTGAGATTGCTTATAAGCTGGATTGTCGCAACCTGTGTGCAGATTTTCACGAGGACCTAGAGTTCAGGTTTTCGTATGGCATAACGGCTCTTGTCAATAGATTCATGGGCCCGAAACAGGCCTCAATGATACTTGGTCGAGGATTTGTGCAAAATGTGAGTACAGAAAAACCGCTGTAAGTGAAAAAAAACTGTTCCACTTTGGAGGTACCTAAATCTGTTTACAGAGGTTCAAATGACATTATAAAGTCAACAGAGAATAAACATTTTGGAAACCATAAGATTAAAAAACTTACATGTATGTGGGTTATTTAGTTTCAATTTTGCTTTTTTAGATTCCCCGTTCAATGCCCATGACACCCCAGACACCAACTAACGAGGCCCACCGAACCATGGGATCAGATGATAATGAGGTGTTGCTAGCCCTCTTGGCCACTTTCTCATCACTCTACTCAAGGACCACTGTGGGTGCCCTGGCTGTAACTGGTCTAGTAAGTCACACTAATGACTCACTCACATTTAATATATGTTAACCGTATGGTGGCCATAGCTTCCCAAAATAGAAAAATAGAAAGAGATAAGCAGCATAAAATATAGGGATAAGCACTACGATGTACATTCACGATATATGTATATATTTTGTGAAGCTACGGCTGCCATAGTGCAAATGTGACTAAGGCTTAAGGTTCCTTTACGTCACCGCTAAGAAGTAGTGACATATTGTTATAGCCACCATGTTTTAATCTGTATTTTGATGTTTTTAACAGATTGTTACACTTTTGTGATAGCAACCAGGTGGTGACATTTTGTTATGCTAATTTTACCAAGTTAAGTTGGCAGTTTGTATTATAATTTGAATTGTTATCAGTTGCTATGGGAACTCTGCTTGCTAATATCACCAACTTGTATTATATTAAAATCTCAGAACTCCACATAACAGCTCAATCCACAACTAGCATTTCTACAACTACATGTATTATACAAATAGGTATAACTATGTCTACTAACTGTCTTGTAGGTGGCCAAGGCTGCTGGATGGCGCATACTAGCGCTAAGTGGTGCTATCTATGGCCTGTTATATCTTTATGAGAGACTCCTATGGACCAACAAGGCCAAGGAACGCAAGTTCAAGCATCAGTATGTGAAGTATGCCTCCAGTAAACTGAAGCTGATTGTTGATCTTACTGGTGCTAACTGTAGTCACCAAGTGCAACAGTAAGTTACATTTGTAGATTTTTAAATATTTTCTATGGAGATTAAGGGAAGTTTCCTGTTCACTCATCTAGACATTTGTTCATCTGTTTGGATGATTATTTAAATAACATTAGTTGAATTTGGCTCAAATTTTAAAGGTTGATTCACTATGTTCAAGTGGAAAAATAACATCTGCTTTCAGATTGTACAATTTTGTTGGTTGGATGTTGTTTGAGATTATCTTGTGATTCTACCACATCACATTTGTAGGGATTTTCATATTGATCATTGTCATTAATTGTTTGAGGAAATAATTAAAACTGTGGATTTTGCTATATAATACCTGGTAACCATTAAAAATTGTGTTAGATTTCGTAACAAATAGGTTACCCATAAAATCTTATCATTAATGAATTACTTGATTGTTTCAGGGAACTGTCTACCACTTTCACACAACTGTGTCAACAGGTGGATCTATCCAAGGCAGACCTCCAAGAGGAGATTAAGAAACTCAACAAAGAAATAGGAAAGTTGGAAGAGATTGGTGCACAGTCAAAAAGTTTACGGTTTGTACTTTATGTGCTGTTACATATATTGTATATTAGAGTGGTGACAATGGGTCTTGTTGTTGCTGGTAAATCATTTGTGAGCATTCAGTTTCCGCTCAAGTATTGAAGACACTGGTGTTTATTTTTATGTCATTGTGAACTCTCATGTGTCTAAAAAACTTGAAATAAATTGAAATTGAATTGAAAAATAAATCAGTTGAGATTCTGTGAACTAATATAAATTTTCACCCATTTGAAATTCCATTGACACCCATTTGAAAATCTTTTAACACCCAGTTGAGAATTAGAAAATCTTGAACATTTGGGAAGTTTTGGACATTTCCTCGTCAACATAGATTAAATGAGATGGAAATAAGTAATACATTAATGGAAGATAATAATGTAAAAAGCTATTGATATTTATAAATGTGTTATGAAAGTATAATGTACACGGTATTTTCAGGAACAAGGCAAGTTACATAGACAGTGAATTGAACAGTTTTATCCTGACATACCTGAAACAGAAGGATTGACATAGGAAAGATGCAGATGAAAATAGCAAATGTATTTAAATAGAGGAAATTATGGCAGCAATTAGGATTGGAATAATGACGTCCCAGTTAAACCATATAGTGATATCCCAGTTAGATAAAACAGTTGGTGTAGCAATTCTAGCAATAACTACAGTAAAACCTGTTTACAGTTCACTAGAGAGAGGTGTTCACTAAGACAGGTTTTACTGCATATACCATAAAGTCTGTACTGAGGATTTATGAAGCAAATAGATTGATCTTTAGACAGTTCATGAAGCGATACAGTATCCAGTTGAATTTAAAACATTGCAACATTACTGTAAGGCCCCTATGGATTATGTGTCAGTTTAGCAGAGATTAGTTTTGAAAATGAGCTGGTGGACAAGTAATGTACAGAATGCACAGTATTCTCAAATTTTTCTCAAAATTTTCAAGATATGTCAAAATGAAATAAAAGCCCTAAAAATTTTTTAATTAAAAAAATGATTAAACAGGGAAATTTTGGAACGCATTGCTAAACAAACAATTAATTTGTATAGGCCTACAAGCCTAATAGCATGGATCCTGACATGAATTTTAGTTCAGCGGGAACTTACTCAAGAGTTTTAATTCATTACTCCACTGATGTAGAGTAGGAAAGGAGTAGCTATTCAACATTCACCCTTGTTTCTCTTTATGTATTTGAGTGGATTTAGGGACTAGAATGACAGAGAACATTGTTACATGATTTTTTCAAAGTTAACATAAACATGAGCATTGGAATATAAAATACAGTCTTGGAGATAGTATGGCATGACTAGCATGTGCACAATAAATCTCTATTAAGGACCTCTCATTGAGTAAGCTCATGAGTAAGCATATTGAGTATGTAGTTCTGTTGTTTGCAAACAATTGGAGTATCTCAATTAACCATCTTTGAAATTTATTTATTTGAATAGGCCATCCTTGATTTGTACATGAATATTTGGTATTATAATGCATATATACAGTGTATGCTTCTCTATTACATGCTTCACTTCTAATGTTGCAATTTAAATTTTGATTTTATCTAAAACATAATAATGTATATTATATTAATACATATTTATACATTGAATGCCTAATTTGCATAATATTGAAAATGCTTCATTTGAATATGTATTTCTAATATTTTTTATTCATTTATGAACCATGATTATATTGAGAATTGTATTATTGAGAGTTGAACTTGTATAGTTGGCATTTCTATTTTTGTTACCAAGATGAATATGTTATAGTTGTTGTGCTTTGGTGAACACTGGTTGAATTATTTGAATTGGCTTATTAGCCTTTTGTAGATTATCGACATAGACATCTCCCTTACTTACTGCTAGGAAGATGAGCTCAACACTAGGGAACTTTGAAACTGAGAGTGTGATTTTGGTGAACATTAGAATTTCATGATTGTTTGAAGAAGGATGTAACTTAATGGGAAAAATCAAAGGTTTAATGAAGGCTTTTCTTTCTGAAAATAGGCATAAGGAGTATGGAGACAAAAATGTACTGAATAAGGCGGTTTTTAGGAGTCTATGTCTAAGTGTTTGTTTTGATAAAGAAGTTTCTCTCTGATATTTGTACTGTGTACAAAATTCTTTCTTGTGAAATTAGTTTCTAATTTTACTTTAAGAGGTTTATGCTCGTTCATTCAGGACTCATTCAATTTTACAGATTTTCAATGAACAGAAGTTTGAACACAAATGAATTAGGCCAATGAACTCAAAATTTCTGTTTACGATAAGGTCAAAACACATTGGAGGCACGAGAGGGTGGGATAAAATTCACTTTATGCAGAGTTTATATCTATATTGGATCAAGCAAGAGGAATAAAAAAAATTTAAATAATGACCAAATTCTCAAAATATTTGTTTTTAAAGCAATAAATTGGATACAGATTTGTGGTAAAGAATTTCCATACATCAACCTTACGCCTTAGGTGAATTTGTCATGTTTGATGATGTCTTATACATGAATGTTGGAAATAAATAAGCGAATTTTAAAAATTTAATTGTTGTCATGTCAACTTTAAAAATCTTATGAAATACAAGTCATGTATTACATGTACTTTGATGTATTGTATAGATATAATATACAACGATCCATGGAATTATCATAGATTAGTAATAGATGAAACAATGAAAGAACAGAAGAACAATATTATTCAGATTTTGTTTTATTTGTCCATATTTTAAACAGAATTGCACTTTACATAAACATTTAACATAACAGTTACAGCATCATGTAATACTCTTAGATTTGTGTAAAATTCATATTTTTGGTCTTATCATCATGTGTCATTATCAAGTGAAGCTAACGGCCGTAACCTTCACATCAAAGATGATGGATGTTAATTGTTGATTTCGATATTTTTAGTTTTCATCGAATTAAACTGTTATGTTATGTTATAGTTGACGTAATGCTTTGATATTTGAGCTAAATCCAACTTATATGACATGGAAACCTTGGAGTATGATTGTTTGTTCATATACCATGCATAGGCACCACATTTCAATGATATCTTCCACCGCTTAAGGGAAGGTAACTGGGACTTTAGTTTTACAGATGATAACTGATATGCGGTGATGCGATAACGTTATGAGAGTTTATAATTGAGAGCAAAGATGTCCAGTTTCCGCGTATTGAAAACTAACATGACCGTTACCGTATCATACATTTCCAGTTACCTTCCTTTAAGCCGTAGAGGATATTGTTGAACTGTGCTGCCTTCGCACAATATATGAACAAATTATCATACTCGAGAGTTCCCATGTCATATAAGCCTGATTTGGTTCAAATATCAAAGCATAATGTCAACTATAAAGTAGTTTAATTCGATGAAAACTAAAATTTCAAAATCGACAATTACCATCTGCCATCTTAGATGTGAAGGTTACGGCTGTTACCTTCGCTTGATACTGACCAGTGATCATATGATTATGAAAAAGTGGCAGTATAGTACAGGTAGTAACAGAATGAGAATTATTAAAGAGGTCATGTCTGATAAAAGTTGAATATTTGGAATTCAATATTTCTACCAAACATAAGGATATAAATCATAGAGCTGAAATTATTTTTCATTTCTTAATTTACCATTTTATTTTGAATTCACAGCATTTCTTTATTTTCATCATTTTCACTGGGTTATTCAATCAGTTAAATGTCATACATTTTTCTACTAATGTATATCCCTTGCTAAGGATCCTTACTAGGATAAATATGAAAAACATTTGAAAAATAGCCATTAAATTCAATTCTTTAACTCGAAACACATTATAAATACAAAGTGTAAATTCAAGTTGTAATTTTGGCACTTAAATTTTAGGACAATAAATAAATACAAAATATGGTGGTATGATTAAATAATCCAGACAAACGTGTCAAAATTTCTTGAAATTTTCACAGTAACTTCATGCTTTATGAAGATACAAACCTTGTGAAGTTTGTCACATTTCAATCTCTTTTACGTATGTTGACCTTGAAGAGATTAGTCCCTGTTTTAGTAATAAATGCTATACATAGTATATCAGTAAAACCTGTGTATATTGAACATTTTAGGTAGGTTTTCACTACAGAGAGGGTAATTTATACAGAAGTCAGTTGAGTACATGTATGTGCAGAGGGAGGGTGTCCACTAAAGACAGGGGTTCAATAAAACAGGTTTTGCTTTATACAGATAATTACAGCAAGAGCAAGAAAAATGATTGGAACAATTTTAACACTTTGTAGAATATAAAAATACTCTGCATGACATGCTATACTTATGGTGATATTTAAAGCACTGTACTGGCGGATTGATCCCTTTTATGTACAATTCTAATTTAACAAGTCTATGTTTCCCTTTGTGCTCTCTAATTATAAAAATGAAATAAAATTTGAAACTGCAATCAAGAACTGCATGAATATAAAAATATTTATTTAGATAAGGGAAAAATATTGATGTCGATCAAATTTTTATAACCCACTTCTCCGTACTTACTTTTACCCCCTCCTTTATACAATATTTTTTTATTTTTCAAACATCAGCGCTTTTACCTAATCCCTAACACAAATATGGTGATAGAAGTTTGTTCTTTCCTCATTATTCAAAAATAAGACTAGAAGGACCTCAATATATTTACAAATATAAGAAATAAAGATAATTAAATCAATCAGAAAAATTCCTCAAAAGCAATGGCAAGTCTACTCTCAATGTTGGAAGACCCATTGACAGTAATACTGAATTTTCATGTGATTCATTCTATCTGTTCTATGTACACATATGTATTGATAGGATTATTTTGAAGATATTACATAATGAATAACACTCAATATCCTAGTTAATAGAACAATTATGCATTTTGAAGACCCTGCTTTTTAAAATGAGGACCATGCCTGTAGACATAGTTTTAGGTTTCTCTGCTATAAGTTACCCATCAATAAAAGATAGCTAGATAGGCATGTTCCCGTATCTCTTTAATCCTTTGACATACCTCAGGTAAAACATAATATTTCTGGAGCACATACCTGGACAACAACATGTTACAAGGTAATGTGTAATGTGTACAATGAATAACAGATACAGAAGTCACAGGTACTAACCAGACCTGACATCACTTTGAGTTTACTAGTTTGCATCATAATCCATGCAAAGGGCTACATGTATTTGCGAACTCAGTGGTATGACCAGCTCAGTGTATATCCAAAAATCCTCATATTTTTCAAAACTGAGTACCTATATAGACCCAATATCCAAAAATCCTCATGGCGCGATAAGGTCTGATTAGTAACTGTGTTAACATCCAAGTAAATGCACAGGTGTACCAGATAGAATAAATAATCCAGGTTGCATTGAATGATATAGATCTTCTGCATTTTCAGTTGAAAATATTTCAAAATGACATGATTAGGCTCCTGGTGGGGTTACTTGAGTAATTCTTGAATATTTCTCAATTGTGTTTTTTTTTTTACTCAAGTAGTTCTTGTCAAATCTTAGACAATATTTCTCAGTTGTATTTTTAGCTATGCACCATTTAGCAATGCACCATGATAAGATGACATTAAAACAAGACATCATTGTCTAATAGGTGGGTTTATAATCTGGTGATGTGTAGAGCAATGTTTCATTAATGGATTTTAGGCATTTAATGACCAGTTGATCAACCCTAATAGAAAAGGCTTGAACACGAAATAATAGTTCACTTATTTCATGAATAGTTCTTGCACTGAACAAAAAAATTATGGCAAGTCTGCTTACATTCCTACAGGCAAAGCTATTCATCACATGCAACATTAGAGTTCTACACTAAAGGTATCACCCATGAGCAGGTGTCTCAAAACAAATGGTGTCTCACAACACTTGGCTAGCTGCACTTTGGCTGAGGTACACTATTGCGCCTACAAAGTTCACTAATGATGCTATGATAAACACTGGAAACCATCTACCATTAGACTGAGTCACTAATTCGGCTGTCAAAGGTCCACATAAAATCCCTGGAATTGTAGCCTGAAATAGAAATAAATACAATTAATAAGTCTGTTATTCATAAAAATCTTACAAGAGGTCTATACAGACTGATCATGGCATAATGGAAATGCAAGCAAATATTATTCTACAAATATTGCCCTTTGTGTATTGAGTGTAGTGCTGAACTTACTAAAGTATTTGATACTGCAAATGTGATGCCAGCATAGGTGGGTGCTACATCAGCATGATTACTGAGATGGCCAGATGAATTGCACGCACTTAGTCCCATTGATAATGACACAAATCTGAAACAATAACAATGTATGACATTTATAAAATAATATGTTACAACGTATGTGCATGTATAGTTTATCGTTAGTCAAGGTGTAGATTGCAGCTTAAATACTTATTGTGTTAAAAAAGTATATTCTGGAAATGTTCATGTCATGCTCTGACAGACTAGAATGAAGGGAATATTTCAGGATCAATGTCTACATCAGACTAAAAATTGTCTAAAGACTGTTAACATTCTATACTTAATCTCTTGAATCCCAGGTTCTAATTTTTCATTTTTGCCTCCTTTTGACATTTTACTACATAGCTGTACAACTTTAGATGCTCTTACTTAGTAAAATTAGATGACAGAGATCATTTTTACATATTTTAAAACAATTTTTGTGTAAATTGGATGAAAATTGTTCAAATAAGAGCAGTTTTAGTGAACATTTTTGTGACAGATTTTCTCGTCACTCTGGGTTTCAAGGTCATTTCTGAGGTGACGAGAAATCTTGTCACTCTAAGTAGTCAAAAGGTTAAAGAAATGATAAAAAAAGGTCTACTTACATAACTGCCCATGCAAGGCTTTTTACACCACTGAAGAATAGAATAAATAATCCTGGCCCTAGGAGGCCTATACTAGTCATGAGTCGCCTCACAGATAATACTGTCCATTTTTTAGACACCAGGGCATCAGCAAAATGCCCTGCCGCTGAAAAAAAAGATCATCAGCTTTTCAGTATATATTAGTTTTTCCGTTCATTCAAACATTAAACTGAATAACCTGAGGCAAAGGAATGGAAGTCATCATCTGACAATGAGTCCCAGCTCATTGTGAATAAAATTTAGAGTAAACCTTGTCTAAAAGTGTTCATATTAAGATTTGTTTAAATTAAAGGTTTTGAAAACACTTGAGTCATTGGAACATAAAATGGAACTGAAAAAAGAATTTACATTCAGAGGTACTCATTTTAGAAAATTTGGGGCGTAACAGAATTTAACTGAGAATGATGATACAGTGGTATCACTGTTGCTCAAAACAATTGAAAAGAACAACACATACCCATCCCAACTAAAGAATTCATTATATAAGGCACTGCTGTGAACATAATGTCATGTTTCTCTGCTCCTAGATTCCTTGCTAAATATGTAGGTAGCCACTGCATGATTATATAGTTAGACCAGTTCATACTAAAATGAGCTACATACATGGCCCATAGTGGCCAGTGGGCTACAAACTCAATCCACCGCACATTGCTGTTTGTTACCTGAAAATAAAAAATGCCTTAAATTAATAATTCACAAAAGGAAATTTTAACTGCAACTGGTGCAATGCAGATTTTACCTTACACTAAAAGGTTGAATAAATGCTAACCTTGAGTCCTTGGCATAGGTGGTAGGTGGATCAATAAATCCCAGTCATGACCACGGTCCCTCAATAAAAAACAGGATTGATTAAGCTTCCTCAATAAATATCAGCCTTGACCAAGGTTCCTGAAGAAATCCCAGCCTTGACCAATGTGCCTCAAGTAATGTCAGCCTTAACCAAGGTGCCTCAATAGATGCCAACAACAAAGTCCCTCAATAAATGCCAGCATGAACAAAGGCGCCTCATTTAATGTCAGCCTTGACTAAGGTGCCTCATCAAATGCCAATTTTGACCAAGGTGCCTCAATAAATGTCAACCTTGATCAAGGTGCCTAAATTAATGTCAGCTTTGACCAAGATGCCTCAATAAATGTCAACTTTGACTAAGGTCCATCAATAAATGTCAGCCTAGATCAAGGTGCCTCAATCAATGTCAACATTGACCAAGTTGCCTCAATCAATGTCAGCTTTGACCAAGGTACCTCAGTAAGTGCAAGCCTTGACCAAGGTACCTCATTAAATGTCAGCCCTAGGTGGCTCGATAAATGCCATCCTCGTCCAAGGGGGCTCATTAAAATTACATCTTTACCTTAGGTGGTTGTATAAATTCCTCCTCATCGGGTGTTCGCCGAACCTCTGTGTAAATCACCATCCATAGTAGCACCCACACAAACCCCAGAGACCCAAATAGATAAAATGTCCATCTCCATGGTAAATGGGGGCAAATCTGAAAGGAAGAAAAGGGTTGAAGTAACGCAATATGTCACCATCAATAATCCTGTGCAAATGTTAGCATAAATGACGCATAGAATGGGGAAAAACATGTGCACCAAGGTTGCAAAATATATCAGTGCAGCCTTTCGAATATTAGAAAGTAACACTTATGACCAAATTTAGAAAGGCTTAATCCTGCTACGCAAAAACATTTTGTAGTTATTGAGATTTTACATTTTAGAGTTCATTATTTATCAAAATAGAGCATTTGATTAAAACTCAGAAAGTGAGCATATTGTCCCTTTTAATTGATTAATAAGTATTACATCCAATATTTAGAAAGAGTATGTCGATATTCATTTGGTAATGTTTGTTCATGGAAAAATTGCTCTGTCTCCACTTCTATTCTCATGAGCAGTAATATTTAAATTACTCGAAAGACTAGTGGACGTGTATTCAGTTCTAAATGACTATTTTACTAACCAAGGCTGCTGCTGTCTGTCCTATGGAACCTGCAGCAACCAGATAACCGAATGCACGAGATCTTTCCTCTACAGGAATGGTGTGAGCAAATATGTGAAATATGGTAGGTAATCCTGAAAAATATATTGACACATGACCCTGCAACTGAGACCGAATGCACGAGATCTTTCCTCTACAGGAATGGTGTGAGCAAATATGTGAAATATGGTAGGTAACCCTGAAAAATATATTGACACATGACCCTGCAACTGAGTCTGAATTATGCCCCTAAAACTGAGTGCTCCAGAAAGTTTCTTCGATCCATAGAAAAGACATACAGCAAATCAAAAAGCTTTTATTAAATCTTAATTTTTGGCACATTATTGTCCCGAGAGGCAAATGAAATGAATGGCTGCTTTTTATACAATTTGTACTTTGATACACTTTCTTTTTTCAGGGACACTCCTTCATTTTCAATCAATCTCATGTAACTTTTCCTGAGGAACAAAATGATATATAACATGATAGGGTGGCAATGCTACATGTATGAGTTTAGAGGGGGGGGGGTACGGGGTGCATACATATGAAACATCCTGTACTTAGTACACATATAAAAATGTCTGAACTGTTATCGTACTCACCTAATCCCTCCCCAACGCCTAATATCACCCGGAGAAATATCAAGGCATATATTGAATGGGCAAAGAGTGGAGTGATGAATGTAGACAATGACCACATGAAGACGGCCAATGCCAGGATAGATTTGCCTCCGTACTTCTGCGCATGACTTCCTCCTATCACCTGAAGCAACAAAGTTAACATTATGATGCAGTCGCAGATGTTTTAATTATTATGTATATATTTTAAAATAACTGTTTGCAACATTTTGATATTTCATATTTTGTTTCGACAATTAGAATTATCAAAATACACTATACAGTATTATACTCAGATATCAAGATCCAGAATCAGTACATCTTGGGTTATTCAAAAGATTTTAAATTGCAACAGACAGTTTACAATATAAACCCCCATGATCTAAATTATCATTAAATTTTAGCCATAACATATAGTAGTCGTAGTTTGCGAGGGATCTAATAATCTTGAACAATGTTCATAAAAGTATTGGACCTCTAGTCTTCCATAGCCCGAGAAGATTATTATGTTCACTATCTTATTCTGCAGAACTTGAGCTTGATGTTGAAACTCAGGACATAAAGTACCACAGATCACTTTTACTTCCAGGCCCGTAGTCAGGATTTGCCAAGGGGGGTTCACTTTTGAAAAATTCCAGGGGGAGTTCACTTGTGACAATTTTGGTCCAAAAATGACCAAAATCACTAAAAAAAGTGCTCAGAATAGTGAAAAACTGCAGATTTCTTTGGCCAGGGGGGGGGGGAGTTCGCTCGAACCCATCAAACCCCCCTGGCTACGGGCCTGCTTCATATCTCTGGTAGACTGTCTCTTTAAATACCCTCTCTCCTCTTACCTGACTACTCATGTATCCAATGGCAAATGAGCTCAAGACCCAGCCCTGTCCATGGAGATCCCATTTGTACTCATCTGTCATCTGTATAATAGCTATAGGCATGATAACTCTATCCGCTGCATTGATGAAGTTTGCAAGGGAACAAAGTGCCACAAGGCTGCGTGTGTTGGTAAAGGAAGACATATTACTTCTTCTGAGTTGTCTATCTACAGTATTTATCCATTCTGTTGCTTTACATTATGTTTCCAATAGTTATACACACTACCTGAAAATAAAATAACAGTATATCCCTGGAGTCTAGAAAATAGACAAATACAATACAAGAACACAAATGTGTACAAAATGTCCCCACCAATGGGTGATCCCATGAAATGGTTATCCTGAAAATGAGTAGACAAGACTTTACCAACACAATTTGAGGACGGAAAATCAAAAATGGCCACCTTAAAATTTACCCAGAATGCCAAAAATTTAGTCAGTTCTAGATTTTCAAACTAAGAACCACCCCTGAAAATTGTTAATTGATCCGTGACACAGTTAACTAGAAAACATGTAAACAAGACTTTACAGACAAGATTTTAGGATGGAAAATCCAAAATGGCTGCCTTGACATTTACCCAGAATGTCAAAAAACTAATCAGATGTAGATTTTCACACTAAGAATCATCCCTGAAAATTTGAAATTGATCTACCAAACGGTTCACCTAAAAACGCGTAGACAAGACTTTACAGGCAAGATTTTAAGACGGAAAATCCAAATTGGCTGCCTTGACATTTATCCAGAATGCCAAAAAACTAATCAGATCTAGATTTTCATACTAAGAATCATCCCTAAAAATTTGAAATTGATCTACCAAACGGTTCACCTAAAAACGCGTAGACAAGACTTTACAGGCAAGATTTTAAGACGGAAAATCCAAATTGGCTGCCTTGACATTTATCCAGAATGCCAAAAAACTAATCAGATCTAGATTTTCATACTAAGAATCATCCCTGAAAATATGACATCGATCTACCAAATGGTTCACCTGAAAACGCGTAGACAAGACTTTACAGACAAGATTTTAGGACAGAAAATCCAAAATGGCTGCCATGACATTTACACAGAATGCCAAAAAACTAATCAGATGTAGATTTTCACACTAAGAATCATCCCTGAAAATTTGAAATTGATCTACCAAACGGTTCACCTAAAAACGCGTAGACAAGACTTTACAGGCAAGATTTTAAGACGGAAAATCCAAATTGGCTGCCTTGACATTTATCCAGAATGCCAAAAAACTAATCAGATCTAGATTTTCATACTAAGAATCATCCCTAAAAATTTGAAATTGATCTACAGAACGGTTCACCTGGAAATGCATAGACAAGACTTTACAGACAAGATTTTAGGACGGAAAATCCAAAATGGCTGCCTTGACATTTACCCAGAATGCCAAAAAACAAATCAGATCTAGATTCTTATACTAAGAATCATCCCTGAAAATTTGAAATTGATCCACCAAACGGTTCACCTGAAAACACGTAGACAAGACTTCACAGACAAGATTTTAGGACGGAAAAATCCAAAATGGCCGACAATAAAAAAGTGATTATGTGTTTTTGCTGTTTTCTTCTTACAAAATTATCACATATAACTACTGTTAACAATTACATAGGCTTTTACAACAAAGTACATCTGAAATTATTTATAAAGCTACTAAATAGTTAAAGTATGAAAACTCAAAAACACCATTCAATATGATACAAAGTATTACCGTGCGCTAACTTTTCTTAAGACATTCAAAATGGCTGACATGACTGAGCTAACAGGTCCAAAACCTAATCAGATCTAGAATGAAGTGAGCTGAACAAGATGTTAAAGTTTTAAAAGCAACTGTGAAGCCGTTTTTCTTAAAGTTTGCAGACAAGGATTTTAGCATTTGACTTCAAAATGGCCGACAGGAAGTAGGTATCGAGTTAAAATTTTTTCATCCACATCTGTATGCACTCATAAGTTATCCCTGAAAATTTGAAGGTGATATCTGTAGCGGTTTTGGAGAAAACTCCCGGACGTACGGACAGACGGACGGACGTACGGACAGACAGACGGACGCGCCTAGGCCGACAATATGGCCCCACACTATGTGGTGGGGACATAAAAAATGACTTCTAGTCAGTCTGTTGGATACATACTAATGAGTGCATAGCACAGAAGACCAAATACCATTCAAAGAAAAATCTGGGGCCGTGAATTCATCATTCCCCAATCTATCTTTCAATCTTATCTTTTGGGATGAATCTTGGGTTACTAATCCGATAAATATTTGTTGAATTCATACGATCCGAGGATTACGAGGGGGAATCCCCAAGGTATATCCAATTTGCATTGGAATTCGGATAAAATTTATCCAAAAAGTAATCTACCTCAAGAGGTGAATTGAGATTTATCCTGACATTAATACAAGGATCGTACGAATTCACCGATTTTTGGATTAAAGTAGATTTCATGGCCTGACTTCGTCGGTAGAACTTGAAAAATAAGATTTATCTGAAGATTAGGAGTCTTACTTACCCTCTAGGTTAGAACACACATTTTGTTCTAGGTTAGAACACACATTTTAATGAAACCATATCAGCTGTTTTGTTCATGATGAAGCAGAAGCACAGTACTTGATTGAAATTTGTGTTAATGCTTTTTGGACTTTTTCATTTTCCTCGTGTTTACTTCCGGGATGGCGTTGCCTCTATCACGAAATACTGTATTGACCTTGAACTTTAATTTTTTGACATATCATCCAACCATGTCTGATGTAAAAATAATTAAAATATTTGAAAATAATGTTTTGTGGTCTCTTTCGCAGACGAGTTTAGGACAGGGCAGAGGAGGATGGCCTGTTCTAAAATAGAAAAAGTGAATGATCTACAGTTAAAATATTGGTCTGAATGAAATGCTGCGCGGAAAGTAAGAATGGGTCGTCTGCTGTATTAGTCTATTAATATTCTAGGACCTGTTCGTGATGCTTTATAATTTAGACCAAAGTGTAGATGAATACACGCACGTGTAAATTATAAAATCAACGAACAAAGATTCAATTTTCACAAATGTTCGGTAATTTATCATATTGAAACTTCCGGAACTTACTAGGAAAACATTCATTTTCAAGATCCATAATTTACCTCTTGGATATTGTGCTAAATGCTCCATAGTTGATGCTACAAAGGTGATAGGGTTTCATTGAAATGTGTGTTCTAGCCTCTAGAGGGTAAGTAAGACTCTTAATTTTCGGGAAAATTTTATTTTTCAAGTTCTACCGACGAAGTCCCGCCATGAAATCTACTCTAATTCTTGGATTATTCTCACAATGCATCATTACTATGACAAAATTTATCCGGGTCAGATCGCAGATCGTACGAATTCACCGCAACAGATTTAAATGAATCACATACAGGGTTTAACGTGTTGAACTAAGAACTAGTTCTTACCCCATAGATCCCGGCCAGATTATTTTGAGGTAGGATCAGTAGCTCAATAAATATTCCTCAAGATGAGACACCTCAGAAAATTTCAAATTTTAAAATGACGATGGAGCCATTTCTGAAAAATATGAGACAAATCATACCTCATTCGAAGGGTCTTGTTATTCTTTACCTTTTTTTATCACCAATGACCGTTATTCAAGCAATACTGCTTTGATAAGAGGCCAAAACAGTGATATTTTATCGCCGGACTCTTGTCTGTCCAAATCTGAATGGTGCTCCTGTGGTTCCAGAAATGTGACGTCATCAGTACAATGATATTTGGACACACAAAAGTCTGGATTTCGTGAAAAATATTCGCCGTATTAAACGTCAAATAACTGCATCCATAGGTTATTTATTCGAACCACAAACAAGTAGAAATAGAAAAATGAAGATCTCAGCTATAAAATAAGTGCAAAATCTGTCACGGGGAAGCAGGTAACATTTTGTATAAGGAACGTTTTGAAAGGTGGTCACTTTTTTTTGAAATTTTACAATTTAGTGACGCATCTTCTGTATTATTCTTTGAGCCTATGAAATCCTACTACAAAACGATCTGGCCAATATCTGTGTCTTACCCTAAAAAACTGAATTTTTTTTTATTTTGACTCGAGAAAAAAAGAAAATATCGGTCCAGAATCTTTCCCTAAAATACTAACAGGAATGCTGTTTTAACAGATTTATAAGTTAAAACTTACCAGAACACATATAATAAATTATACCATGGCTTGTATATCAACAGTATAACACATGCAAAGTGTTATTTGGAGATTTTAAACGTGGCAGAAGATACCGGAAGTTATTTTGCTTTCTGCATTATTATTATGAACGACCATAAAAATGGACTTCTGGAAGTTCGTTTTTTCATTTTTTGAATATCTTATCAATTTTACATCATCCAAAATTCAGACGAAGATTGATCCCATGGACAATATCAAATTATGTGTTTTATGTCACATTTTTCTTATATAGAGTTAAGTAATGTGTAAAAGATATTACATGGGCATGAATCAAAAATGATCGGTTAAATTAAAATATGTTGATGCATTATGGGAAACCAGTATTTCCGTTGTAAAGGAATGGAACCGATCGAATATACGTTACTCGGGTTAGCTATCGTTTTATTTGGAGCATGGTGTTTTGTTATGTCATTTCATCTATTAGCTATATGCTATGGGTAAGTGGATATCAATATTTTATTTTGTATTAATTTAGGACGTATTTGATCAGTACTTTCTTCATAAACTTATTCAGAAAATGAAGACATATTTTTCATTTTTGTGGGAGTTGTCACTCACTGACTCAGTGACTCACTCAGTCTCAGACCAGTGGAAATTTCTGTTTCTAGATCTCCCCTGCCCTTTGCCATCTTCGGTTGTGGCGCAATCTACCATCTTTGGCCGTCTTTGGTTGCGGTCCAAACATCGTGACCCATATTTGATTATCACATTTTTTTACTCAATCTTCTCCTGGCATTATCAAGATTTACTCTACCGAGCTGACAGAAGTCAGCCCTTGGATGCTGGATTGAAAACTCTTGAAGAGAAAAAATCGAGCCCATTTTGACTGAACGCTGTGCTGAGTAGCTTTTATAATACACTATATATTTGAATCATTACATAATTTATTTGTTGTTATCTTATTTTGATCCTCCAACAGTCTGTTGTTGTAGTAAATCAACGTTCTATTAGACGACAAAACTTTTGAATTTAGATTGCAGCCATTTTAGGTCTCTTGACTTTCGAAAGTAAACATTTGCTATAAAATAACTCGCGCTAGCTAAATATGAATAGTCACATGATTTTTTAGCGGCAATGCCCATGCGCATGTAAAGTACAATGCGCATGTGCATGCATGAGCAAAAGTTAAAAATGGTACGCGCCAGATCTGGGAATTTCTCCACTTTAATTGCAAATTACACAACAAGTAGGACTTATTGTCACCACGCGTCATGAAAAAGGCAAGTTACACTCAATTATCTTCTTAAATACCGTTATTTGTTTAGAGTCAGTTTCATACAGATGCTATAAGGCTTTTTAAATTGTTTAAGGTAAAGCTGGAAAATAACATTTTGATAAAAAATTGATATACCTGCACATGTTATATTCTGGTACACTATAAAGTATGAAGGCATGTGTTAATTTCCTTGCTTTTTTCAGGAAAGTATCATTACATTGTCTTCTTTTATTTTAGTATATCTGGTAAGAGGTCAATGAGAACTCCAGGAAATTCTGATATTTTACACTTTCTATTTTTCCAAATTTTCTTTCAAAGTTTTCAGACAACACAGGAGCTACCATTGACCTGTTTCCAGGTTTACTAAAATTAGACAATGAAATGATACTTTCCTGAAAAAAGCAAGGAAATATACACATGCCTTCATACTTAATTTTAGTACCAGAAAATAACATGTGCAGGTTAGTACAGCAATTTTTACCAAATGTTACTTTCTAGCTGAATCTTAAGTGCAGGCGTACTGACTTAAATATATATGATCAGATGTATGCTAAAATACATTTGTTCTACATGTCAACTAAGCTTTTCAAGAGGCGACATGTAGTATCAATATGCATGTGATTTGGAAGGGTTTTAAATAAAGGTATACTAAAATTAACTTTATTTTCTATAATTGAACACTATCGCTTAAGTAAACTTTTTATATGTATAGATTGTTTAGAGTCAACTTCATACAAATACCATAAACCATATTAATGCTCTTAAAATTGTTTAAGTGCAGGTGTACTGATTTTACTATATATGATGTGTACTAAGACTTACATTTGCACATACATTTGTACTGTCTGCCAAGTTGGCTTTTGAAGAGGCCACATGTAGTGTGAATATGCATTTAATTTAAGGGTATAAAGGGGTTGCTTACCTTACAAAAGATAGTCTTGGAAACCTTGCTAAATCCTCAAAATATTAGATTAAGGGTATCAAGGGGGTAGGGGGACTTAATGAAAGACTAAGGCTCAAAAAGACATGCAAAACCATTTTGCACATTTCTAAACATTTATGCAAGTATCTGGTATTTATAAAATATTTTTTTAACACTTGGAACATCCCTTTCATAGTTATGTGGCGTTTATTAGTTCATAACTGACATGGAGATTATTTGTTGGTCAGTTGCCCTTGGGATTGGAGATTATCTATCAGATTAATAGGTTAATGTTCCGTATTATTGTTAAGTTCGTTTGAAAGTATTATTGGATTATAGCCATGTTTCTATTGAGGTTTACATAATTTAGCCCTGGCGTTTACAATACATATAATAACAGTTTTCAGGCTTAATAAACTGCATAAATTTTGCATAATTTAATTTTGAGTAAATAATGTCTAAACTTAGAAACTCTTAAAAAGTGAAAAATTTTGTATTAACGCCCAAACTTGAAATAGCAAGTTTCACAAAATTAGTTGCAATTCAGTTTAAAATAAATTCTAGCTTTTCTCAGAAACAAATAATTTGAGAAAATTACAAATTGATTTTCTAAATATATAACTACGTGTAACACTCATTTAAATCTTTTCTAATGGAGTATTAAAAGTCACCATGATTTTCCTGCAACATATGATATATAGTGCTGACACATTTTCAAATACCTACATATGTGTATACACAAGCCTGTGGGGGGAAAGCTCTAGTATGACAGTTACTAATGTTATAGATATCCTACTGAGCACTCTTCATTCCGCATTCCATTTCACATTATCACAGTAACATGGATAAGGTAGCATGATTCATAACTGCTACCAAATTAATGCCTTTTACAAGGCTCTTAGAGGATTAGTATTCTCTTTTGCGGAAATTAGAAATTATCCAAGTTTCAGTGTCATTCCGCACCTTATTCTGTCATCTTTTTACCTCTAGAAAAATTTCGAGGTATTTTTATTGCAAACATTTTTTTTTTCAGGAAATGGAAGTTACATAAACATCCCACCATGCCCCCTGAAAAGGGGTTACCAGGAGTCTCAATATTAAAACCACTTACTGGGGTAGATCCTCACCTATATAGTAACTTAGAAACATTCTTCAAAATGGAGTATCCAAAGGTAAGTGCATATCAAAATCTTTATCTCTTTATCAGTCAGGATTCTTAAAAATTGATGATTCACTTCTCCTTGTCTCAGTAGTGAGCCCTTATTGGCTTTATGAAATCATAGATAAGTCAAGATGCCATGTCTCATCCTGATCTAATTTTCTTTCATCGTGATAATTTAGTATTAGATTTACCAGCAGAATTTTCCTTGACATATTAAGTTTAGATATACTTTCAGGTTTTGAACTGAAGTGTTTTATTGATCCCGATTTAAGTTCTTACTGTTTACTTCAACTTATAAAGTGTTTAGAATGTTCTGAAAAGATTATCTCAAATGAGATAGAGTTTATCAAAATATCATATTACCTTTAAAATATTATCAATTACATATACTACATAAAAGGCAGATAATTAGGTTATCTCTTCTCATTTGTGTATTAAACAGGATGAATTGACTTTTTTAGTTTTCGTAAACATTAATCAAAAGTTGAACTGTCTCATGTCAAATGTGTTTTCCAAATTTTGGTAAACATAGTCCCTTTTTTATTCATAGATTTATTCAATTTTGTTATAACTTATGAAATATTTTATAAGTTTCACCAATCATTATTTTGTCAAAATATTTCAAAAATCGTGAAATATGAGAAGAAATATTTTTGGAAGGGTTTTGAGATAAAGTTTTGTTGCTGATGGTTCACCGCACGTGTGTTTATGAGTTAATAGATGCAATCCAACCAATCAAATTGTCTGAATTTTCCAATCACCCAACACGAGCATGGAACAAGAACCAACCATGTCTCTTGTTTATATGAAGTTGCCATTCATACGGTGAAAGATTTGCCTGCACCAGTGGCATGTTGAAGACCAGCACTGCCACGGAACGGAGTATGATGTTTTTTCCAAAAGTAGCTGATAGCCATACATCTATTAGTATCGATTCATCATTGTATTCATAACTCTGAAAGTAAACTGTGTGTAACATAATTAATGTAGATAACATGGATTTATACATCAAATTACTTCTGTTGAATTCAATAATATATTGTACTAACATGATTTATTTTGAGGTATTACATAAATAGTTATTGATTTAAGTTTTCATTTGATCCATGTACATGTAGCTGTAACTTGTATGTGAATTATAATCTGTTTCTAGAAGGCAGGTTCACAGAAAAAAATGAAATGATTTTGGGAGTTGTAGTGATTTATGAGAATTTTTATTGCCTACTTAAGGTATTAACAGCTCTTTTTGAAGGCACGCCCATTTTTAGATTCATATGCCATAATAATGAGTGGTGCTAAGGTGTATGTAAAACACCCTATCTAATGCTTCTTGGTATATTTGTTTGGACAATGGTATACTTAAATCATAGACACATTGATTTAACACTGTATTTAGAAATTTGTTATTATTTTGTGAGGTAGTTTTGCTTGTAACCTGTGGTATGTAGAATGTACCCAATATACATTGGTATGTGTGGCAAATGGCTATTAGGCCAAGTTAAGAAGAGTTGGTCTGGTCAAATCCCTTTTAGTAGTAAATCATCAATTTTTAAATGTATATTCAAAAGTATATCCGATCTATATCTTCATCTATCCAATAGCCTTTCCATCAGATATTCAAGAGAATTAATCCAAAAAACTGTTTTTCACAACTAACATAAAACAATTTTTACTAATCTGTCAGGCGTAAAAATAAAATAGCTAATAACGCCACTTAGAAATAGGCCTTAACTAGCAGGTCTTAACCTTTTCTCTCCATTGAGTAAGAGACAAATCAGATGTGTCATTTTTCTGAGGGACTTTGAAGCAATTTACAATTTATGACATTTCATAAAAATATGATTTAAGGGGGAAATGATTGTCACAGCACTCTATATCATGTTAAAAAGTCAAAATATATATCACTCTACTATATCTTGCAATTTGGCGTTCACTTGGATTATCACTAATGATTATCTTATTTGTTTATATGTGTCTGTTACTTATCAATGGTTTATCGGATCACTGTTAGATGTTAATAAGGTACTTTCAAAAATATACTAAACAATACAATTAGACAAACAGAGCATCTTATGCATTTCTAAGTCACTGGTGATCCACTAGATTACGCTGGTTACCAAAACGAACCGTTTTGGTAACAAAATGTCGGAACATCGAAGGCACGATTTTTCTTTTTTCCTTATTTCACTCGTTGTAGGCAGAATCCCCACGACGTTTTTTCACAACGTGCATCAGTATCATATGTTTTAGAAAATGTACATGTTTGCGAAAAAATAGCTCAGAGGACAACAGAATCGTCGATTTACTTCCTCACTTAAGTTACATAAACGGTTTTTTCGAAAAACAGTTAAGATCTGCACTTTTAACCCAAACCGTTTATGTAACTTAAGTGAGGAAGTAAATCGACGATTCTGTTGTCTTCTGAACTATTTGTTCGCAAATATGTACAATTTCTTAAATATATGATACTGATACACGTTTGTGTTAAAAAATGTTGTGGGAATTCTGCCTACAACGTGTAAAATAAGGAAACGAGAAAAATCGTACCTTCCGGATGTTCCGACATTTTGTTACCAAAACGAACCGTTTTGGTAACCAGCGTAATCGAGTGGATCACCAGTGTAAGTATAGTAGTGTGTATATAAACATAAATTATTCAAGTATTTTAAGTTTATAGTAGCCGATAAAGCATCCCATGGGGATCTTTTGATAAACTATATATGACATGTTTTATCAAAGGTTAAAGAATATGGTCATATAATCTGTGAAAATGGGACTTTGGATCAAAACATATTTGAAAAACACTTAAAATATATATTTTGGACCTTGTATATCAAGTTCAGTGGTCATATGGTACTGTATCAAAAGTTCAATGAAGAACTGTGAAAGAAATGAAATACAGTGCAAAGCATTGGATGACTCAGCTAATTCTTGTGATTTATATGATTCTCTTATTGTATAAAAAACATTTCCATTATCATTAATTATCATTCCACCGCTCCCTAATGGTTGCATGATTCTAGTAATTTGATGGGGTATTTTAATCAAGTTTATTTAAGTTACAAATGCCATGGTGAGAATGCAGTATTACTGCCAAATGCTCTGCTGTGATTCTGACAGCTACTGTGCAGTGTTGAACAATTACTAGCACAGCTTACAGCTTTCTTGGTGAAAACTCCAGGTGAGGCTTTGAACATCCCAAATTATCCAATGTCATGTCAATGTCAACTATAGTATGTCTGAATTTCTCCTTTTGTGATTTGTCTGACTCGGATATCAGTGAAATCAATATTATGGTTGAATTGTTTGAGAAGCTTCTCCCACTAAATATTTTATGTGCTATTCATAAGTGTAATGTCTAAAATTTCCCTTTTCAACATTGCTATAGTTACCACAATTATAAAAAATGAGAGCAAACAATAGAATTTATCAGATAAACTCAGTATGTTGAGGAGATTCTATCATTAAATGAAGTGTGAATTGTTTACAATAAATCTCTGATCTCACCGAGGCAATCAGAGATCGTCGTCAAAATATGGACGACTTTCTATCTGGTCATTTCCTCTGACACTACCGTATAGTTAATGAGCACTTATTTAGCACATGTTCCTCCCTTTTGGCTGTTTGGTTGAGAAAGGGTAAGTGTGGTGAATTTAAAATGATTTATTACCCGGGCTGTCAAAGGCACTAATCTTCGGGGTGGAGCTGCTAAACTGTAATATAGTCTATACTAGGCAGAGGGTAGTTTTAACAAGATTGCGCGCAGGGTAAAGTATTTCAAGGTTCAAAATCTGTTTCATACACATTGGTGGAGTATTTGCTGGAGTATTTCTGTATTTAATTACCAGATTATACCTTGTTTTGCATATTTATTCACTTATCCACACTACATAAGGTTGTGATGTTCTTGGTTATTGACATAAATGATTCGGCACCACAAGCTAGAGTGCTAAGCAAATACATGTATACTCTTCAAATTCATCCCCCTAGAAATATTACTGTAATATCAGAAAACATGAGTCCCAAAGGGAAAAGAATAAACAACACTTATATTAAAATAACATTTATTCATTCTATACATCATAGTCTACTTGGATTTTTATGAATTATCCAATTTTCAAGAATCAAAATTTTATTGTTTTTTGTTATTGTATTTTGATGAGTTGAGAAATTGTTTGAGTAGGGATCACAACTAGCTCATGTTGTAAGGCTTCAAATACTGAATGGTTTCTGACAGCATTGGGTTTGGTCCACCAAAATTAAAACTTTTTGTTTGAGCTCAATCCATAAATACAATTTTCCTACTATCTATTTCACAATTTTAAAACATGCAAAAATGACTATAATTTAAAAGAATAATATCAAAAACATACTCATGAGTGTGATACTTTGGGTTAAAATGATGGACAGTATAAATGTAGTTTCTTCCAAATTTTAATTTCTCCAGTATAAAATTAAATTATATCTTTATTATCCCATCGAACGAAGTTCGGAGGGATATAGGGAACGCCTCCGTCCGTCCGTCCGTCCGTACGTACGTACGTCCGTCCATCCGTCCATCCGTCCGTCCGTCCGGGCAATAACTCAAATACCGTTGGCCGATTTTGTTCATATTTTGTACACATATACCCTATGAGGGAAGAAGTTCTGCTCGAAAGCGGATTTTCAAAATGGCCGCTCATTTAAAAATGGCGGCCATTTTAGTGCCGAATTTACAGTAATTTAGGTGCAATATGTAAAACTGTAATAGCAGTATGTTTTAGATGTAAAAGAAATTATATAGGACATTAATAAAGCTAGAAATGTAGATATTAAAGAAGCACATGGCAGCCATCATGAAAAATTGCGGCCTTTACTCGTTATTTTACGATTTTTGCTGTAACTCGAAAAGTAGTGGAGCGATTTTGTTCATATTTGGTATGTGAATACTATAAGCATGACACACTGTCCAATGACACATTTGGTAGAAGGCGGCCATTTTGAATTTTTTTTTACTAATGGCCGCCATTTTAACATATTTTACTATAACTTGAAAAGTAGTGAAGCGATTTTGTTCATATTTGGTATGTGAATACTATAAGCATGACTCACTGTCTAATGACACTTTTGGTAGAAGGCGGCCTTTTTTCAAAATGGCCGCCATTTTAACGTATTTTACTACAACTCGAAAAGTAGTGGAGCGATTTTGTTCATATTTGGTATGTGAATACTATAAGCATGACACACTCACAGTCCAATGACACATTTGGTAGAATGTGGCCATTTTGAATTTTTTTTTAGTATTGGCCGCCATTTTAACGTATTTTACTAAAACTCGAAAAGTAGTGAAGCGATTTGTTCATATTTGGTATGTGAATACTATAAGCATGACTCACTGTCTAATGACACTTTTGGTAGAAGGCGGACATTTTTCAAAATGGCCGCCATTTTAACGTATTTTACTATAACTCGAAAAGTAGTGGAGCGATTTTGTTTATATTTGGTATGTAATACCATAAGCACGGCACACTGTCTAATGGCACTTTTGGTAGAAGGTGGCCATTTTGAAAAATGGCCGCCATTTTAACATATTTTACAATAACTTGAAAAGTAGTGGATCGATTTTGTTCATATTTGGTATGTGAATACTATAAGCATGGCACATGGTCTAATGACACTTTTGGTAGAAGGCGGCCACTTTGAAAAATGGCTGCCATTTTTGCTATATACTTTGTTTGTAAAAATGCCATCCATGGCTGTTCGATTGGATTCGCTACGCTTTGGCGTTGCCGTTGTTCTGGTTTAATTTTAAAGTGTCTCTAACTTATGTTAATCGAAACTTTAGAAAGTTTCTCCATCGCTAAACTGGAGTTAAACTAATTCGCTGTTTGTTAGAAGTCAAATATTGTCTAAGTTTTGGGAGAAAATTAAAAGTCTTCAAAAGACTATCCTTTATTTTATTCAGCGATCTTGTTTTGCACTTCCTTGTCTATGATTTGTACCTCAGTTTCGAACTGCAATGGAACTCACTATAATCGTAAAGATCACTTGATCTCATTATAGTAGTAAACACCGTCTATATTTTTTACCCGTTTGGGCTATGCATTTTAGATCACTATCTGACCACTATCATGTGCATGATAATTCAAATTCCAACCTTTGGTATAGTCAGAGTTGGTTATTTTCCACTGGACATGCAGTTACGTGTATGATTGATACAACTCTGTCCAACCAGTCACAGTACAGTCTTTCCAATAGGTGTAAAATTTTGTTAATCAGTTAAAGGCCCCATATAAAGTTAAAACCACTTTGGCTTATATTGTTGCAAAGTGTGTAATGTGAAACTTTTTATTAATTTCAAAAATGTTTTTGAAGGACTTTTTGTTCAAAATATCGTGAATTTATTTAAAACTAACTTTAAGAGGTCATACTTATCCTTTAAAGCGATAATTCACACTGATGCATAGCATGCAATCATCCTCCCTTGTTTTTTTGCCGACAAAATCAAGAAAATTGGTTGATAGATAAGCGAGCAATGAACTCATCCATGCATGAAAGTGGTTCAGGGAAAGATGCATTTCAAAATTTTAATTCTCATAGAAACCAATGGTAAAATAATATTAAAAACATATACAGTATACTCATCCTTTTCACCTGGTAAGACAGTCAACATTGGTTTATTTTTTAAGTTTAGCATATTTTGAAAAGATTGACATTGAAAAATGTTGCCACCTAAGTGATGTCACGATGTGGTCACTTCGGTTGAAAATATTTTCGATATGCTAAATCATTGAATTGGCACATTAGATATAACTTTTTTTTTTTGTTAACATAGTGTGTCCGTTGTTCAATCCTCATATTGGTGTTAAAAAGATATAGAGGTTCTTATATGAGTACCTGTGCAAGATTGTCCATTCTTGATGAGCTTTGATAATTCTTCTTTATCGAGTCGCAGACAAGATAAAGAAACATTATCAAAGCGACTGTCGGATAAATTATGAATATAGTTTCGCACAGGTGTCAACAGAACCAAACAGTGAACCCCGCTTTCCCGAACTCGAGTTACCTGAAACACAGGGCTGAGAAGAAATGAGATGTCATGGTTTATCATGATGGCTTTCTTCGAGAATACATAATGCAGGCCCAAGAATGCGGGGTGCCACATTCATTGCAACATACCTTGCAACAATGTCTTATGAGGGTAATTTCTTATATTGAGGAGTTTATCATCTATTGAAATTAAATACTTGTAGCTACAAAAAGCGAATTTGTTTGAGCAGTCCTAGCTCGTCATATTATAAAGAAAACAATATTTACAACATGGTATTCTTAGTAGACTGTTCAATTTGGAATTTCGAAGCTTAGCCAAACATCAGCTTTCTAACAAAGATTATCAAAAAAGGATTTTATCAAAGTCTTCCATGCAAATGAAGGTGTGAATTCACATTAACAAATTAAGATAAGATCCAGAATATGTTATCAAATGGTTAAATGCGCAAAATGTGTAGCTATGTTTTCCTTAATAATGTGTGAGGAGGCCTTTCAGGCAATTTTCGAAAATGTAGTGAGAACAAGTTTGGTGTAGAGGGGAGGGGGATATCTCCCACCTCGGTCTCTCTCTAATGCCTATGCCACATATGCACCTTGCGCCGGCCGATGAGTAGTCATCGCCTGATTTCTAAATCAGTTTCGACAAAAATTATGTTATTCTGCAATTTTAGTTACAAAACATGAAGGTACATTATGTAAAATTTTGAAGACAATTGGTGCATATTTAACAAAATACCAGCACCAGTCCTGTTACTTTTGGTACACCCTGTATGTAACCATTTCTGGCAATGTCTGGAGGTGGTAAAAACTAAAATGAATCTGATATACACATAATCACAAGTGAATCATCTATTAATACACCACTCTCATTTTAATAAAGACAATTCTAGATTTATATCAAAAGTGTTCAATTCAACAGGTGCATTTGGATTTGTGAAATGCAACCTGTGTAAGGGTAAGTTATCTTATAAAAGGTAAATGACATTCTATATAAGCTCCAGTCATTCCACAGTTCCAGGTGTAATTTTGTGGAGCCCATGTCTTGCCACATCACTCGTGGAAATGACTTTGACAAACCTTGGACATCTTTCTTTCAGTCCATGGACCATTGAATTATAATTTATTGTTTATTTTTACAGTATGAGCTCCTGTTTTGTGTTGGAGAGGAGGGGGATCCTGCCATAATGGTAGCCCAAAGTTTAATAGAAAAATACCCCAATGTAGATAGCCAGCTTCTTATAGGTAAGTTATCATATACATTTATATTGACCATTCTAGAGATTGATTCAAAATTTATTCCTCTCGAATGCATAACCAGTGAACACATACAGCTGCTTTGTAATCATGCTGACTGTGGACTCCTGATGTATGTTTTAGTCTTTTTGATCATGGTGAACCACTGTATTTGTGTCTAACTACTACCTAGATAGCATCTTTGTATTGCATGTTAGAAATATGTGAAAAACATGAGAATGGCAGTTAGTTTCTCAGGGCTCTGCTTTGTGTTGTGAAACGGTGATTGCAATTGTAATTTTCACGCAAGAAACAAGTCGGTAGAAATACAATTTTCTTATTTGATTAATACTTCACCTTTTTGATTAATGTTCCTTTATCTTGACAAATTGAAATAACCAATGCTACAGAAAATAAGGAAGCAAACGAAATGGTTTGAGTTGTTTTTATATTTCATTTTTTATTTTGAATGTAATTTGTTCTCTTCATTGTCATTTACATGTACATACACATTTTCCCTGCTTGTAAAACAGAAAAGAAATTATGTATTTCTTTTTTTTGGGGGGGGGTGAGAATTGGTATGCTATAATATGCAGGTAGTATGAACATGTTAAAGGAAAAAGTAAGTTGATTAAATTCTATATTTTATGTAATAGGGAGAGAGGACGGGACAATAGGTAAATAGAAAAGGGTCAAGTAGTTAAATTATATGTTGAGTTTTATTTCATGTTTAGCATTTTTACAATTTTTATTTAATTGTTTCATATACATATCAAATCAATTTGCAGGACCACCAATCCCATATCTGGTAGTTTCCCAGTATCTGTCTAATATTTATGATTATCTAAATGACATCATTATAAAGATGGTATTTTTGTCAACAAAGACTCCAAGATGATTTGTTCATTGCATTAGACAACAACAAATGTATATTTGCTGGTATTGTCTTATCAATGTGTGGAGAACCCAGGTGTTTTAGAGTGACATTTTCTCTTTATTCTCAGAGGACTAATTATACAATTTCATGAAATGGCATCATACTTAACCATGTAATCTCATTCCTCAAATTTGAGACATTTTTCGTATTGGAAGCCAAAATGATGTGGACGTATTGGAAATCAGAATCATGTGCTTAGTATTACCATCAAAATAGACAAAAAGTGGTAGGATTATGATAAATATTTTTCATCAATTTGGCATCTAGTTTTATTGAGAGGAAATGTTTATAACCTTGTATTTATTTACACCGATTGCAATACATTCACTTCTCACCATCCTGTCAGATATAAGGCTACTTTTAATCTGAAGTAAATACGCAATTTTTCTCAAGGTGATTTGTTGGTGTGTTATCAGTTTGAAAATTTGAAAAATTTATCAGTACTGTTACAATAACCTCACATGGTCTCAACATCCTACCTGACTTATGACTCACCTGTTATAATGTTTTTTTCCGTTGAATATTTAATATTGAAATGAACGGCTAACGTGCTTAGATTCATCTATAGGACTGTACTCATATGGAATATCGAGGAAATGTCAAACTACTTTAGTTGAATGAAAAAATGAGATCTTCATGAATGGGAATGATGAATTTAACATACAAAAGACTATACACAATTATTTTGATGACTCGTTTATGTTTTATGCTAGACTCAGAACTCTTATGTTTTATCATTTGATATTCCCACGCTTGGTTTGAAAATGGGGGAAGGGTTATTGACCTTTTCTCTTGATATTCTCACGTTCAAATTTGAATGTGGGGGACTATTGAGATAACGTATAAATGATCAAAACAGGAGTTACATGATGCCCAAAAAATAAGTTCAGAAATTCTCAATAAAAACATATATATCAAAGGATTTGGATTGGATCTGAAGACAATGTTGTAACATTTAGTTGGAGTTTAATGAACATATACTATTGTACAGTAATTTCTGCTCCTTATATATAGTGCATATTTGTAATTTGAGTTAATCCTATTTAAAGCATCAGTTACCTTACACCACATATCAATTGATAACAAATCGTGACTGTTTGATATGGTTAGTAAAGTGTTGTCACTTGATAAGGTTCAAGGTCTGTTTGAAAATTAATGAAACCAAACATAACTATGAATTAATCGTGACACTAGAGCCTGAATGACCAAAAAATGTTGGTTATTCATTATTTTAATGACTATTATAATTTTTGTGAAAATGGAAACAGACCTGAAATCCTTTCCTGCATTGCATTAGGGAACAATTTTGGACACTTTTCTGAAAATATACTTGTAGTCCAATTTTTGGTTTTACATGGTGAATCTATAGGCACCTACTGGACCAACTATCCGTCCATCCATCCGTCCGTCCGTCCGTCCATCCATCCACCATCCATCCATCCACCATCCATCCATCCATCCATCCATTCATTCATTTGTTCATTCATCTATGGGATAAATAGAATAGAACGTCCTTTACGTCTAAGTAGTTTTTATGTGGTCGGCATTGGTCGTCTGTAACAATTCACAATTGGTGTCTGTAACAATTTGCAATAACTTATATTGTGGTGACATTTTGTCATGTTAATGTCTTGTTATAGCATGTAATGATCATATATGGCATTATGATTGTGTAATCATGAAATATGTTATATTTTCAGGAGGGAAAATTGTTGGTATCAATCCTAAAATAAACAACATGATGCTAGCATATGAGGCTGCAAAATATGATCTAATCCTGATCTCAGATAGTGGGCTTAGAAGTAAGTCATATTTCTAATTATTAAGGCCAAAAGATTTACCTTAGTCTACCTATTCATTTTAAGCCAGATTGATAGAATAAGACTTATTTTTACTTTAGGATTGTAGACATATTTTATGACTGTATAAATTGAGAGAAATAACATAATTCTTATGGAGTTTTACTATTAAGTCGCAAAAATAGAAAAGAATATTATTGCACTGGAATGTAAAGGGAAAAGCTTTCATGCTCTTATTAGGAAATGTTGCATTTGCACCTGCCTAGACGGCTGAATGCTACAAATCATATCAGTCTCAATCAGGATGTTATTGTTCTCATAGTTGAGTATTGCTATAATTTGATTAGATCTACAATGTGATCATGAAGTATTCCAAATGTTAGTTTGGTGGCTGGGGAATTTTATCAGGTTTAATATCCCAAACTTCCACGAGAATATTTTCGATATACATTTATCTGAAAAAAATTAATTCACTAAAAGCCTCATAATCCCCTTATAGAATGTCATCACTGAGGGAATATATACAGTCCTTAATAATTTATATAAGCTATTGTATTTAATGTTAGTTATCCATTGAGTACTGTTTTTATGTAGCATGTGTTAAGGTAGAAATAAATGATGCTCACGAGAGATTCATCAGTATTAGACATGCAAAAAAACAATACCCAGATACATTAATGGATCCAAATAATGAATACAGTTCTGCTTCACTAAATATTCATGAGCACCAGATTTGCATTTATTTCCTCATTTAAGTGCACACTTTTCTCAGTGATGAATGACTCCTTGAGAATTCTTGTGAAAGAAGCTATAAAAGAGACTCAAAGGATTCTAAGAAATATGTCTTAAGGTCTCCTGTGAATATTTTCTTGTCAGTTCTTTATTTTAGAGAACTATTCCAAATGAACTTTTTTGTAAATCTGCTTGTGCCTAGAATGTGGAAGTTAAATGTTACCTAATGATTACCACTGTGTCATTTGTGCTTAACCTTACCCAAATCCCTTGACCCAGTAGTAATAGCTATTATCAGGGAATACACGTCTAGATATCCTCCTCCGTAGGTTTAAATGATCTAAGTCTTCAAGATGATGTCATGTTCAATTCCAAATCACTGAATTCCTAATAGATGGTTGTATTGTATCTCATCCTCCAAACGCAGGGCTCTAGACATCATCCACTATGTTCCTTCTTCCTTCCTTCTTGTATTATGGAAGGAGGAGGTATGACTTCCTTAGGCCTGTGTTCGGAGGATGATTGTACCATAGCAATCAGTAAACATAACTGACTTTTGTCCCTGTCTGACTGTGCAGCATACATTTATATATTATATATTATATATATATACCATACTCTACTGATGGTTTCAATTTTTTCTGCATATCTACTGTTTCAATGCAATTACTGCTTTTTATTTGCATTAAGTGAAGCTAGAAATGGAATCTAAATTAAATCAACTTGATTGACTATTCCGGGATTGGATTTCTGGAAGGTGCAACTTCTCCATTATAGAGAAGGAAATAAAAATGATAGATCGATATGACTTAGCTTGATAAAAAATTATTTTCCTATTTATATTAATTCTCCCTAGAGTAATACATTCTGAAAACCTATCAGTAATTGATCATTGCATGTAAGTATGTCTAAATATGGACATATCAGACAATCTGAGTTATTTCTTGTGCGGAAAAATGGAGAAGTGACCTGATTAAAGACAATTAACTTTCAGCAGCTGAGGCCAAACTGGGTCTGTTCAAGGATTTTATTATTTATTGGATAATCAATTTTATTCCAATTCCTCTTTCTGTGTTCAGTGCCTCGCTGATATTGGTTAAGTTAGTTAAGTGAAAGTTTGATTATTGAAAGGGTCAGCTTGCCAGACACTTCTTTCTCCCTCAATGCCTTAAATATTTGTTCATATTATCTTCTACTTAGGATACAAAAATAAGTAGATATACAATAATTATCGCACCAAATGAAGTTTGATTGGGGATATATTATGTTCTCCCATTGTGCTGTCTATCTGTTGGTGTGTCATCCTAGTTTGAATTTGATTGGCTGATACCTCATGAGCATGGGAAGAAGTTCCAATATGGCCACTCAATTCAAGATGGCTACTATTTTTCATAAAAAATATAATAAAATATAAACTCAAACACCACCAGTTGTCAGATTTGGTTCAAATTATACATACTGATGTCTAAGGACATAGAATATTTGTTCAAGGAAGAGAAGTAAAAGGTGGCTACTGGATTTAAAATTGGCGTAGTTATTTAGTAAAAATGTCAAATAAGTCAATATTTAATAACTCAAATACCAGTTATCAGATTTTTTCCAGATTTTATAACTGAAGGCTTATGAAAAAGAACTTTAGAACTGTAGGTTTTACCAAATAAGACAATCCCAATGTCTGGTTATTTTGTTTCTATCATAAAATGTTCAAAATGATCAGTGATTTGAGAGAATATGTTTTTGTTTCGCCCGATGGGATATGTCACTCAGGGGTATTGCTGGGAGGGGTTGGATTACCCTTTTTGTCATTTTACAAAGCCTAGATCTCGTCTTCATCTTCTCCGATTTTATTCTTTTCATCCTCAATATCCTGAGCAAATTTTCATTTCTCTGAGTATTTAATATCTATATCTGTTACATTATTGGAAGTAGCATCTTTAGTATTTTATCTTCATCCATTTCATCTAAGATTCATTTTTATCTCACTGATGGAGTTTTTAGAGCAACTGTTGTGCTATTGAGATATTCACTGAAAGGTTAAGAAATATTTTATGTTGTTGGAAGCAATGTAACAGATGTAATTAATGTTCTGTCAGTATTATGAGATTAAGTCATGCCATGTGTTAGTCTGAATTACTTACATAACTTCTAATAATAGTGCAATATCAGAAGTGGCTGTTTTCAGTGTATTATTTTTCTCATTTTGGAGGTCAGGTATCAACCCATGGAAACGGGATGAGAAATGTTGAGAAATGAAAATGTTCTTGCAAATTAGCTAATGAACCATTAGAGATTGTAACCATATACCCCAACTCCAATGGGAATTTAAAAGTCACAGATCGTAGCTCTAATAAATAGCTAAAACTAGTAAATCACCCTCAGTAATGCATTCTTAGAATACCAATTTGATTCACACTGCTAAAGATAATCTTTTTCTCTCTTCCATAACATAAAGATTGACATGTAATAAAATACTTTTATGGGTTTTTGACTTACAAGACTAAAATTTAATATAGGTTTGGAGTTACTGGAGTTGTAAATCATTTTTATAGCTCATTTGGAAAATATCATTTTCAATGTACTTTAACATACAAAGATTCAAGCATACATGATTCTTTCTTCAAAATATTATGAGTAACCATTAGATGCGGAATTTCTTTTAATGAAAAGAATTATTTTGCCTGTAGCACTTCATTAAAATCACATCTCTTTCAGTCTTTGTTTAAAATGCAAGTTATAATAGATTTGTCACCATAACAGAAAAATGAAACATCAAACACTCATTCACATTTACAAGGCTATTATGTATTTATAAGATTATTTTATTTGTGTGTGTTTGTAGTCAAAATCAATAGCTGCCACAAGAGAATATGAGTCATAATTCATCAGAGAAATCAATTTATGTATAATAATACCGTATCGCATGACCATAAGGTGTTCATATCTTCTAAATACATGTACAATGTACTACCTTGCGGGTCCACACAATCTTTTTGTCTTGAATGCTATAAGTTATGTGAATTGAGGTTTGGTGTTTCGCAAAAATATGTCCTTATACATATAGAAATGTACAGTATATTTCATCGGTCAATTCTAATGTTGTTTTCACCAAAATTGAATTGTTTTCTCCTCCAAATTCCTTGTTCATTAGGTGGATTAGATAATAGTATGACTTCATGCCAAATTCTGCTACAATTCCCTACCAATAAGTCTAAGCATTTATTCATTTATAAACAATGTTTCATAAGTGATAGCTCCGTATAAATGGAGAGAACTGCCGATAAATGATAACAGAAGAATGTTTTAAATCTTCTGAAATGTAAATGGCACTAAACACACAGGGTGTCTAAAAAACAGGACCGTAAGAAAGTTAAATAACTCAGTCAGTTTTGCATATTTTACCTTGAAATTTCAGAATTATTTAGTTCATTCAATTTGTAGTTTTTGACTCACACAGTGAGCCTATGTTATTTAATTGATGTACTGCTTACATCTAATTGTCTGTATAATGGGTGTTAAATGCATGCAAACAAAACTAGCACTACAGATATTGTTATTGTAGTATTAATATTTATTTGCATACCTTAATACATTATTATCAGGCAAATAATTGTATAGCTATTATATGTAATCATATAACCATCATTAAATCTACAAATTGTTATCACTACAGTTGATGGATATATCTATATTTTCAGTGTCACAAGATGGCCTATTAGATATGGTTCTGCATATAGAACGTGACAATGTAGGTTTAGTACATCAAATGCCCTACGTCTGCGACCGTAAGGGGTTTGCAGGAGTCCTCGAAAAAGTAAGTACTAGTCCATTGACTAATATAAATGTTACAAGTAATCTGGGTTTCTAATTTGCTGTCATATCTTATTGCAGGATAAACAACGGGAAGTAATTTTATAATTTGTGGAACAAATGAAAAGATCATTGAATTTATTAAGTAGTAACTGTGCAAACAATCACTCGACAGGATGTTCCCCAAATTTGAACATTTCCTTCCAGCTGTAATATCATTTTGATATCATATTGTCTTGTTAAGAATTAAGTGTGAGTTTAGAAATGATTTTTATGTCCCCACCACATAATGTGGGGCCATATTGTCGGCCTAGGCTCGTCCGTCTGTCTGGTTGTCTGTCTGTCCGTCCGTCCGTCCATACGTCCGGTAGTTTTCTCCAAAACCGCTACAGATATCACCTTCAAATTTTCAAGGATAACTTATGAGTGCATACAGATGTGGACAAAAGATTTTTAGATCGATACCTACTTCCTGTTGGCCATTTTGAAGTCAAATGCTAAAATCCTTGTCTGCAAACTTTAAGAAAAACGGCTTCATGGTTGCTTTTAAAACTTTAATATCTTGTTCAGCTTACTTCATTCTACATCTGATTAGGTTTTGGACCTGTTAGCTCAGTCATGTCAGCCATTTTGAATGTCTTAAGAAAAGTTAGCATGCGATAATACTTTGTTTCATGGTGTTTTTGAGTTTTCATACTTAAACTATTTAGTAGCTTTATAAATAATTTCAGGTGTACTTTGCTGTAAAAGCCTATGTTATTGTTAACAGTAGTTATATGCGATAATTTTGTAAAAAGAAACTAAAAACTAATAATCACTTTTTATTGTCGGCCATTTTGGATTTTTCCATCCTAAAATCCTGTCTGTAAAGTCTTGTCTACGCGTTTTCAGGTGAACCGTGTGGTAGATCAATTTCAAATTTTCAGGGATGATTCTTAGTATGAAAATCTAGATCTGATTAGTTTTTTGGCATTCTGGATAAATGTCAAGGCAGCCATTTTTGATTTTCCGTCTTAAAATCTTGCCTGTAAAGTCTTGTCTACTCATTTTCAGGTGAACCATTTGGTAGATCAAATTCAAATTTTTAGGGATGATTCTTATTATGAAAATCTAGATCTGATTAGTTTTTTGGCGTTCTGGGTAAATGTCAAGGCAGCCATTTTGGATTTTCAGTCCTAAAATCTTGCCTGTAAAGTCTTGTCTTTGTGTTTTCAGGTGAACCGTTGGGTAGATCAATTAAAAATTTTCAGGGATGATTCCTTGTATTAAAATCTAAACCCATTAGTCTTTTAGCATTCTCGATAAATGTCAGGGCAGCCATTTTGGATTTTCTGTCCTAAAATCTTGTCTGTAAAGTCCTGTCTACGCGTTTTCAGGTGAACCGTTTGGTAGATCAATTTCAAATTTTCAGGGATGATTCTTAGTATGAAAATCTAGAACTGATTAGTTTTTTAGGCAGTCTTGGCAAATGTCAAGGCAGCCATTTTGGATTTTTCTGTCCTAAAATCTTGTCTGTAAAGTCTTGTTTACGCGTTTTCTTGTTTACTGTTTGACGGATCAATTAAATTTTCAGGGATGGTTCTTAGTATGAAAATCTAGAGCTGACTAATTTTTTGGCATTCTGGGTCAATTTTAAGGTGGCCATTTGCATTTTCCGTACCAAAATTGTAACGGTAAAGTCTTGTCTACTCATTTTTAGGATAACCATTTGACGGGATCACCCATTGGTGGGGACATATTGTACACATTTGTGTTCTTGTTTTCATTGGTTTCCTAAATTAAGGGCAGTCAAGGGCAATTAAACAAATAATTGTAATATATTTTATAAAATCTAGATACATTTGTTTGTTATTTCAGATGAAAAGTGCTATTTCCCTTTCTATTGCTAAAGGCTTATAACAAGCCATATCAATTTATACTTATACTGTGCAAGGAGAATAGGTGTTTGTGAATAACTAAAAATTATCCTAAATTTAGCAAACAGTAGGGATATTTTCATATTTCTTAAAAGATGAGCTACCCTACTTCTTATAGCATTGCACAAACTACTCCATGTCCCCTAAAATTAACAAGACTTCACTATATCATATCTAAGACATATTGAATTATCAGAATACAAATCTCAAACCTACCATATGCCCTAAGACAACTACCCCATGATCTTGTTAAAGATTCGTCCAGCACTGAAAGATGTAGGAAGTTATTATGCATGCAGTCATGCAACTTTCTCTGGTCTCAGTAAGATGTGGTAACACTTTCAAGATTTTGATGGATAACCTTACAAATTAAACTTATTAGGGATCTATGATGATATATAGCTGAGTGCTATAAGTAGGGATTTAGTTCTTGAGGAGTTTTTATCATTAATCGAATCTTAGTTCAACAGCTTGATATTAATCTCATGATTGAGATGAATTCAAGATTTATTCAAGTCATATGTTATTAAAGGGGATTGGACTTTGATACTAAAATACTTTGAAATTGTAGATTCAGAACTACCTATTACTTGCAGCAGCAATAAACTTTGATACAAATCATACTTTCTTAAATATCGTTAGGAAATTAACTCTTAATAATTTGCACTTTTCATGTGGCTCACAAAACGAGAAAATTTTTCGATCTTAACAGTTAGAAGTATGTATGAAAAAGCTTTGTATTGATTGATGCTGCAAATTGTGGGTAGTCAGAGTTAGAGACCGAGCTCCTTTATATCTAGTGATCACTAACTTTTGATTCAATAATATGATAACTGTTTTGTAAAAATCTACCAGAAATGTTTTTTAACATAACCTTTATTTTCCAGGTATATTTTGGTACACAACATGCAAAGATGTACCTTTATGCCAATGCACTAGGTATAAATTGTACAACAGGCATGTCTTGTATTATGCGCAAAGAAATTCTTGAAGATTCAGGAGGCCTGAAAGTGTTTGGACAGTATCTGGCTGAGGATTTCTTCCTAGCTCAAGCCACTCTTCAAAAGTAAGCGCGTTTCCTTATGATTCTTCTTCAAAATAATTTTTGCACAATTTTGAATTTCTAGAAATGATGCATTTAATTCATTCAGCAGCGCATAATTTTAGTATAACTTACACCTTTCTCAAAGAATATCTTCTCACCTGATGTTTCATTGCTTCATCATCTTCATAATTATTAAGTAAAAATTCTGTTTAAACAAAGACTCTAAAAAAAGTCAAAATCAGCCATACTGGAAATTGCGGTATTAGATTGAGATTGGCTCGGTGTTTTTAATTCACTTGAAATATGTTTTTGGAATTTTTGCCTTAATATGGTTGCATAATTTTCATTTTCCCCCACATAATATTTGTTTTTTGCTGCATTATTTCAATTTTTGCCTGCATAATTCTGGGAGAACTGGTAATATAAAAGGAAGATGATGGTTGCAACCTACAAAGTTAAAATGTAAAGCTGGATTATTCTTTTCATTATATAAGGCTTTGTGTTCTGATTTTTATTTTATGTTTTCAGAGGCTGGCAGATTCTTCTTGCCTCCCAGGTAGCCCAGCAAAACCCTGGCACTTATTCAGTCACCCAATTCCAGAATAGAATAATCAGGTAACATCTTACATATATTTTTCTTTATTTATTTATTATTATTACATGTATATAGTATTGGCACAACCTAGTCTTACCAACCTCCTCCTTATGTACATTATGTACATTATGGCATTCTATCTGCATGATTGAGAAAGTAAATTGCATATTAGAGAAATGAACATAAAAATATTTGACGAGAAAAAAATAGACGTGATAAATCAAACAAACAAGGATGATTCTAAAACATTGATTATTTCCTTATTGTCACTTTAAATAAAAATTTTAACTAGGCCTAACATAAGTATATCTGTGATTGTGTGTTTTCTAAAGCTGAAGTATATGTCTTTAAATGGTTTATTTTTCCAGATGGACTAAATTGCGTGCAGCCATGTTACCGCAGTTTATTTTCCTAGAGCCTCTCTCTGAGTGTCTCACAATCGGCCTACTTGGCTCATGGTCAGTGGTGGAGCTGTTTGACTGGAGCCCACTTGGTTTCTTCCTTGTTCATACCCTGCTATGGTTCCTACAGGACTATATATTACTTCTTGTTGTAAATGTAAGTGTTATTATATAATATCTATATTAAAGCTAAATTATGTTATAAGGGTTATTCATGGAGACTGTGGTTGTAGTTTGTGAAAAGTACTTTCTAAAATTAACATGTTTAAGTATTGTCCATATTTATGAATGAATTTTGAAAAGAATTAGGTTATGGGGAAGTGAAACAATAGATAATTTAATCCATTTCTTGAAGCAATCTCTATTTTCTCTATTTTATGTAAATATAAACTGACAGAATAGTATTCTAAATCTTCTTTTTATGAGAATTCAAATATTCAGAATGTTTTTTCCAGAATGGCCCCATAACATTCACAAAGTTTGACTTCTTAATAGGCTGGATATTTAGAGAACTCACATCAATAACATTAATGATCAGGGCGCATGCCTCTCCCACTATAGAGTGGAGATCTAGACGCTTTAAGTTGCAATGGGGAGGTCTTGTGACAGAACTAAAACCAAAAACCCCGGAAGTTAGCCCAGGGGTATATCACCATAGGAAGACATTCAGTGTGTAGCGGCCAGCAGCTGTCTCCCATGTTCCTCAAATTGGAGTGTTTGTGCCATCATCGTGTGCTACATATTTACGTTCTATTGAAATAGCTGTTTGTGCTACTACTGCTCAAAGTCATGTCAATGTCTTGTCTTGTCATTGTTACCATGGTGTTGTCAATGTAATAACCATTTATTAAAAAACCAGAACAACATAGCTGATCCTACTTTCATCTTGATCTGAAAAGATTCTTGTATTTTTTTTATTAGAAATTTGTGTAAATAGCTTTTTCTTTCATGCAATTTTTCCAAAGTCAATAAAGGTGTCTGTCTCAGTTCAATTAATTTAAGTGTCAAATAAAGAGACACTAAGAAAGGGTGCACATATATTTTATATTTTTTGTTATTTTCCTGCTATGTTTGAATTAACAATTATTGTATTAAAGCATAGGCAATTGTCACAAACAATTTGGTATTTCAGACCCAAAAAAATGATAAAAAAAAGAACCATTTTTGGAACTGTCATAACTTTTTGTTTGCAAGTCACTGTCAATTACAGTAGATAATTGCTTGCTAGGAATTTTAAGTTATGATATAACCAAAAAGGACTCCAGAGAAACAAAGATGACCTTCCATTTAGGCGGGTCTGTCTCTAGAAATTTATTTTTTGGAATTTATTTTTTTTATTTTGTGTAATTTATCTCCACCAAATAGAAATTAGGTACAGTTGCATGAGAAGAAAAAATAGGTGGACTCTCCACTTGATAGATCTGATTTTCCATTGCATAATTAGAAATGATTAGTTTTTTTTATTATTACAGGTGTGATATGCATCAATTCTCTTTGGGAAATGATATAATTGATTTAAAAAAAATTCATTGCATGTGTTTCTTTCTTTGAATACTATTATTATAAAAATATCACCATCACCAATTATTTTTGAAAGTATAAACATTTTGCTGCCTGGAGCCCTTAGAAATTGATCATTTTGGATTTTGTTTTCCTCAGAATTGAGTTGATGACATGCATGAAGAAATAGTCACTTATACAGGGAAATCGTCCAGGTTTGTTTTCTGTGATCAGTCTGCCCCTTGATCAATTATTTGGCATGCAAGATCTGTATAATTTGATAAAAGTATATTGTATTTAATTAGATAAAACATCAAGAATTTACAACTGTATTTAATCAACATGAGTAAGCATTAATCCTTCAAAGACAAACTTTGGATGGATTCATATTGAATAGAAAATATTGTAAATGTATAGCCATGTTTTAGTATTTATACTGAGCCACTAGTATTAGAAAAGTCTTTAGCAGGATTTCACAGCTGATGTTATTTCATATTTTTTTGTTTAGAAAAACAGTGTATAGTTGATCATTTGAGTGAATGAAATAAACAGTGGTTGTGTATTTTTACACTTCTACAGATAAATTGGTTGTAAATTAGATCGAGAGACTGTGTTAGTCCATCAGCAATGTTTCCTAGGAATATATTTTGCTTAGAAATAAGGATGCACAGTTTTGTTGTTCAAGTAAATATTTATTTTTTTGAGTTTGTACAATTTTATATGTCTCTATTTATATGAAAATAATACATGTTATCGTTGCTAAGTAACTAATGTAATTATTGTACAACTTGTAAGTGCGCACATGTTTATAAGAATGACATATCTGTTGATCCATAAATGTGGACCATTAGCCTGTTACATTTAGCTGACCTAATTTCTTTTAACTTTGCCCATTTTTTCATGAAACAACTTGATTCATAAGTGATGTTCTCTCATCAAATCTTAAAATATACTTTTAATTACACTGTTTTGAAGTTCAGTATAAACAATCGTAGAACACAGGCAGAAATTTCTGTTTTTGTGTGATCCAAATCTAAAAAATATTTTGTTTTAAAAATTCTAGCTCATAGATTTTTCTGAAAAAGTTTAGGTTCCTTCGATGTAACTACTCTAGTAACTACTGTATAATTGTAACTGTACATCATATACTGTAACTGTACATCATATACTGTAACTGTACATCATATATGTACTTGTATTAGATGACTATCATTCAGGTATTGATTCAGTTAAGTGAGTTGTTATATATTTATAAACACAATTATTTATCATAAACATGTATCTATTAGGCCATTCAAATCAATTATACGTTTAACCCCCTGTCATGGGACCTAATCAAATCTTAACTTATTGTATTTCTGTATGGATTTTATATCATTTATTAGTTGAAATACTATATCAAATCAAAAGATAGTGACTGATGAAATGAGACAGATTTTGAGATTTTGTAAACATTTTTAACGAAGATAATACTGATTGCTGAAATACATATACCGGTACATGTACGTTAAATCTGGAAACCCCCTTTCACTATAAAATGATCTTTATCTAAGATCGAAATTTAAGTTTTATTTGTCTTTCGGATTCTTGACATGTGGGTACATGGGCACTTGAAATTCTGGAAAATTGTCTAAATCATAGAAGGGAGGTGCATTAAACATACATTTAACTTTGAATGGCCTTTTTGGTTTTATTGGTGAATGATGGTTGTCAGTCATGTTAACTTTGCCAGTCAGAGTCTCATTTGCCTAAAAATTCTTGTTGTTCCAATATATTTTGTTCATATATTTTTGGACGAGTCACATTGGAGAACATTAAGAAATATATGTTATGACATCAAATAACAAGAAGTGTGTGCATATTTTGATTCTTCTTGACTAACCTTGAGAATAATACCAAGAAAAATCACCTCGAGCTCCGAATATTTATTTCTAACATTTGTAAATCCAAAACATTTACAACTAAATGCACAGTATAGAGAATGCACACGTTCACTGTGTGTTTTTCTAGATGTTTATGAATTATAGTACAAGATATTTAACTCAAACCAAAATATATAGGTAACGTTTAGAAATATGAGTTTGACATTCAACTAGAGCATTGTAACAGACAGCATTAATTTAATCGATATGTATACATGTGCTATAAAAACCTAAGTTCTCATTATAATGCATCTTGCTGAGCAAAATACAGGGGTACCTATATGTTTATTCACTTAAAGGGCAGTGTCTAAAGTTCTGATCCTAAATTGATCTTAAATGTTTTGAAAAGTCCATGGCTTGCCCCATTTACAAAATCCAGTGCAGATCATTGTTTCTGAAAAGAAAATATCAAACATGAGAAGATTCCTTACCTAAAAAGTACCGATAGTATGAGAACTTTAAAAATTGAAGAAAACAATTTTGATAGGCAAAATCAAAAAACAATTTTGAAAAATAATTTATTCACTCTCTAGAGGTGTCTGTTATTACAGAAAAACAATGTTTATAGTAGTCTATTGGCATTCATCTTGTAAGATACACCATTATGATTTAAAATACAATGTATTTTAAAGTTATTTTCGATCAGATTTACAGCTATTTGCCCTTTAAGTAAAATGCATACAACTTATATGTATTATCAGGTAAATACCTTGCTAGCATTTAGAATCAAATAACATAATTTGATATCTGATTATTACAATTATTGAAAGTAGCTCAACTTAAACAAAAGTTTTGACTGATTTCAAAATATCAAGACACCATTTTTTCATATACCTCAAATTTATAAATTCCACCTATTTTAGCATTCTACACATATCATGTATTGGCTTTTAGATTAGGTGTCTTTAATATGCTTTATAAAGGTCATTAAAAACAAGAAATGCTTAAACTAGTAGTCTGTAAATACTGACTTTAGGCAGTCATTTTAGGTTTTGAAAACAGTGTTCATAAAATCTCTCCATGTATCATAGTCATATGTGTTAACCTGTAAACCAGAATTGTGTAAGAGTCAAGTTGTCATATGTGCATATATTTGTGTATGAACAAAATGATTTACCTTTCAGTATTTTAGCTGTTCTAGATGAGATACTTCATATTCAATAGAACAACTATTCAGTTTGTAAATAAATATGAAAATGAAAAAAATTGTGTTTTGTTATGTATACCTTCTAACATCTTCTGTTGACATTGACATCAAAATGTGATATTCATAGTTAAATATCATTATACGTATATTAATGGTAAGCTAATTGTAATTCACGAGAAATGAAAATCTTACTGGTGTTCTGTTATATGTAAGTGAGTTTACTGATGTCAGTCTCCAGATCGACTGGTTTATGGTCATTCCTGGCCGTTTCAAGGATTTCCACTGTGCCAAACCACCCTTTATATATATATTTTTTTTTTTAAATCAAAACATATTGACAATATTTCTAAATTCTTGAATATTTCCTTCATTCATATAAAACCCTAATATTATATTTTTCCATTGAATATTACATTTTAGAATCTTCCCAACATTGACCCAAAGATTTCCTAGTAATCGACACTCAAATATCATATGCTTGATGTCATGAGTTTCATTGCAATACAAACACAGTTTCGAAATGTTATTATTCCACTTACTCACAAGTTTACCACCCTTTATATAAAAAAAAGTTCTGCATCAATCGAAATGCATGTTTTTTAGTAATTTGCCAGCGACACGCACATTTTCAATTATTATGCCCCAGGAATTAAGGACCACTGAGTTTAATAATGAACTAGATTCTAATAATATTAGAATACCATGCAAACTACTGTCAAAACTAGGCTAAATCGAAATCCAAGCATCAACAAGATATGTATAGTTCCAAGATCATCTCTATGCAGAACATGAAGATGGTCTTGGCAATAGATTTTAATATTAGAAATTAAGTAAGGCCATAAGAAGTAGATTCTTTATTTTGCGTCCCCTTGCTTGCATGATTTTGAGTAAATCAGAAAAAACGAACACATCCAAATAGCAATCACAAGAATCTGAAAGTATCATCGCATTTCATTCAATCAGAAACAGACGAAATGGCAAATAATTTGACGTGTGTCAAAATTGACAGTGTTATAGATTACTTTGGCATACATTGTGTATTTTCTTATTTTTTTCCTTGAATAATAGCTATGTTTTAATATATTGTATAAAATGTAAAGTCTCGATATGTGTTTGTAATCACTGCAAATTTTGAGGCCCGTGTCATCCCTTTATATGCCCATCAGCAAACAAGTGTGTTTTTTCTTGAGTTTGTGCTTGTTTTCCTTGTAGTCTACCATTATGATTTGGA